GGGCCTCCAACTCCTTCTCTACAAATTGGGCCATAGTAATGGCCCCAGGCCACGGTGAGTGGCTGTAGTGACAAGCACGTTGTTCAGGAATAGTCACGTGGGATAGAAATGGTGGTGGTAACTATACACCTCCTAGCCAGGACCTCTGCCAGCCCCACCCGGGAAGGGGCCTGGGAAGGAGGAGAGCCGGGAAAAGGGGGTGGGGAAGGGTCTGCCACCAACAGGGGCTTCCTGTCTGACTCACATGGGGGGGGATAGGGGCCAGCTTGGAGCTCATTGTCAGCTTGGTGGCACTCCTAGGTAGATCTAATGGACAAAGGGTCCTGGGGGAGAGGGTGGTCACACTTCCCCAAGGGGGTGGGGACTCTACTGTAGCCTTAAGAGTGTATGGTTTTTGCTCGTGTGGGTGTTGGTGGGAGCGGGCACTTGCTATGCGCTGGGCACTGTGTGTGTGAGGCCTAAGGGGGTGTGGCATCAGTGCCTGGCGTGCCTGTGCTGTGCAGTGCGTGCGTGTCATCTCTCTGCCTGCGTGGGGTTTGTGGTGTCTCTGCAGGGTACCTGCGGAGTGTGCGGGTGGGTATGTGGGGTCTGGTGTGCTTTCTGGGGCATAGTGCATGCTGTGCTTGCAATGTGTCTCTGTAGGGGGGTGTGGACCGTATATGCATGGGTGGGTGTCCGAGGTGTGTGCAAGAGAATAGTGTGTTTCCGTGGGGTAGGTGGACTGGCTGGGTGGCAGGGTGTCAGGTGTATGGATGTGTGTGCATGTGGGTCTGTGCGGAGTGGGTAGGGTGTGTGGCTATGTGAGGGACACGGAGTGCATGTGTGACTGTGTGTTTCTCTGGAATGTATGAAGCTGACGCGTATGCGCGAGCTGGAAGGGGCACACACGGGGTACAGTGTGTGTTCGTGTGTGGGGGTGGCGGTCTGTGTGTGAGTGTGTGCTGTGCAGGGTGTGAGGGTGTGGCTGTGCGGGGGACTGTGCAGCGCCTTTGGTGTGTGGGGGTGTGTGTGACTGTGGGATCTGGCTGGGCGGCCGCGCACAGGGGCCGCCCCGGAGGGGGAGGTGTCTGCCCTGCGCGACTCGCCAGCGTGTCTGGGCTCAGGCGCCTTCAGCCGGGAGGCGCGGGAGGCGCGGAGCCCTGCCAGCCGTCCTGCCACCATCCGCGCGGGCCGTCCGTCCCCTCGGGGCCCCTGGGCCCCGGGCCCGAGGCTTCGGGGGGCGGGCGGGGACCCCAGGGGCCCACCTGCCGCCCCGGGGGCCGAGGACGCCGCCCGCCGGGCGCCGAGCCCCGGCCCCGCTCCCCCGAGTGGCGCGCCCCGCTCCGGAAGCCCAGCCTGGGGCGCGCAGGGGCCCGGGCAGCGGCCGGGCCCGGGGGCCCCCGCCGGCCGCGGCGCTGGTGGGCAGTGCCGTGTGGCGCGTGGAGCGCGCGGGGGCCGGGGGCTGGCGCTGGGAGCGCGCCGTCGGCGTGGACTGCAGCGCCCCGGAGCCGCGCTGCCTCTGGCTGCCCTGCCTCAGCCACAGCGACCGCCGCGCGCCCGGGCCGCGCCGGGCCAGGGTGAGCGGGGCTCGTGGAGCCGGGGGCTGGGGGCCCTGGCCCGGGCAGGCCTTGTTGGGGGCTGGGTGAGACGGGTCACCAACTTCCCGCGGACCTTTGAGCTGTGTGCGCCCTGCATTCCAGGACTGAAGCCCCTGGAGTGGAGAGTGAGGAGCTTGAGCGGTGGGGCTGAGGGTGATAGGATTTGTGGCTTGGAGCTGTTTCAGGGCTTCTGGGATGACAACCCCAGCCGAGTTGTGGTCTCCAGTGGGCTCTGCCCTCTTAGTTTACAGACAGTGTCAGGATGGAAGGGGCCAGATCGATTGAAGAGCTGCTAGGACATCTAGGAATCCTAGAGAGTCTGGGCTGGCAGGGACCCGAGTCACTGCTAGTTAGGGGTGCCACTAAATGGAGCAGTGGGCGCTACCCCACCCGACTCCTGATAGGGGGCCAGGACACGGGGGCACACAAGGGTTTCCTAGCAGGCAGAGGAGGCTGAAGTGACAGAATGGACCCCTGCAGGTAGTGAGTGATCTTAGGGTGAGGATCCACAGGGCTGGGGGCAGGGTGCAGTGTTTCTGATGTCTGGGATCCACCAGGCTGATAGGGCGTGAGTCACAGTGGGCGCCATGCCCAGCCCAAACACTGTGCTCCCTGCAGTGACCTCTTTATGCTCCCTGGGGGAGGAGCAGGACTCCTGGGTTCTAGTTCCTGGTATTGCCAACCCACCACGCGTCCCCTTCTGCCTAATTTGTGTCCTGGGGTCATCTGCCCTCCTGCCACCATTGTTGGTATTTCTGGACGTCTCTCTCTTTCCTGACATGAGGGTGTGTTTGGAAATAGATCTAGGCCAGGAGAGTTGAATCAGTAATGTCCCTGTGCCCCCTGAGTGGTTCCCTCTGCATCTCCTTGTCTCTGTGCCTCTGTCACCTTTCTAATCTAATCACCTTTCTCGTCATCGTCATCGTCATCGCTGGCTCCTACTCTGTTTCTGCACCTATCACCTCCCTTCCTCTCAAGATGAGAGCAAGACCCATTGTTGTCCCAGGTCAGAGGGGAGGAGAGGAAACATGCATGTATAATAGCATGAAGGACTGAGGTTAAACCTAAGGGAGAACTTTCCACAGGGGAGACGCCAGCTCTGGCTGTTGATGGGGCCTGTGGTGTCTCCTTTTCAAGCTGGGGTGTGGTAGCTGTGGCAGGGGGATTATTGACATTCTCAGGAGCCTAGTTGGAAGGGGTGGGTAGAGGGGAGCTGGAAGGAAGGAACAGAGGAAAGGGAGAGGCAGAGATAAGGGAGGGGGCGCCAGTTGTGCTTGGGTGAAGAGGGGACCTGGGAGAGGAAGGTGTGCCTCCTGCCCTGGATTGCATGCAGGCCCCCCCAGGGAGCAGCACCCCTGGCAGCTGGCAGCTCCAGGCAGGATGTGTGCTGGGGGAGGGGTGGGGGGCGTGCGGGGACCTGTCCCAGCCACTTCTCATCACTGGGGCAGCTGGTGGCTTAAACCTTAATCCAGGACACCAGCAAAACAATGGGCCCTGCAAACAGCCTCAGCTCTGAGCCCAGGTGGGGGACATGCAGGGCGGCAGCCCACACTGGGGAGGAGCAGGGGCTTCTGGCAGGAGAGGGCAGTGGGGGGTCCCCCAGACCCTCTTTGCTCCCTGATCAGTTCCTTGCCAGGTCAGCAGAGATAGGAAATCCAGGGGATTTCAGACCTCAGCAGAATTCCCAGAGAATTCTCTCCTCTGGGCTCCCGAGGCTGCCATGGGGGTGTGGGCTCAGTGGGGGAGGCTAGGCTGGAGCCACGAGTGGAAGGAGCTGAGGGGATGTCGCCGGACTTCCTTGTGTATTGAACCTGGCTCTGTCCTCTGGGGCTGTATGAAACAGGCCTATTGCTTCTGCCGCATATTTCTTTGATCTGCTGAGATTTGAGGATGTATCCCCTTCCCTGGGGCTGCTCGACTGCAGCCCAGGCTGCCACCCCGGGCAGAGCTCCCTCACAGGGTGCTGGGCACGTGTTGCGGCTCCCCCTGCCCCGGAGGTGTGAATAGGCGGGCGGTGGATACGTGAATGAACATCTTAGCTTCAGTACATTTGAGTGGCAAATGTTTTTGAGCTTTCTCCAGCTATTAGGAGACAAAAGGGACCTTAATAGTGAAGTGGGCCCTCCGCCCCAGAACTGGTGGGGCTCTTCCCTCTGCACCCAGCCCTGAGCCTTTCTCCCCTTGGCTGACCGCTCCTGCCTGGCACCAAAGAGGAGTGAGGGGGCTAAGGACTGTTGCGGGTTGGGGTAGGGGCTTCTTGTCCTCTCAGAGGTTTGGATGAGGGCAGCAGAACCTGAAGCTAGGGGTTAAACGGTCCCTGAGGAGGTCTCCTGGCTTTTCAAAACCCGGCAGCCCCCCATCCTCAGCCTCTTCCCCAGCCGGCCTCTCTGGGCATGATCTGTCTGACCCCTCCTGCTGCCCACTTCCCCCTCTCTGTGTCCGAGAAGGGGACCTGAAGGGAGCCCTCTCTCAGGCACTGTCTATCCTTTTCTCTCTCTTACCTCCCAGACCCTTGTCTTTAGACACCCTCTGCCATGTCATCTGGGGGAATCCCAAGTATTCCTGCAGGTCTGACAGAGGGCAGAGTGTCCCCTAACCCCAGCCTTTCTGGTGAACCAGCCAGCCCTCTGGCTGGGTTCCGGAGCCTCAGGAAGTTCCTTCAGTTGTCTGAGGTCCAGTCTACTTCTTCCAGCTCTTGATGCCCTGTGTGTTCCTGCTGCTGCTCCTGAAGGATGTGTGCATGCCAGTGTGTCTGTGCAGGTGTGTGTCTGTGTGTCTGTGATGTGTGCATGTATGTCTGTATGTGCATTGTGTGTGCAAGACTGTGGTCATGTGTGACTGTGTGTGCATATTGTCTATGTGTCTGTATGCATGTTTCACATGTGCTTGCCTGTATGTATGTATGTTTGTGGTGGGTGTGTCTGTGTCTGCATAGGTGTGTGTGTTTGAGTCTGTGTGAGAGCACGCACGTGCACGTCTATATGCCCATATCTGTGTCTGTGGGTACGTGTGTGCATGAGTGTGTGTGTGTGAGATTGTGCATGAGCTATACAGCCATAGGCACTTACCAGGCAGGAAGGCTGTGTGTCCAGTGTCCGGCACGAGGTGCTCCATGAGCATTTGCTGAACTGGATTGAACTGAACTGAAGGAACTTGCTGCAGCAGGTTATTTCCCTGAAGGCAAAGACATCGTGAACTGACGGAGAGGAAAAGAAAGAAGGAAGACGCTGTTGGGCTGATTTTGGGGGTGGGAGAGGCAGGAAGGGGTGAGGAGGAGGGTAGGAGCAGGGAGGGTGCCTGGCACCCCGAGGGCAATGGACTCCTTCCAGTGCCCCTCGGGTCCTCTGGGCTGCAGGAGGCAGCGTGCAGAGCCGGGAGTGCCGGCCACACGGGCACTCAGCCCTGTCTTCCTGTCTCCCACAGCTGCCACTGGGCCCGAGAGATGGGTGCTCTCCTAGGCGCCCCCTCCCCTGGCAGGGGCCGAGGACGCTACTGCTGCACAAAAGTCTCCAGGATGGCTTTGGCTTCACCCTGCGCCACTTCATCGTGTACCCACCTGAGTCGGCCGTGCACTGCAGCCTGAAGGTACGCCCCTCTCGCCACTGCTCTGGCCTGTTCCTGGAAAATTTAACAGGGGCGGCGAAAATCCTTCTCACCAGTCTCCGCCATGGTTTTTTGACTTTCTCGGAGAAGTAATCCTTCCTGGGGTCCAGCCTCACTCCCTTCTGCTGTGGCCTGGGGAGGAGGGCTGCAGGGGGGCAGTGCCGGCCCTGGCTGGGCCATTTGCACTGTGTGCCAGCGGACAGACCCCCTAACCACTGTGGACCGGGTCTTCTCAGGAGAGGTGGAAGGGTGGCTGGTTCAGGGCAGGGGCCCTAGAGGTGGGGAGCCAGCATTCCACAGACTCTCGGTCTCTGGAAGGTGAACAACTGTCTCAGGAAAGATGGAGTTCCTGCGCCCTCCTATCCACTGGCTGTTTTTGCGCTGAACCTGCTGTCCTCCTCCCCAGCCTGAGCTCTCAGGGATCCTATCCTAACACATCTTTGGGACCCTTCCCAGAGTGCCCTGGGATCAGCCTGCACAGCTGTTGGGGGACTCTCCCTTGGGGACCTTGGTCCCACCTGCCAGAGAACCACACATCGGATTTCACTGTGTGTGCGCTTGCATCTCTGTGTGCACATGTGCTTGCACTGCATGCTGGGCATGGACATGCACGTGTGTACATACAGTGTCTGTAAATACCCGGATCCATGCTGGCCACAGCTCTGGAAAGAGCCCTGGGCTGGGACACAGAAGCCTGGGGTTCTAGTCCTGGGACAACTCCTAACTCACTGCGGATTTGGAGCCATCTCACCCCTCTCTGGGCCCCATTTCTCCTGCTGTAACCTGAGGACATTTATCAACTTGATCCCAAAGAGCCCTTCTGGCCCTAATATAAATGTCATGTTCCTTGAGTCTGGGAACCAGGGGTCCTGAGCCCAGCCTAAGGTTGTGGGCTGGTGGGACGGGCCCCAGGCAGCAGCCAGGGCTCCCCACGAGGGCCCTGCTCCCCTCCCACACCTCTCTTCCAGCAGGGCAGAGACATTTATTTTGAGTCAATGAGCCCCTCTCCTCCCTTCCCCCAGGGCTGGGATCAGCCTGCACAGCTGTTGGGGGACTCTCCCTTGGGGACCTTGGTCCCACCTGCCAGAGAACCACACATCGGATTTCACCGTGTGTGCGCTTACATATCTGTGCGCACATGTGCTTGCACTGCATGCTGGGCATGGACATGCACGTGTGTACATACAGTGTCTGTAAATACCCGTCACGTGTACATGTGACTGTGCAGCTCTCATATGCTTGTCTGAACCCGGGCACCTGCGTAACTATTCTCACTGGCTGCAGCTGTGCTTAAGAATGTGAGTGGGGCTGATGGTGTGTGGGAGGGGGCGCCGCCCCACCCCTTGATGCCCAAGGACACTGGCCCCTTAGTTCCTTGGAGCCCCCAGCCGTTCCTTCCCTCCTTCCCCAGAATGCCACTCCTTCTGGTGCCTGCCACCTTCTCTCAGGGGACCCTGCCGAGGGGCGACAGGGGCAGAAGCAGTGGTCTAGGCTGGGTGGGGAGCCCTTGCTACCATGGGGAACTGGAAGACCCTGGGGTAGGGCAAACCAGGGACAGGCTCCATCTCTTTTCCAGAACCTGCCCAGGGCTGGGAGGGGCCCTTGGCTGGAGGCTGGAGGAGGCTGAGTTCTTCCCTCCCTCCTATTGCCGGCCCAGGAGCCTGCGGGGAGCTCAGCCGTCCAAATGCATCCGTCTGTCTCTGCCACCCGCTCCCTGTGCTGTCAGCTCACATCAGTGTGCGCCCCGCCTGGGAGGGCACAGGCAGAAGGCCCCCTCCCTAGCAGTGCCCGGTGGCCTTGCTGCGGCCCACCCTGTCCTCACTGGGGTGCCAAAGAGTCCTAGGTTCCTGCCGTGGCTCTGCCACTGAGTGGCCTTGGACATGTCATGCCCTGTGATCAGTACAATGGGTGTATCTGTGGGGAAGGTTAGATGAGATGACCAGAAGGTCCGATCCAGCACTAACACACCACATCCTGCTGGCTCGTCCAGTCTCTGACCTTCTCCTCTCCCCAATTCCAGTGCCCCCCCCCCAGTCACCAGCATGACCCAGAGATCTCCCAGTGGGTCTCCTCAACCCCTCCCTCTAGCTGCCAGAATCCACTCCCCTCTCTGGTGTTTTCACATCCCCTCTCTCCCATAAAAGAACCTTCATTGGCTCCTTCTTTCTCTCCTTTCAATCCTGGTGCTTTAGTCTGACTCTGTCACTTGCTGCTGTTGACCTGCTCCTTTCACTCGGCCAATCCAGCCCTACATGTGCTTGGGTGTTCCTGCCACCAGCCGTCTGCACACGCCATCCCCCTCACTTAGACTGCCTTCGCCCTGCTGTCCTCAACCTTGCCTCAAAGTCCCTTCCCCCAGAGGACCCTAATCAGGCCTTCCCTTCACATTCTCTAAGGGCCGATAGTGCTGTTTGCACTTGTGACGTGCTTATCTGTGCCTGCCTGGGCCTTCTGAGCTGGAGTGCGTGTGGTACTGCTCCATCGAGCTGCGAGCTCTGACGGGAAGGGGTCGTGGGTCCCCTGTTGGACTGCGGGTTCCCAGACGGCTGGGATGCTGGGGTGGTGGGATCAGCAGGGGCGAGAGAGGGGAGCGCGTGCTACTGGGGAACATTGCCTGGGACTTGATGCTGCAGCTGACGCCCCACCCACCCTGCCCACTGCTGGGCCAGTTGGGAAGAGATAAAGGGTGGCTGTGGCTCAGCACCCCCTGCTGCCCAGGGCTGGGCCGAGGCCCACACCCACCTTTCTGTTCCCTGCAGGAGGAAGAGAATGGAGGCCGAGGAGGAGGTAAGGAGGGAGTGGTGGAGTTGGGGCCCATCCTTCAGCTTCTGTTTCTCCCCTCCCCCAAGTCGGCCTGTGTTCCTCTGTGCCCCTCCCCCGACTCCTGTCCCTGTCTTTGCTCTTCTCTGCGCTCCTGGTTTGGCACCTCTGGGCATCTCCTCTTCACTCTCACTCTGTCCTCCCTCTTTCTTCCTCATGTTGGTCTCCCTCGGGGCCTGTCCACTTCACACACGTGGTGGGTGGTGCTCTGGGACAGCAGATAGGTGTCCTCAGCCTAGACCAAGGCAGAGGCAAGGGCTGCTAGCCTGGGGGCTGGCGGTGGGTGCATTGACCAAGGGTTGTCCTTGGGGGTAGAGACAGTGGGGTCCTCTTGGGAGTCAGGGGCCCGAGGTCGTTCTCCTAAGATGTGAGCTTGACTCCTTGCTGTGCGCTTTGCTGCCCCGAAGGGCCCCTTGCTGGTGCCCTGGCTCGTGGGTATTCAAGGCAGAGCTCCTTAAATAGGCAGCCTTCCTCTCTGCTGCTAGGCTTCTGCTGGGCAGCCATGAGGACAGTGTCCTCCTGAGTCCCCACCCTGAGGCCTCAGGAGGTAGAGGGAGGAGCCAGCTGACAGAGAGCAGGCTCCTTTCTCTGATGGACACAGTTCGTAGCAGAGGAGTGTTGTTGGGGGTAACACAATTCATGCCCACCCTGGGGTCTTCAGGCTTCTGCTTGGAGCCCTCTGACCCTGGCGAAGGGAGTGGGTGGGAGATGTGAGTGTCGGCTGTGTCGCTGGGTCTGTGGGTGTGGACATCTCTGGGGGGCGTTTCTCCCTGCCATGTACCTGCAGGACTTGCTGCGGGCCTCTTGTATGGCGCCCTTGCCTTTGTCTCGTGGCGTGTGTGCGTGCGTGTGTGTGTGTGTGCGTGTGCGTGTGTGGGAGAGAGAGAGAATCTGTTTCCCTCACTAAACAGTGAGCTTCCCTCACTAAACAGTGAGCTGCAGTAGGGCCAGGACTGTGTCTCTTCATCCTTCGCAGTCTAGTGTCTAGCACGTGACGGGGACACGGTAGGCATTTCCAGAGCAACTCTGTGTGTGTCCATGTAGGTTTCCATTCTCCCAGGTGTGTGTCCTCTCATCTGGTTCTGTGCACCTGTGGGTCTGTCCACAGTGTCCCTGTGGATGTGTGGGCTTGTGTGGGCCTGTGTACCTTTGTGTCCAGGTGAGTGTGACCATTCTCTGAGTGTGTGTCCCCTGTGTGTAGCTGTGCATGGGTGTGGCCTTCAGCAGCGCCCCCAGCTAACCTGGCTGATGCCCACCAGGACCCTCCCCCTGGCCCCGCCTGGAGCCCATGGACACCATCTTTGTCAAGAATGTGAAGGATGCTGGCCCTGCCCACAGGGCAGGGCTTCGCACAGGTGAGCTGTCCCAGTTACCTGGCTTCCTGCACCCTCTGGGGCTCTGTTCCCTACCTTCTGGTTAGAATGGGAGTCTTGGATACAGGCACTGGGGAGGCTCCTGTCCCCTCACTGTCATCCATACCTGGCGGTGCAGGGGTTCTCAGGTGGGGCCATTGACACCCCTTGGCCTTCTCACATGTGGCCCCGCCCCGTGTCCCCAGGAGACCGGCTGGTGAAGGTGAACGGGGAGAGCGTCATTGGGAAGACCTACTCCCAGGTCATAGCTCTGATCCAGAACAGGTGAGTGCCCCCTGCCCTCCTCCTCCCAGAGTAGCTCTCTGCCCACCTTGTCCCTGCGCACCCACCCTTTGGCCCTGGGGCTGCCCTGGCCACCAGGATCCCTGTTCTCCCAGACCCTGTTGCCCTAGCCCGGCCTGATCTCTGCCCTGTCTCTGTAGTGATGACACTCTGGAACTCTCCATCATGCCCAAGGACGAGGACATCCTCCAGCTGGTGAGTCCTGCCCCTGCGGTCTGAGTGGAGGACCCCCGAGCCCTTGGGGGGCAGCATATGGCCCTCCTCTGTGGGCCCTCATTCCTGCATTGCACCCCCGGGAGACAGAGATGTGCAGGGGTGGCACAGGCCAGCGTTGCCCAATCGGAGATGCCAGGCCCGTCCCTGGGCTGGTGCTGGTTGTTGCTTCATTCAGGGCTGCTCTGCGCTGGGGGAGAGGGGAGGCGCTGGCCTTGGCAGGCAGAATTCCTGCCAGGGTATCTGGAAGGAGGGTGGCCCGGCGGGCCCTGCCAGACTGGCATGTTCTTTTTGGCTCCTATGGAAGCTGCCTGTTCCCTGCACCCACTCCCTGCTGGCCCTGAGTGAGCATGTCTGGGGTAGGTGTGTCCCCACACACACAGAGCACACCCCAAATACCCCTCAGCACATCCCACCCCACCCCACTGTCATGTGCACCCCTCAGTACACAGGCAGAACACACCAGATGCGCAGCCACTCGGCATGGCCCTGCAGCCTCACCCTTCACAGAGCATGCCACGCCACACACGGTGCACCCGGCATGTGCCACCACAGCCAACCCCCAGTGCACCCAGGCACCCACCGCCACAGTTCACCCTCAGACATCACAGGACACAACAGTGCATACACCTGCAAACTTCAGAACATCACAACACACTCCAGCGTCTCAATTCCCTGCAGCACAAAGAGAATAGCGTATCACAATGTGTATACTTGGACCTCCCACCGCCGTGATATAAACACACGCGGACGTGTTATCACAACACGCGTGCCCACAAACATCACAGCGTGCCCCAGCCCATCTCAGCGCACGCCCTCACCAGTATCCCAGGATCCAAAATGTATACAATCGCAGTGTGCAGTCTGGACTCGCTCCCCTCCGGACACCTCGGCATACCTAGAGTACAGCATCCAGCCCGCCACACAAAGAGCATGTGCCGCAGACATCGCAGGAAGCGTGCTTTGAACTCACAGTGCACCCGTTCACACACACACACACACGCACACACGCTCATGTGCGCTTGCTCTCTCTCTCTGCCCAGTGCCCACTTCCCTGGTCTCATGGGTCACAGCCAGATGCCAGCTTGCTTGCCCCTGAGGTCATTGCCCCCAGGGGAGGCCCTGGGAGCCGCCACCCTGGCTTCTGCCTTGGCCGCGCTCTCGTAATCACTGTAATCACAGTGCCACGCTTGGCACGATGCCCCTCTGGGAACCTCCACCCCTGACCTCGATTGTCCCCTTGGTTTTCCTGGGCAGGGGGAAGGAGGAAGGGGGAGCCCCAAGAGCTGGACAGCTCACCCCAAGTCTCAGAGGCCCTGCCTGTCCAGCTCCCCGCCCCGGGTTGAGGCGAGGCCAGCCATAGGAGGATGACAGGGTGGGACTTAGGGTGTTCCCCACTCTCTAGCCAGCAGGAGCAAGGGGTGGAAGGGCAGCAGCCTTGAGCTGTGCCACCCAGGCTCAGGTAGGCGCAGATGTCAGCATGTGGGGGCCTCCACCGGCCCCCACATCTCCAAAGGCGAGAGGGTGGGGCCCAGGCATTCCTGTGGTTGGGAGCCAAGGCTGGAGGCCAATCGGGCCGCGGCAGCTGCTGACGCCACCACCGACGCGGCGAGGCCCCTCCACACCCATCCTCCCCTCCCTCTGCCTCCCGCCAGCCGAGAGAGCCTGGTGGGGGCCGAGGGGCAGCGCAGGGAGGGCAGCCGGAGGGGGACGGGGCCCTGGCTAGGGCGCCGCAGCGGTCAGTGGGGAGTTGGTGGGGTGGGGGGAGGGCGGGGGCGGGCCGGGATGCTGCCGCCACCACAGCCTTGATGCAGGGAGCCCCGGGAGCCGGCAGGATGGCAGGAGGGAGAGGTATGCGTGTCCCTGGCCCCTTGTGCCGGTCTGGAGGGGCTGAGTGTGCGGGGGTGTGGCTTAGCTTGTCCTTGTCACATGATGTTTGTGTCTGGGACTGGAGGTGTAGTTGTTTGTGTGTGTGTCTCATTGTGTTTTGCTATGTGTGTGTGAGTGTGTCTCTGGGTGTGTGTCTTCCTGTGTCTCCTTGTGGCATGGAGTGTGTGTGTGTGGTTTGGCTTCGCCCTGCCGCCCTGTGATACTTCGCCCTGAGAGAGGCCCCGGGCAGCTCATCAAGGGCCAGGCTGGGCCAGGGCCACAAGGCCGCTGTCCCTGAGAGCTGCCTCCTTTTTTGGCTGGGCCTGGGCGCTGGCCCTGTCACTCCTCAGCAGTGTAGCGTCAGCCTCAGCTCCCAGCGCCAAATTCCGGGCCTAGGGGTGGCAGAAGGTGGCCCAAGGCCCCTCAGCCAGTCTGGCCCCTCCTCCAAGCCTGGCTCGAGGGAGCAGGAGGCGGGCAAGTCCCTCCTCACTTGGGGCTCAGGAGCCAGGCCAGCTCCCCATCTAGGATGGAGGAACAGCTGGGCTCTCCCTGCCTCCACCCAGCCCAGCCCACCCCATCCTGGACACGCCCCTGGCCGGCTTTCTTGTATCGTCTGCCACCTTGACTGGTGTCTGCTGGGGTTTCCCAGCTCTGCCCGTGGAGCTGTGAGCATCGATGGACAGAAGGGAGCAGGAAAGTGGCAGAGGCCAGGACGGGGGGAACCCAAGAAAGCAGATGGCGGAATGTTTGTGGCTAAGGGCAGTCCTTGTCATATGTCTCAGAGAAATCCTGCTCTTTCTCAAGTTTGTGCACACGGGCGTGTGTGTGTGTGTGTGTGTGTGTGTGTGTGTGTGTGTGTGTCTCTCTCTCTCTCTCTCTCTTTCTCTCTCTCTCTCTCTCTCTTTCTCTCTCTCAAAGGCCTCTCTCTTACTTCTTTGTCCTCGTCTGGACATGCCCATCCACCCACTCCTACTCAGGACTCCCACTGCTTGGTCCTCTCCCTTCAGGTCCCTTCTGAGGTCCTTGACCTCCCAGGGCTGCTGCAGCCCTGCCCTGTGGGACCTGTCTAGCCTGCTCACCTGCCTCTGTGTCTCCGGCCAGGCCTACTCGCAGGACGCCTACCTGAAGGGGAACGAGCCGTATTCTGGAGAGGCCCGCAGCATCCCAGAGCCGCCCCCAATCTGCTACCCCCGCAAGACCTACGCCCCACCGGCCCGGGTCTCCACCTGGGCCACTATGGTGCCTGAGCCCGTCTCAGCACTGCCTAGTGACCCCCGGAGTCCTACTGCCTGGAGTGACCCGGGGCCCCGTGTCCCGTCTTCCACCCGTGCCCACCTGGACAACTCTTCCTTGGGGATGAGCCAGCCCCGCCCCAGCCCTGGTGCCTTCCCCCACCTTCCCTCGGAGCCCCGGACGCCCCGTGCCTTTCCGGAGCCTGGCAGCCGGGTGCCCCCCAGCAGACTGGAGTGCCAGCAGGCCTTGTCACACTGGCTGTCGAACCAAGTCCCCCGCAGGGCGGGTGAGAGACGGTGCCCAGCCATGCCTCCCCGGGCCCGCAGCGCCTCCCAGGACCGGCTGGAGGAGGTGACTGCCCACCGCCCGTGGCCCTGCTCCACCTCCCAGGATGCCTTGAGCCAGCTGGGCCGGGAGGGCTGGCACCGAGCTCGCTCAGATGACTACCTGAGCCGGGCCACCCGCTCAGCTGAGGCACTGGGGCCAGGGGCACTGGTGTCGCCCCGCTTCGAGCGCTGTGGCTGGGCTTCCCAGCGTCCATCTGCCCGCACCCCTGCCTGCGCACCTCGGGACCTGCCAGGGCCCCAGGCCCCACCCCCACCTGGCCTGCAGGGCCTGGATGACATCGGGTACATCGGGTACCGGAGCTACAGCCCATCATTCCAGCGCCGGACTGGCCTCCTGCACGCGCTTTCCTTCCGGGACTCACCCTTTGGGGGGCTGCCCACCTTCAACTTGGCCCAGTCCCCTGCACCATTCCCACCAGAAGCTGCCGAACCACCCAGGGTTGTGCGGCCAGAACCTGGTGCCCGGGCCCTGGAGCCTCCCGCCGAGGACCGCCGCGATGAGGTGGTCCTGAGGCAGAAGCCTCCGACGGGCCGCAAGATCCAGCTGACCCCTGCCAGACAGATGAACCTTGGACTTGGTGACGAGCCCCCAGAGCCAGAGGCCAGTGGGCGAGGGGAGCGTCTAGGCAGGAAGGTGGCCCCTTTGGCCACTACTGAAGACTCTCTGGCTTCCATCCCCTTCATTGGTGAGTGATGGTGCAGGTGGTGGTCGTGGGAGACCTGGTCGTCCCTGCTGTGCCCCGTCTACCTGTCTACCGTGGGAAAAACTCTGGGCTGGGTGCTGATGGGATTATCTTGTTTCTGTGTCCATCCACCCTTCCTTCCTTCCATCCTTCCATCCTTCCTTCCATCCTCTGTCATCCTTTCTTCCACCCTGCCTCCCATTCATTTATCCTCCCAGCCATCTTTCCATCCACTTCTTTCCTCCCTCCCTCCTTCCTTCCATTCATCCATCCGTCCATTCATTCTTCCTTCCTTCCTTCCTTTCCTCCCTCTCTCCCTCCTTCCTTTGTTCATTCTTTCATGTGTTCTTTCCTTTCTCTTCCATTCATTCATCCATCATTCTTCCCTTTCACCCTTCCATCCACCTTCCATTCTTTCTTTCTCTCATCCTCCCTTTGTATCTTTCACTCTTTGTCCCTGCCGTCCACCCCCCACTCCTCCCTCCATCCACACCCATTGGTGCCAGGCCCTGTGCTCGGCTCCGTGCTCTGCCAGAGTGGACAGTCAGGCAGGAACAGCCCAGTGGCCTGGGCGTGTGGTGGTGCAGGGAGCTGGAGGAGGACAGGGGCTGTGGAACCCCGACTGGGGCGTGGCAGCCACAGAGAAAATCTTGAGAAAGAACATTTTGGCGAGACTTGAAGGATGAGAAGGAGCGGGTCAGGGGAGAATGATGAAGGAGCGATATGCAGAGAGGCAGGATGCCTGCCGCCCGGGTCATGAGGACCCTTCTGGGTCTGAGGGGCCTCATGGGTCACTAGGGGGTGGCCCCTGTCCTGAGAGCAGAGGGAGCTCTCGGGGGCTTGCCTCAGAGGGAGCCTGAGGGGAAGCAGCAGGAGAGTGGAGCCTCGTGATGCCGGGTCTCTGGCCTGGCTGGAGGGCTCCCCACCCCACACTGGGGTTCAGGGGGGCTGGGCAGGAGGAGCAGGAGAAAGTTTAGGGCTTGTTGAATACAAGGCGCCCATGAGGGAGCAGGGCAGGCTCGGCTGGGTCTGGGACTGGGAGCCAGGGGCCCAGATGGGGCCAGAGCGGGGAGGCGAGCTGGCCTGGGGCAGCCTGGGAGTGAGGAGAGGGGGCCTCCCTGCCAGCCTTCAGTCGGAGGGAGACACAGCCCCTTCTTTTAGTGACTCCCCGACTGAGGAGGAGATATGTCTTGTCTCCCAGAATATTCTCTGTCTGGGGGCAGATGTAGTCTCTTCCCTCAGGGAGCCCCCAGCCGATGTGGGAGACAGTCCCTGCCCTCAGGAGGCTCCCAGTCTGACGGGGGAGTGTTGGCTGTGCCCTCAGCAGCCCGGGCTAAGGAGGGAGGCTCAGCCCCACTCCCGGGAGCCCTTGGTGTGATGGGGGAGGCTCAGTCCCTGCTGAGGGGAGAGTCCATGACCACAGTCTGGGGGGCCGGTGACACCTGGCAGTGGACATGTTGCCAGCGGGATGCTGGAGGACATGAGGCCCTTTGGGGTGTGGTCTGAGCCTGGAGGCGAGTGGCGGTGGGTCTGGCCAGGCTGGGGAGGGGCAGCAGGTTCCTCTCTCTGCCACCCTCACACCTCGCTCCTCCGCTCGCACAGATGAACCCACCAGCCCCAGCATTGACCTCCAAGCCAAGCACGTCCCCGCCTCCGCTGTTGTCTCCAGTGCCATGAACTCAGCCCCCGTCCTGGGCACCAGCCCGTCCTCCCCAACCTTCACCTTTGCCCTTGGCCGCCATTACTCGCAGGACTGCAGTGAGTGCTGCCCCCCGCCCCACCCTGGCCCCACCCTCCCCCTTGCTGCCTGGTCCCCAGGGTCCCTGCTGGGCCTGCTGCCTGATGTCTGGCTTCTTCCAGCTGGCTTCTGCTCCTCCTGGGGCCCACGGGGAGAGTCACCCCCTGGCCCTACCCGGAAGGGAGGGCTCTGGGGAAGGCCCTGACCTGCACCCGACTGACCCCAAGGCCCAATGTGGGCGGCTTTGCAGGCAGCATCAAGGCTGGCCGCCGCTCCTCCTACCTGCTGGCCATCACCACGGAGCGCTCCAAGTCCTGCGACGATGGGCTCAACACCTTCCGGGATGAGGGCCGGGCTCTGCGGTGAGGCCTTGTCTGGACGTGGGGTGGGGCGGCTGCTCCCTAGGCCGGGCCCCGGGGGCCGACACACAGGGCAGTGTGCCACCTGCCCGGAAGGCCTCTGGGCCTGGAGGTGTGCCAGGCGGTGGGAGTGAGGTCTCCACCGTGCCTTGCACATCCCTCACCCTGCCCCTCGCTGCTCCCCAGGCGCCTGCCGGACCGAGTGCCCAGCCTGCGGGTGCTTCGCAGCTTCTTCACCGATGGGGTGAGTGGCAGCTGTGCGTGTGTGCGGGAGGGCGTCGGGGAGGGTGGGGCATGGCCTTGACTTCCGGGACCCGAAATGAGCTACTCTGGCTCCTGCCTCCTTCCTCTCGGCACCTGCCCACCCCGTGTCGACCACCTGACCCATCCTCTTCTGTGGGCTCTGCCATCACTTCAGGACCCTGCACGCCCCCCAAAGGCTGTCGCACGTGCCCCCCCCATCTGGAATGCCCCTTTCCAGGCCCACCCCCCATGACCACATGATTCACTTCTCCACTTTCTCCAGGATTTTTTCGGCCTTGACATTTCAGCCTCCGCTTCCCTACGCGACGTCTGTCTCATGTCGCACAATCTCTGTTTGTCTTCTTTATTGCCGGCTCCTCTGCTACGACATACTCAGGACCTGGGGAGACAGGATCAGGTGTGCAGTGGCCTCACCTCTTTTTGATGAGAGATGGACTGGAAAAGCCATCTTGATTTCAAACCTGCCACATCTCTGGTTATTTTAACGCCTTGATGCTATTGTCACCTGGCCCGTTCCTATCACTTCCTCTGCTTACTTAACTCTCCCCAGACGTGCATCTCTGTTGCTGAGTCCTGTTGACACTATTGCTTCCTCTGTTTAACTCCTTGTGGACGTGGCCACCTGCTCCCCTAGCTCAGTCTTTGTTGATGTTCCCACTTCCCCTGTTTATTTAACTCCTTGTTGACACAATCACTTCCTCTGTTTCCTTAATTCCTTTAAGTCTATAAAGTTACGGCAGGTTCCAGATTGGCTTTCCTAGCATGGTGAGGCATGTGGTCTGCAGGCGGATCGTAGCCTTTCCTCCTTTCTGGCTTCTCCATTACATACATCTCATGACCTCACCGCAAGTGGACCAGAGAGGGCAAGCAGAGCCCATGAGGTCACACAGCACATCAGGGTCTGGCCCAGCCATACGCCAGACTTGTGTGGCTGCCAGTGGTCCATGGGGTTCCTGAGATGCTGGTACTGTGGGAGCCACCCTAAATTGTCCTCTGTGGTCTCCTTGCAGTCCTTGGATAGCTGGGGCACCTCCGAAGATGCTGACGCCCCTTCTAAGCGACATTCAACCTCTGACCTCTCAGATGCGACCTTCAGCGATATCAGGAGAGAAGGCTGGTTGTGTTACAAACAGATCCTCACCAAGAAGGGGAAGGTAGGATGAGTGGAGGGATGAGGTGGGGGTGGACGGAAGCTGTCTCCGGCAGAGCTCTCCAGCTTCTCCTGCAGACACCCCTCAAGCCTCTGGAGCTGCAGAGAGCCAGCTTAGGTGGTAGCATGAAGGATAGAGGTTAGATGCTAGGAAGAACTTCCTGGGGGAGACTTAAAGAACTCACGAAAAGGAGGTTAACAAGAGAGGTGGTCTTTGCTGTGGGATGATCCGGCCAAGTCGTGCTGGGAATTCCGACAAAGCCATCCCACAGTGGTCGTCGGTGGGCAGATCTGCAATGGCCCCTGGGGTCTTGGAAACAAGGAGTGAGGCCAGGGCGAGTCTCCTAGGGGAGCTGAGGCCCAAGGGGAAAGCCTGGGCCAGCCTCTTTAGGGCCTTGCAGAGCAGCACAGGGTTTAGTCTGCGTCCTGAGGGCAACTAAAAGCTCCTCGGGGCTCTTCTGGGAGGGAGTTACAGCTTTAAAATATGCTCTTGGCTTCCTGGGAGGGAATCAGAGGGGCCAGATTAGAGGCAAGAAGACCAGTTAGGAGCCACCAGTGAGATCAGGTGAGAGATGAAGGGGCCTTGGACCTGGGGGCCTGGGGAGCGGAGGAAAGGGGCTGGGAGGGCAGACAAGAGAAGGGGAGCCCAGGATCCATGGGGTGCGAAACTCGGCCCCAAGCTGTGCCTGGGAGCTGGGGAGGAGGGAGGAGAGAGGGGCCGTCTCTGCGGCCCCACTGCTGTCTCTCCCAGCCACCAGGTGAGGACGAAGCTGGGTGTGACTCCTGACTGTGCCACGTACAGCTCCAGAGCTCAGGCAGCTCACCCACCATGACTCAGTGTCCTCGTCTGTAAATGGAGCTCGTGGTAATCCCCAGCTCGTAAGCCCAGCGCTGGGGAGTAAACGAGATGATCTCAGTAAGGGGTTTGCCGGCACCTGGCACTCAGAGCTGCTCTTGCTCCGCTTACTGCTGTTTGAATTTCTCACCCTGCCTTCCGGGCTCTGGGGGTACCTGGAAAGAACATAAGCTTTTTTTTTTTTTTTTTTTTTGAGACAGAGTCTCACTCTTTTGCCCGGGCTAGAGTGCCGTGGCGTCATCCTAGCTCACAGCAACCTCAAACTCCTGGGCTCAAGCGATCCTACTGCCTCAGCCTCCCAAGTAGCTGGGACTACAGGCATGCGCCACCATGCCCGGCTAATTTTTTCTATATATTTTTAGTTGTCCGATTAATTTCTTTCTATTTTTAGTAGAGACGGGGTCTCACTCTTGCTCAGGCTGGTTTCGAACTCCTGAGCTCAAACAATCCGCCCGCCTCGGCCTCCCAGAGTGCTAGGATTACAGGCGTGAGCCACCGCGCCCGGCCTTCAGAACATAAGCTTTGAAGCAGACAGACTTTCAGTTCCTGCCTGGCCGCATATCAAACACGTGGCTCTGGGCACCCCCTTAACTTCCCTGAGCCTCACTTTTCAGATCTGTAAGATGGGGACAGTGTTATTCCACTCCAAGGGCTGTGTGGATGAGGCGAGACGCGTGGTCTGGGCAGGACTGGCGCTCCTCCGTCCTTAATTACCAAGGCCTCCTCTGCTCAGGGGCCTCCCATCTCTTTTGAGGTCCTGGGGATTTAGTGGTGAGAGGGCCAGGCTGGCCCTGCCCTCCTGGGGCTCCTGACAAGCAGAGAAAGCGCCTGTGGCCTGATGGTTCCACAAGCACAGACTGCTGTGATGGGGGGTTCAGAAGTGGGGTAGCGTCGGGGAGGGCAGGTGTCCAGAGGCTGAGACATTTCTCATGGAACATGGAGGGGCAGGGAGGGAGAGGAGTGGGTAGACGCCGTCTTGGGGGGTGTGGGTGTGGAAGGTGGAGAGGGGTGTGCGGGGAGGCTGGGAGCCAGGGTGCCTGGAGCGCCCTGGGCAGGGGGTGGAAGGCCGGATGGGGAGTCGGGCATGTGCTGTGGCCTGTGGGGCCCTGGCACCCAGGGAAAGCCCGTCCAGAGTTTTAATTGGGGAGTGGGGAGGTGTGTGACGACAGGAGACAAATGTGTCTGTGACAGGAGGAGACAATGCCATTGCTGTTGTCTAGGTGAGCGAGGCAGGGGGTGGGAGAGCTCTGGCCAAAGTCAAGGCGTGGGGTGGGTGGAGGGGACCGTTTAGGGAGCAATTGGAGGGGAAGGACTTGCTGATGACTGGGAGGGCAGGAGGAGGGGGAGGCAGTATGGTTCCTGGGTTCCTGGCTTGGGCTGCAGGAGGATGGTGGGTGGTGGGACCCTCCCCAGGTGGTGGGATCCTCCCCTGGGCCACAGGGCACTGGAGGAACAAGTTTGGGGAAAGGAAGCCAAGGGGTTCCCTTGGGACTGTGGGACAGACCCCAGCGGAAGTGTCCTGGGGACAGAGGCTCTGAGGTTGTGGCACTTAGAGGAAGGTCCGCCTGGGCAGGGCCTTTGTCCATGAGCGTGCACTGGGCGCCTTGGCCTTGGGCACAGGAGCATGAAGGGAAAAGCAAGAGCCTCGAGAGGAAGTGGGGCGCAGGGAGGTGAGGCTGGTGAGATACCAAAAAGAGAGCCAGCGAGATCGCAGTGACACCAGGGGGTGTCCTGGGGAGGGGGGACAGCGTGTATGTTGAGCAGGGGAGCCACGTGCGGACCAGCCCTTCCAGTCCAATGTCTGAGCCCCATGGAGGCTCATGAGAGCGGCTGACTCACTCTGCCCGGGAGCCCGTCCCCCAGCTCCCAGGGCCCCTGGCAGCCCCCGGCCTCAGTGTTTCCTGGCAGGGACGGGAGCTGGCCCCTTCCTGCTCACTGGCTGCTTCTGGAGGCCAGAGCCTTCACTCCCTTGCTGGCCCAAATCTGATGTCACTCATCCCCTTGATGGCCTGGGAGTTAGAGGAGGGTCCTGGAGTCAGCCTCAGACCCTTGGTCTGTCCGAGGTCCTGTTTCCCAGGCAGATGTCATCTGCCCCTGCAGAGCAAGCCTCTTCGTGTCCCTCCCAGCCCCTAGCTTCTTTCAGAGATCGCTGTCAGACAGAGGAGGGGAGCGGGAGTGTGACTTGTCCCTGAAGCCACAGACCCAGCACTGGAGCTGGGTGCAACCTGGGCGCCTAGCTCATTCATTGTCCCTTGCCAGCTGGGGACACTGATGCCAGGGGAGGGAGCTTGACTCATGCAAGGTCATGCAGCTGGTTTAGTCTCAGAGGGGTGCCCTTGTCGCCACCTCACTCCCACACTGTAATTCTCCCTGCCGCCTCCTGCTCTGAACGTCCCTGTCCGGGCCCGCAGCTCTGCGATGGGCAGGACCCACAGCACCGATCCACTTGAGCGGGAGGCCAGAGTCGGCTGTGCTCACCTGCCAGCCACTGGGTCTCCTTCTCTGGTTTGACCCCAGGGCAGAGGCTGACACAGTGGGTAGGCCACCAGCCCATTCAGTAAATACTGATGAACACTCAGCCTGCAAGTGAGAGGACAGACGATGCCCCGGCCCCCAGGACAGCCTGAGGTTGCAGTAAGCACTCGGGGGAAATGAATGGGCTGATGAGGTCCATGCAAGTCGGAGGGAAGGGGGAGTGGCCTTTAGGGAAACAAAGGGGTCAGAGAAGGCCTCACTGGGGAGGTGATCTTGGTGATATGGGAGCTCAGATCTGAAGCCGGAGAGGGAGGCGACCACATAGAGAAGAGGGGGAAGGGGGCCCCAGGATAGAAGCAGCAAGTGCAAAGGCCCTGAGAAAGGAAGGGCTGGGCTTGGTCACTGGCAAAGGCCTTGAGATGTGACATAGTGAGAAAGAAGGAGGGAAGAAGATGAGTTTGGAGAGAGGCAGGGGCCGGACCACAGAAGACCTTAGATTTGATTCCAAGGGCTCTGGCATCCCATGAGATGGGGCTCTGGCCCCCTTCCTCTGCATTTGGAAATGATGGCTGCAGCTACCGGCTGGGAATGGCTGCAGGAGGTGAGAGTGGAGGCTGGGAAGGTGTGTGCCTTGTCCAGGCAAGAGGTGTTGATGGCGGGGATGAGGCGGTAGCAGGGAAGATGGAGACAGGTGATATTTTGGAGCAGAACAGTTGTGACTTCCTGATGGGTTGGATGTCAAGGGAAAGGATAAGGGAGGGGTCAAGGGCAACTCCCAGGTTTCTGGGCAACTGGGTGGATTGACTGAGCTGGGAAAGATGGGGGTGGGGGTGGAGAACAGGTTCGATGGTGAGAAATCATGTGGCCTTAAATGAGCAAGTAGTGTGTGAAGTGCCTGAGGGACATGCAAGAGGAGACGCAAGTAGGCCGCGGGCTGTGGCTGGGGGAGACGGTGGCCAGGGGTGTACATCTGGGAATCGTCATCAGCAGATGGACCGGGTTAAAGCCACAGGCATGGATGGCGTCCCTGAGGGAGGCGTGCGGGAGAGGAGAGCCCAGGACAAAGTCCTGGAGCTCCTTTAGGAGCTCTTATCCTCTGCTCTTTTGACATTTTGGGCCAGATAATTGTGTTTGAGGGGCTGTGCAGTGCATGGTGGGACATTTAGCAGCATCCCAGCCTCTCTCTGCTACCTGCCATGGCAGCCCCGCCCCTGTGTCTCCAGGCAAATGTCCGCTGGGGGTGATTCACCCGGTTGGGAACTACAGGTGTAGAGGGTGGGGATGGGCAGTGGAGGAGACTAAGAAGGAGCCAGAGGAATTAGGACGAAAACCAAGGAGTGTGGGGGCCCAGACGCCAAGACAGGGTTTGGAGAGGAAAGGAGGGGCCGGTCGTGCCAGCTGCTGCTGAGAGGTTTACAACAAGGGCAGGGAAGCAGCCACTGGCTTTGGCAGCCTGGTGGTCCGGGTGCCCTTGAGAGCGGGGAATGCTGAGTGCAGTGCTGGGGGAGAGGCGGAGAAGTGGGGAGAACACCCCGGAGTGTGGACAGCTCCCCACCAGCTTTGCTGGGGGACAGTATGTGGACTAGGGGTGGCTTTATGAGGATTTTATGTAAGGTGGGCCATGCCGGCAGGGGCCTCTGCTGGGTCTCTGGGGTGTTGCCAGCACCCGATGGGTGCCGATGCTGGTGTTTAGAGTGGGAGAAGGTTGGGGTCCTCTGGGGGGGTTGAGAGTGACGGGTAGGGGTGCCCAAGCGGGCGAGGGGCTGAGAGAGAGTTGGTGGACGGTGGGCAGGAGGTCACCTGGGTTCAGCCAGGTGGAGTAGAGGGGCTCCTGGTGGGCGGTGGGTGGGGTCTGTCCCTGCTGCTGTCCACTGTCGGCTGCTCCGGGGGTGGTGGCAGGCCTGGCCTCTCACCGCCCCTGTCTCCCCCCACCCCGTGTCTCCCTGCAGAAAGCGGGCAGCGGCCTGCGCCAGTGGAAGCGGGTGTACGCCGCGCTGCGGGCGCGCTCGCTCTCGCTGAGCAAGGAGCGGCGGGAGCCCGGGCCGGCGGCGGGGGCTGCGGCGGCCGGCGCAGGTGAGGACGAGGCGGCGCCCGTCTGCATCGGCTCCTGCCTGGTGGACATCTCCTACAGCGAGACCAAGAGGAGGCACGTGTTCCGGCTGACCACCGCTGACTTCTGTGAATATCTCTTTCAGGCTGAGGACCGGGATGACATGCTGGGCTGGATCAGAGCGATCCGAGAGAACAGCAGGGCCGAGGGCGAGGTGAGGGCCGGCCCGGCTCCGCGGCCGGGGGCAGGGCAGGGCGCCCCCTACCCGCTGTGGGCCTCCAGTGGCCGCTCCGAGCCTCACTTCCCTCTTCTAGAAAATTGGGCGGCAGGAGCGTACCTACAAGGGCATCCACCCAGGTTTCGGTGTGAGGAAAAATGCAGGGACAGTGGGTCAGCGCGCCTGGCCTCCTTGGCGTTCGGTGTCCGGCAGTAACCACGATAACCGCAGTGACGATAGTGGTTGCTACTGTTGTTAGGACCGCCCTGGGCAGGCGCTGGCAGAGAGCTCAGCCGCAGGCCAGTCCCAGCTTTTGGCAGGAGGCGAGGGAGGTGGGAGTCTCCCATGGGGTATATTACAGGATGAGGTGCCCTGCTCCAGAACTGTGCTAGGGCTGGCCTGTGTGCAGGGGGACAAACAGTGTGACCGTGGCCTTTGGCAGCAGGCGGGCAGAGTGCGAGTCAGGGGCTTTGGCAGAGATTTGGGGAGAATGTTTTAAAATGGCGCCCCCTTCTGGGCAGCCGTAGCTGCACTCACTCGGGGTTCCACGCAGCTCACCCAGGAACCTGCACAAAGATGCCTTGACACACCTGCACAGAGTTACCTGGGGGCTTGGGGGGTGGTCTCTGCCAAGGGCCAGTGGGCCTGGGGCCTGGTCCAGGTGGGCTCCTGCCCTGGCCATGGGAGACGGTGCTAGCACACAGCCCCCGGGCCACAGACCCTCCTGCTGAGGACAGGTCCTCTCGCTAACCAGGACATATCTGTCCTCACTGCAGGGAGGGAAGTACCTGGAATCTGGGCCCTCTGCTCTGGGGGCCTGGCTGGGCTGTCCCCAACAGGGCATGGTCAGGGTGTCCCGAGTCCTCTTCATTGTGCCAGTAGCTGTCCCTCATGGGGCACCTCCTCCATGCCTGCCAGGACTGTGATGCGTGCTGTGTGCATAATTCTGCACCCAACCCTGAGGTTGCCTTATTAGCTCCCCATGGTTATTGCTGAGGTGACTGAGGCTCAGAGAGGCTAAGTGGTTTTCCCAAGGCCACACAGCTGGTGTAGGGGTGCCCAGGAGTCCAGCCCTGGTCTTTCTCGCTCCAGGGTCTGTGCTCTCTGCCTGGCCAGTGGAGGAGAGGGGAAGTGGGGGGGCCAGGGATGAGCCTGGGGCTGGCCGGCTGTGGGCACTGACCCGATCTGCTCTCTCCCCTGCCTGCTCCAGGACCCCGGCTGTGCCAACCAAGCTCTGATCAGCAAGAAGCTTAATGATTACCGCAAAGTAAGGTGAGGCCCAGCCCTCGTGGAGCAGTCCCCACCTTGGGGGCGGTGGGGGACTCCAGGCAGAGGTCACCCTCCTGGCCCACCTCCAGGCCTGAGGCAGCCCCCACCCCAGGTTGCCCTCTGCTGGGGGCAGGGGCATTCAGGTTCTCCAGTCCCCAGACAGGCTGAGACGAACTGCCTCAGGATGGGGAGGGTCCCACATGGCAGGAGGCTGGGGCGGATGGCATGCTTGACCACCCCAAATGAAGACTCTTCTCTCTTCTTTCCTGTGCAGCCATAGCTCTGGGCCCAAAGCTGACTCCTCCCCCAAAGGCTCTCGTGGCCTGGGGGGCCTCAAGTCTGAGTTCCTCAAACAGAGTACAGCACGGGGCCTCCGCACTCAGGACCAGCCCGCAGGGAGCAAGGGTAGGAAGGTGGCTGCTGAGACGGGGTGGTGTGCATGTCTGCGTGGGGGGGGCGTGTGCCTGTGTGTGTGCCAGGGTTACCCCGTGTGTCTGGCCACAAGTGCATGCCTGTGAGGGGCTGGGGCGCTCAGGGTCTCAGGGCTAGAAGGACCTGGAGCCTGGTCCCCCTCCCTGACACCCCTGCTGGGTGGTCCTCCAGTCTTGGCTTGTGTCTGTGCAGAGGCCAGAGGCTCACCCTCTCTGGGGCAGCCTTTTCCGTCTTCACACACATTTGGCTGTTAGAAAGTTTTTACTTTGGTTGTATCAGAACCTATGGCTCCTGCCTTGTGGTTCTAGCCCTTGAGGCCACAGAGAAGCCCCTCCCCTCGGGGGTAAACGCACTCACCCCTTTGGCCTGCTCTCTTGTGATCTAATTTCCCATCGTCTCTCACCATCCTGGTTGCTTCTTTGATGGAGACCCCGTGTGTCCAAACGTGTGAATGTGGCAGTGAGTGCGTGTGACCGTCCCTGGCGCCAAGCTCACTCTGGCTCCCTCTGGCTCCCCCACCCCAGATGACAGTGCTGCTACCTCCAGAACCCCCTGGAGCATCAACATCATCAAGAAGAACAAGAAGGCAGCCCCGAGAGCATTTGGGGTCCGGCTTGAGGAGTGCCAGCCGGCCACGGAGAACCAGGTGGGTGTCTGCCATCTCCAGAGCAGGCAGGGTAGGGGGAGACGGAGCCCCAGAGGGTCAGAGCAGCAAGGGACATGGAACCAGCTCTCCCCCTCATTGTGCAGACACAGCTGGGGAAACAGTGCAGAGAGGGGAGGCCCCCCCGTCCTAGGTCTCCCACGGAGGGAGCAGCAGAGCAGAGGCCGAGCCTCGCTCCTTCTCAGCCACAATGAGGCTTTGGTGCTGTTTGTAGCCCCTAGACTGGAGGCAGCAGGGCCTTTTGTTCCCCCGCAGGGCTCCTGGCAGCAGCTCTGGGCCTTGCACTGTCCCCATCTTGGCCTCCCCACCTTCTCTGGCCACCATCACCCCTAACACCCCCACCCTGCCTGTGTCTCCAGCGCGTCCCCCTGATTGTGGCTGCGTGCTGTCGCATCGTGGAGGCACGGGGGCTGGAGTCCACGGGCATTTACCGAGTGCCCGGCAACAATGCCGTGGTGTCCAGCCTGCAGGAGCAGCTCAACCGTGGGCCCGGTGACATCAACCTGCAGGATGAGGTGGGTGCGGCTGGGGGGCTGTGGAAGGGAGTGGGGCGGTGTCGGGGGGGATGCTCTGCTAGGAGGGTTCTGTGGTCTGTTGTGTTGTATTCATTGTGCCCTGCGATGTGCCCGGCGTTGGGCCAGAGCACCAAACGGGCAAGATGGGACCTGCCCTTGCAGGCCAGCCCCGGGCATGGGCATCAGCCCAAGGCTGAACCGCACAGACAAACGCAGTCACGGCCAGGCGAGCTCCGAGCCAGAGGCTCCCAGGTAGTTTTGTCTGAGCCTTTAGGATGAGCAGAGTTCACTAAAAGCCAGTGAAAGCCAGGTAAAGGCATCGCAGGCAGAGAGGTGGCCTGGGCGATGGCGTAGACTCTGAAAGTTGGCCAGCAATGAACAGACTTTCTCCGCAAAGGGCCAGATAGTAAATACTGTGGGTTTCGGTTTGCTCTGTTGCAGTCTCTTCTCTTCCCGCTCTTCCTCCTCCTCCTTCTCTTCTTTTTCATAATCCTTTAACAATGTAAAAACCATACTTAGCTCAAGGGCCATACAAAAGCAAACGATAGGGGGATGGACACGCTTGAAGCTCGGACTTGGCGGGGGAGGGGGGACAAGGGCAACATGTGTAATCTAAACAAGTGATGGCTGGATTTTGCCTGTGCTGTGGCTTGCAGACCCCTGGATTAGAAAAGGGGGACTATATGATGCTTTCTAGAATGGCCAGCAATTTGGGCGGCTGCAACATGGGACGAGAAGCGGCTGATCAGAGGCGACGAGCCCAGCTTGTGCAGGGATCTGCTAACGCACTTAAGAGTTTGCAGCAGGGACAGTGGATCCCAAACAGTGTTCTCCGGAGTCCTGGGGTTCCCAGCGGGGCTGCGGGAGGCCAGGGGCAGGTCAGGACCCCCTGTCCTTGCTTAGACTAGAGCAACTCCACTTTGCTCGATCTTTCATACTGGGTTTTCATGTACGATTTTATTTGCCAAGAGGGGCCCTGATGAAAAGGATTTTTTGGGAAGTGGTGCATCTGGACAGCGAAGTCCCCTGAGTCACACACAATGAAGCCGCATGTAATATACAGGAGTCTTCCTGCCCTTGGGAAATGCGGGGCAGGGGGCAACACAAGTCCGTGTGAAGTCGTGGACAAGAGAAAAGGACAGGCTCTCATCAGGGACCAAACTGTGTGATGAAGGAGAGGATGCTGAGGGCTGGAGCAGGCGGTCGGATCGAGGGTTGGAGTCATTGCAGGATGGGAGGAGGCAGGTGGACAGGAAGGCAGTCCAGGTGGCGATGATGGCATATTCCAGAATCCCAAAATCCCCTGTTTCCAAAATCCCCAAATCCCGGAGGGTTGGGACAGAGAGTGGACCCACCTCCTGCGCTTGGTGGGGAGAGTGAGACCCAAAGGACAAAGGGCTTTTGTGGGCTTCACTAAAGTCTTTGACCTTGACCCCATGGACAATAGGGAACGTTTCATGGTTCTTAAGCTAGGGATGCAAAACCGAGAGATGGTGATGCTCCCACTTGCACCCAGTGGGTGCACATGGGGAGGGCAGGTCTGGCAGAGAAGTTACTGGTCTATGGGGTGCACTAAGGGTCAGGCGGACTCGGTGGTCCGGGGAGTGGAGGATGGGAGCAGCTCTAGGACTTGGCTGCGTGACAGGGAGGAAGGAGGGCAGGGAAGAGCTAAAAGTTTGAGCCGGGGCTGGTACTATCTACCCCTGGCGGAAACTGGGGGGTAGGCAGCTTGAGGAGGGTTGGGAAGGAGGGCCTGAGTCAGGGCGCGCCCCGCTAGATTCGGGGTGTGGAAGTCACCTATGCGGGGAGACAGCATACACGGGCACTAGACTGAGAGTGAACCACAGGGACATGGAGTCCTGCTGGGGATTGGGGGGCGGATGGCCAAGGGTGGGCAGCAGGAAAACAGGGCCGGGCTCTGAGTGGGACAGAAGGAGGGGACACCTGGGCATTTCACTCAGGAGGAGGCAAGGATGTTGGGCCACCGACCTGGGCTGGCAGGTGGGAGATGAGCCGTGTGGGGTGGGGGTGGGCACACAACGAAGCAGCAGCTTGGCCTTAGCCAGGGCTCAGGTGGGGGCGTGCCAGGGGTGTTGTTTTGTCTCGGACATCGTGGTGTCATTGTTGTGGGCAGTGCTGGAAGTGTGGTAGGGGGATCTCACTCCCGTCGGGCCTGTGGGGACTGTGTCATTTGTGGGATTGTCTGGCGTTGAGCTGTGGGCCCACTGTAACGGGTGTGTGCATCTTTGTGTTGTGTCTCTTTGTTGAGGGTATTACATCTTTCTGGGCGTGAGTTGCTCTGAGCCATTCCGGGCAAGGTGGGGGCGCCTGACTTTGCTGCGGCGTGGGGTGGTGGTGCCCCCTGGTGGACAGAAGGGGCAACAGCCTGGCTGTTCTGTCTTCATTCTTGTGTTCGGCAACCATTTACGTACACCAGGGTTTCTCAACCTTGGCACAATTGACATTTTGGGCAGAATATTTATTGTTGTGGGGAGCTATCTTGTGCATTTGGAGGAAATTAAGCAGCATCCATGGTCTCTATTCACTAGATGTGAGTGGCACCCCCAGTTGTGAAAATCAAAATGGCTTCAGACGTTGTCTGGAGAATTACTGATTCTGACCCTGTAAGTGCCAGACTAACTGTCCCAGCTGGGTGACAAGAATACAGTGTGGGGTAAGACAGACAGGATCGCTGCTCCTCGGGGAGCTTACAGTCCTGTGGGGAGAAAGGGACGAACAAGGAAACAAAAGCATGAAATAATGACAAGCTGGGGTCAGCTGCACAGAAGAAACAAAGTCAGGGCAGGGATGCAGATGGCAGGGTGTCAGGGAAGGCCTCTCTGAAGAGTGACATTTAGGCGGGATGAGGGACCGTGTGAAGTGGGGGAGGAAAGTTCTAGTCGAGGGGGCCAGCAAGGGCAGAGGGCTGAGACAAGAAGGAGCCAGGCATGGGCAACTGCTCTGTCATGGCTGCTTAGGCTTTGGGGGGATGGAGAGGGTGTCTGAGGATGACCCTTTAATGAACGGGGAACACTTGGAGGCAGGAGCTGAGCCTGGCACTTGTAGGTCCGGTGGAGGTGCAGTAGGCAGGCAGGTCTGGGGGCGGCTCTCGCTCACTTCTGTGCCCCACAGTGCCTGGCACAAAGAAGACAGCTGGTATTTTCTGTGGCTGGGCAAGTGTTGGAGCCCATCGAGCAGGCTAGAGCAGGGAGGACTGGGGCCAAATGTGTGTGTGTAGGGGGCAGGACCTAGCCAGGGACTCTGTTCTGCTGCCATCATCCTGATGAGTAGAGATCTCTGGTCTGGGCGGATCCTAGGGAGGGCCTGGGCCTGGCTTGACTGGACCCTGGGGGCTGGGCCTGCTTGCGGCCTGACGTGTGCCCCCTCCCCCAGCGCTGGCAAGATCTCAACGTGATCAGCAGCTTGCTCAAGTCCTTCTTCCGGAAGCTGCCCGAGCCTCTCTTCACTGATGGTGAGTAGGCGGTGGAGAGGGGGAGGGAAGCCAGTCTGTTCTGCACCCTGACCACTTTTTTATTTGGTTTGTTGGCTTTACTTTTGTTTTTCTTTTTTTTTAAGGCACAAAAGAAACACATACTTGTAAAAAACTTAGATAGCACAGATGCGAATAAAGTAAATAGCAGAGTCCTGTCCGCCTCCCACTCTCTTTCCCCAGAGGTTGCGGTGAACACTTTCTGAGTGTTTACTGTGCGCCCAGCAAGGTAGGTGCTGTTATCTCTCCTCTACAGAGGAAGAAACTGAGGCTCAGAGAGGTTAAATGCCTTGCTCAAGATCACACAGGTTCTAAGTGAAAGAGCCGGGATTCTGCCCCAGGCATCTGGCTCCAGAGCTGAGCTCTCGGTCATTTGCTGAGCTGCTTATTAACAATTTGTCGTGTTTCCTTCCCGACCCTCTGAAAAACATGACAGAGATGCATGCGTGCCTACACAGGGCTTAGAGTTGGATGGGCTCAGTGCTGTGCTGGTAAATGTTTAACATCTGGCTCTCCAGGGGGGAAAAAAAAATCCTTGACTTGTAGCGTTTTCCAATTTCCATGGTGTAAATACTTCCACCGTGGCTTACTTATTTTGAGCCACCAACGTGATGTCACCACCATGGAATTAAGAAGAAATGCACACAATCTGCTCCAGTGTGAGCGGGCTGCAGCACACCTCTGGTGGAGTCGTTTCTAACAAAAGCAGAGTTGTAATTCTGAGATTCATTCATGTCTGTACAGAGAGCTCTACCTCATTCTTCTTTTAAATCAACCACATAGAATTTCATAGTTTGAACAGACTATAATTTCTTTAATCACTCCCCTATTGATAGGTATTTAGATTGTCTTCAAATATTTGCTGTTATAAAACCTGTTGCAATGACTTTACTTAAATCAGCCCTTGCACGCCTGGGTCTGTGCTCTCTGAGTAGATTCTTAGATGTAGAATTGCTACGTCAAAGTCCTGGTAAACGCATTTGAGAGCTAATGTCAAATAGCACTCTGAGAAGGAGGCCCCAGTTCAGACTCCCACGAATAGCGTAAGAAAGAGTTTGTCTCCTCTCATGCTATTAGCATTGGATATTATTAATATTTTAAACTTTTGCTAATCAGATAAGGGAAATGGCATCTTGTTGTTTCTTTATTTTCATTTCCCTCATTACTAGGGAGATTAAATCTTTTTTCATTAGTTTATTGGCTTTCCCTATTATCTGCATAATTGCTTGTTCATACTATGTGCCCATTTTTCCATTGGGTTATTTGTGCTTCTTTCATATTGATTTGTGGGAGACAAGCTCTTGGGATATTACAGATACTAACCCTTGGTTAGTTTTTGCAAATAGTTGCTCTGCTCTGTCATTTGCCTTTTCACTTTTCAGTACAGAAACTGAAAACAATTTTTTAAAATGCAGTCAAAGCCGTTAATCTTTCTGTAAAGGATTGTGCACCTCATGTTTATGAAGGCCTTGGAATCGTAAAAATATTTTCTTATTTTTTTCCCCAGTGCTTTTATAATTTTTATATTTGGCTCTTCCACGCAATTAAATGTGTGTATTATGTGAAATAGAAGTGGATTTTTCCCTCCAAATGATAGCCATTTGTCCCAGGGCCATATACTGTGGCCTCTATCCCTCCCCACTGATTGGAAGTGCTGCCTTTATCATAATAGTAAATATTATGTTTAGGCCTGTTTCCCCCCTTCTTGGACTCACCATTGCTCTGCTTTCCCTGCCAGGGCCAGACGGCTTTCGCTGTGCCATTTTTTTTTTTTTTTTTTTTTTAGTATGTTTCAGTCCTGTAGGGCAAATCCTCCTGCATCATCCTTCCTTTAAAAACCATTCTTGGCTATCTTTGTGCATTAACTTATCCAGGTGAATTTTATTTATTTATTTATTTTTTTTGAGACGGCATCTCTCTCCGTCACCTGGGCTAGAGTGCCGTGGCGTCAGCCTAGCTCACAGCAACCTCAAACTCCTGAGCTCAAGCGATCCTCCTGCCTCAGCCTCCTGAGTAGCTGGGATCACAGGCATGCACCACCACACCTGGTTAATTTTTCTATTTTTAGTAGAGATGGGGTCTCGCTCTTGCTGAGGCTGGTCTTGAACTCCTGAGCTCAAGCGATCCTCCCACCTTGGCCTCCCAGAGAGTTAGGATTGCAGGCATGAGCCACCACGCCTGACCCAGATGAATTTTAGAACAGGCTTATCACTTTCCATTTTTTAAATTTCCTTGTACACATTTTCTGAATGGAGTTGGGGGAATCATGATAGGGGACATGAGGCCCTCCCCTCTTTAGAGACAACCTTCTCTTTTAACCTGCCAAACATTGGTGTCCTTGTCCTGGAGATAGGGGCAGGGACCCATTTTCTAGGATCAACATGCAGCTCAGATCTTATTTCTTCCCCAGTGAACACACCTGGGCTACTCCAGGTCAGGTACACACCTGAGTGCAGCTGTGGTGGGTTTGGTCACATAAGCACAAGGCCACAGAGCCCCCCAGTCTGGAACAGCATGGGCACAAAACATGGGTCTCCCAGCAGGGCCTCCTCAACCGGCCTGGGCCGTCAGCCCTGGGAGCAGCCCACCTGGAGACGGGGCGAAGGGGCTGCCTCCCACCTCTCTAAAGAGTCTTCACTGTGTTCTAGACAAATACAACGACTTCATCGAGGCCAACCGCATTGAAGACTCGAGGGAGCGGATGAAGACTCTACGGAAGCTGGTGAGGGGAGGAAGATGCTATTAGGCAGACAGGGTGTGGACGGCAGGGCAGCCCCGTCCCAGGAGGCCCAGAGACGGGTGTCACGGGTCCCCCTTGTGAATTTAGAGCAGCTTTTCTCCACTCAGGGTCTCAGTTTCCCCATCATACAAGGAAGGGCGGTTAGAGGGTGGATTCCAGACTCCCTGAGGTATGGCAATAGGAGCCCCTGTAGGGGGCGCCAGGGCAGGGGTGGCCTTCACAGCTGTTCCCCTGCCCCTCTCTCCCCGCCCAGATCCGAGATCTCCCGGGACACTACTATGAAACGCTCAAATTCCTTGTGGGCCATCTCAAGACCATTGCTGACCACTCGGAGAAAAACAAGGTGGGTGGTGGCTTGGCATGGAGTCTCCGGGAGGGAGCACAGCCCCCACCGCAGGGTCTCAACTCATTCTGGGCTCCTGTAGTCAGACAGCGAGCCTCTGTAGGCATGTCCTCCTCAGGGCTACTCTGTCCCCACCCACGCTGTGCCAGCCAGTGCTTCTCCCCAGAGAGCCATCTCTGAGTTTCTGAGGGTCTTCCAGAGGCAGAGAGCCACAGTCCCCCTATATTTGATGGATAGCTGTCCTCTGATGTAGCTCAAATCCCTTGCACTGCATTTTCCTCGTTGAACCCCTTGTGTCTTCTGGCTCTGCAGCAGGGAAAATGAGGGCAGTAATAGGATTTTTTCTCAGGCCTAAAATACCCCTGGGATCGCCGACATGTCTCTTACTCCAGGATCTCCCAGTGCTAGCGCTGACCACTCAGGGCTGCCCTGTACAGGTGTGCGGATTGGGCACTGCTCACAGCTGCTGGGCCTGGGGATGAGTGGGGCTGAAATCTGGCCTGTGCTCCACTTGCCAAGTACCTCCATGGCCGCACATGGGGGTGTCCAGCCCCTAAGTTGGGGGGATAGCTCAGGACACGGTCGGGGAGGGAGGCCTTGGGGCCTGGAGTGAGGGATGACGGGGAGGTGCTGGAGGTCAGAGTTCAGAGTGTTGACCCTGACCTGCTTCACTTTCCTGCCCAGATGGAGCCCCGGAACCTGGCCCTGGTCTTCGGACCGACACTGGTGAGGACGTCTGAGGACAACATGACGGACATGGTGACCCACATGCCTGACCGCTACAAGATCGTGGAGACACTGATCCAGCATGTAAGCAGCTGGTCCGTGGGCGCACCCCAGCAGCTCCCGGGACCCAGGCGGCGTTGCTCCGAGCACCTCGCTCCTGCTAGGCCTGGCTGGGTGTGCTCAGGGAAGGGCTCGGCAGCCTCAGAAAATGCCACTGGGGGGCGAATGCCCTTCAGAACAACAGCCTGCATTTCAAGGCAAAGTAGATTCTAGGAGCGGCTCCCAGAGGCCCTTCATTCTGGGACGTTGGGTCCCCAGCGGGAGAATCAGGAGGCCCAGAGCTTCCAAGATGCGTATGGAAGTCAGAGGGAGGAGGCAGGGCAGGGAAGCTGCTGCTGGGGCGGAGGGCGGGAGGGGCGAGGGCAGGAGTGCCTTCAGAAGCTGGCCTCCGGAGTCCGGGCAGACAAGCAGACAGGTGCAGAGCAGACAGGTGCAGAGGCGGGGCAGAAGTGTGGCCTGGGGATCAGGGGGCCTCGTCTCACTTTCCCTGCCGGCCCTACTGAGGTTCTGGGGAGGTAAGGAATGGTGAGTGGGGCAGGGCACTGAGCATGGGCCTGAGGCGGGATCCTGCGCTGGTGCTCCATGTGTCTTGGGCGGTCACCTCCCTTCTCGTGGCTTTCACCGAGAGCCCTGTGATCCTGTGGATTCTCCGTGATCCGGTGGATTCTTTTTTTTTTTTGAGACAGAGTCTCACTGTGTTGCCTGGGCTAGAGTGCCGTGGCGGCAGCCTAGCTCACAACAACCTCAAACTCCTGAGCTCAAGTGATCCTTCTGCCTCAGCCTCCCAAGTAGCTGGGACTACAGGCACGCACCACCATGCCCAGCTAATTTTTTCTATGTATTTTTAGTTGTCCGATTAATTTCTTTCTATTTTTAGTAGAGACAGGGTCTCACTCTTGCTCAGGCTGGTTTCGAACTCCTGAGCTCAAACAATCCGCCTGCCTCGGCCTCCCAGAGAGCTAGGATTACAGGCGTGAGCTACCGGGCCCGGCCAGATCCGGTGGATTCTTGTTGTTGTCCCTGAAGGCAGGAGAACCCTGAGCGGCCAGCAGAGGGCACAGGAGGCCTTGGTCTTCCAGAGCCGAACCCAAAGGCGGCACCACCCACTTCTGGGGCGCTCAGGGATGTTTTCATGAATCATCTTAGATTTTCCATTTGCAAATCTTGTTATAGCCCGCAAAGGATAGAAATAGACCCTCTCCTGCCTGGAGAAATAAGACTGGCAGCTCGCCAGAGGAAGGGAAGCCTTGGCCCTCCTCACCTCATAGACACTTTAGGGAAGGAAAATCAGGTTATATTACCCCGATTTTACAGATGAGGAAACTGGGACTCAGGGAGGCAAAGTGACTTGCTAATAACTGACAGTCCCAGGATTTTAACCCAGGTCTGTCTGACCAAAGACTGTGCTTTCCTCCCCGCCCACCAGAAGGGCAGCCTCCTGAGCTGGCCTTGGAGGGAGAGAGGCTGGCAGGGCAGGGGAAGGAGGCTGGGGGAGACCTCGGTCGTGCTGACCAGCCCCGCCTGCTGGTCTCCTTCCTGCGCCGCATGATCAGGCCTCTGAGCCACAGGAGGCAGTGTCACAGGCTGTCCTCATCCTGCTATTGGGACCACCAGCCTGGACACCCACTCTAGAGCTGTCGAGGAGGCCAGGGCCACTGGGCAGTGCCAAGGATCCTGCTGTGGCCTCAGGAAGGTTTAACTTCCGGGTGCAAAAGGGAGCCCTTGGAGCCGCCCAGCAGTGTGCGCTTTGGGGGACAGCAGTGGGGAAAAGAGGGTGTCTGGCACTGTGGCTCATGGAGAAGCCACGGGAAGCCTGAGGCCTGTGGTCAGCTGAGGTGTCAGGAACAGCAGCCTTCGGGGAAGAGGAGGCCCAAAATGTGTCCACTTACTGTCCCCCAGAGCCCCAAGGGGGAGTTCCCCTCTGAGCAGGGTGGGGGAGGGGGAGCATGTCTGTCTCATTAGCGCCGAGACTAGTGCTTGGCCCACGGTGAACACTCAGTGTCTGTGGGGTGAATGAATGAATGAGTGAATAGCTAACTGAGGTGATGTCAGGCTGGGCTTTTCGACTCGCGCATGCATTCCTGAGAACCGTCAAGCTGGTGGCTTCCATTCTCTGCCTCCTTGACATTGGAACATGATCAGCCCTAGGTGATTGTTGAGGGAATAAGCTACACCCTGCGCAGGCCCCTTGAGCTGGCCCGTGGGGTATCTGTCTAGCCCAGAGGCTCTGTAGCCAGGGAGTGGTGTCGCCATGAACCGCGGCTGTGAGTGGACTTGTGGCAGAGACGGCTTTGGCCCTGACTCTGGGCCCTTGGCCTGTCAGGGGATGGCTGGAGTTAATAACATTAACTCCTGCCGGGAGTGGTCAGTGCAGCCCGCACCTGGCCTGGGGCTCCTGTCATCTGTGGAACCCTTGGATAGCAGAGCTGGAGGGGCCTGCAGGCACCCAGACCAGTCCTCATGTCAGACAGAGGGTGACAACCAAGGTGTAGAGAGGAACAGCGACTTGTCCAGGGCCCCATAGCAGGATAGTGGAAGAGCTGAGAGCAAACCCAGGTGTTTGACCTCCCAGCGGGCAAATCACCATAGTCCGTGCCTGTGTTTAGTGAGTCAGTTGGAACCCAGCAAAGACCACCTCAAGGCATCTGTTCATTTGCTTACGTGATCATACCTGCATTTCCCAACCTCAGCACTAGTGACCTCTGGGGCCAGATGATTCTTTATTTATTGTGGGGGCTGCACCCCTGGCCTCTACCCACGAGATGCCAAGAACATGTCCCCAGTTGTAACAATCAAAAATGCCTCCACATAACCCCCTGGAGGGGCAAAACTGCCCTGATGTAGAGGTCAAGGACACTGGCCCTGGAGCCAGCCTGCCCCTTATATGCTGTGTGGCCTTGGACAAGTGACTTACCCTCTGCCTCAGCTTCCTCATCTGTAAAGAGGAGATAATATTAATAATAGTACCTACCTCACAGGGCTGTTGTGAGGGCTGCATGAGTTAGTATCTGTAAAGCACTTAAAATGGTACCTGGCGGTTAGTAAGAGTGTAAGAATTAGCCATCGTCATCATGGTCATTGTCATCATGTTCGTCATCGTCATTATTCCATGCCAGAGACAGATGCAGGTGCTGGGGACACAGATGAATGTGACCCAGCTTCTGCTCTGCAGCAATACTGCCAGTAACAGCAGCGTTTCTCATGCTGTGGACTGTGCCCTGGGAAGCCCCAGAGAAGGACCCACCCCAGCCCTGGGTGTAGGGCTGGGCTGTAGTATGTGGTTCTTGAACTGTCTTGGAAGCCCACGAGGAACTTAGCCGGGCAGAGCAGGGAGAAAGGGCATTCCAGGCCGAGGGACCAGCACAGACATGCAAAAGCAGGGTGGCGTGAGCTAGTGTGAGTTCTTCCTGGGAGCTGTGGGCCACTGGAAAGCTTCCTGCAGACTCCCTGGTGTGCAGAGCACTTTTGGTTAGAGGCTGAATCTTTTGGGCCAATCCCCAGGCTCCCTTTGCTCAGCCTGTCTCTGGAAGCTGCACCTTTTACTAATAACAGCTCACATTTATTACACGCTAACAGCATGTCGTACTCAATGCTTTACATATGGTATTTCATTTTAATCCTCACCATAAGGCTAGAAGTTGGTACTTATATTATACCCATTTTGCAGATAAAATAGACTCAAAGAGGGAAAGTAACTTGCCTGAGGTGAACTTGAACCGAAAGGACTGACTCCAGATCTTGGATTTCTTTCTTATCTATCTTGCTCTCGTCTCTTTTGTCTCTTTCTTGTTTTTCTTCGGTACTTCCAGTGCCGCTTGTTTGAGTCAATCATATGCCGGATCATGATTAATAATAACTGGGCTCATGCGCGTGGCCCCGCAAGTCCCCCGCTTTCCCCCTTAGCTCCTGACCCCCTTCTGCTCTCCCCTCTTTGACGTACCCACTCTAATAGGCTAATATATTCCAATCCACCTTCTGATTTTTTTCCTTTTTTTTTTTTTGAGACAGAGTCTCACTCTTTTGCCTGGGCTAGAGTGAGTGCCGTGGCGTCAGCCTAGCTCACAGCAACCTCAAACTCCTGGGCTCAAGCGATCCTCCTGCCTCAGCCTCCCGAGTAGCTGGGACTACAGGCATGTGCCACCATGCCCGGCTAATTTTTTCTATATATGTTTTAGCTGTCCAATTAATTTCTTTCTATTTTTAGTAGAGACGGGGTCTCGCTCTTGCTCAGGCTGGTTTCGAACTCCTGAGCTCAAACGATCCGCCTGCCTCGGCCTCCCAGAGTGCTAGGATTACAGGCGTGAGCCACTGCGCCCGGCCACCTTTTTTTTTTTTTAAAGACAGGGTCTCCTTCTGTCACCCAGGCTGGAGTACAGTGGTGTCATCATAGCTCACTGCAAACTCTGGCTCCTGGGCTCTGAGTATCTCATAATTACTTTCTGATTTTCTCTTTAATCCAAGGGTTATTTAGCAGTATCATTGATATGTTTCCAGACGTGAAGATTTAGGGAGTTTTTAGCTCTTTTTTGTTGTTATTTCTAATTTTATTTTATTATGAACAGACTATATAGCCTATTGGATGCTGACTCCTGAGGAACTATGGAAAGTTTCTCTGTGCCCCAGGATATGGTTGGTTTTTGAATGATTTATGTGTGTACTAAAAGAATATATTTTCTCTAATGGTTGAGTGTAAAGTTCTAGATATAACCATTAGATCAGACTTGTCAACTGTGTTGTTCAGTGTCTATATCTTATTTTTTAATCTTGTTGATAAGCTACAATATTATATTTAATCTTCTCTAGTCTCCTTGTAGTTATTTCAATTGTTGCTTAATATATTTTGAAAATGTGAAACACATATACGCTGTGATTGATTGATTGATTGATTTAGAGACAGAGTCTCGCTCTGTTGCCCGGGTTAGAGTGCAGTGGCGTCAGCCTAGCTCACAGCAACCTCAAACTCCTGGGCTCAAGCGATCCTCCTGCCTCAGCCTCCCGAGTAGCTGAGACTACAGGTGTGCACCACCACATTCGGCTCATTTTTCTATTTATAGTAGAGACTTTTTCGCTCTTGCTCAGGCTGGTCTTGAACTCCTGGGCTCAAGCGATCCTCCCACTTCAGCCTCCCAGCGTGCTAGGATTACAGACTTGAGCCAGCTCGCCCAGCCTGAATTTTATTTTCTTGATATGAAAATTATGTGTTCTATTTTTCTTCTCCTGGAAGTTACTACCTACTCACAGGAACTCATGTCTAATTGCCACTGTCAGTTTCTAAAGCTTATCAGTATCTGTCTTCCTTCCACCACATCTAAAAGCCGAAAGTGCCTCAGTTACTTCCGCCCATCACTGTTTCCTCCTCTGAATTTGTATTCCAGATTGTCATGGGTGTAGGATATACTTTGTGTGCGTTTCAGTGCTTATTTTGATAACAATAGCCTTTTCCATGCTATTTATTCATCCTTACTTCTCAGAGCTTGTTGCTCCATCTGCATTCATTTCCTCACTCGCTCAAATACTTGGTTAAGAGTCTTTGTGTAGTAAACTTTATGATGTTTTAGAACAGCTTTATGTCACACTCAAATTTAAATTAGGGTTTAGCAACGTATCAAATTCTAGGTTCAAAATGGTATTCCTTCAACATATTGATATTATTGCTTGTCTTCCTTGTGTCTGTTGCTGCTCAGAGTTCTAAGTACTTATTCATTTGTAAGCAATCTGGTCTTTTTTTTTTTTGTCCCAGAAAACTTTTAGAATTCTATCTTCAAGATTCTCAAATTTCACAGAATGTATTTAAGTGTGGGGGTTTTACTTTATTTTCTATCCAGTTTGGCATTTATGAGAAAGCTCTTTCCTGCCTACCCCTCAGGGAACCTCCTGACACCTCTCTCCGGGCATTTTCCTTTTCTGGGCTGGGTGTGTGACACCCCCCGTGTCAGTGTGGCACCCACAGGTGGTGCGGGACACACTCGGCCCTCACGGCCGTGGACCCAGCCCATGCTAAGCGTGCCGCTGCCTCCCTGCCTTCCAGCTTGCTGTGGGGCATATGCCACAGTGATGTGCCGTGACGGTGTTTAGTGACAAACAGGCAAAAAGAGCAGCTCTCCTTGCGCCTGTCACCCATCTGTGGTGGGCTCTCTCCCACTCTGGGCTGTGTTCCCCCCACAGCGGTCCCACCTTTTCTCGCCCCAGTGGTTTTTCAAAGCTTGTGTAGTGGGTTCCAGGATCCGTCAGCCTCCCTCAGAGCCCTCCCCAGCAGCCCAGCCGGCCTGGGGTTTGCTGAGAGAGGAGGAACCGGTGCCACCGAGGGGTCCTCTGGGCCGAACGCGTTCAGGAGCTGGTGTCTCCCTGTCTTCCCCCAGCCCCTGCCCACACTGACTTCATCCCTTCCTTTGTCTCTCTGCAGTCAGACTGGTTCTTCAGCGACGAGGAGGACAAGGGAGAGAGAGTAAGTGATCCAGGGGTTGGAGGGGGTCTGGTCTGAGGTGGGCCTAGTCCTGGCAGGGCAAGACTCACCCTCAGGGCATCCCCAGTCAGATGGGGGAGACACAGGCCCTATCACCAGGGCAGCCCATTCTGAGGGGCCAGCAGTCCGGCCATCTGAGGATGTGCTGGCTGACCCCTCCTCCTGTTTGCAGACCCCTGTGGATGACAAGGATCCTCAGTCAGTGCCCAACATCGAGTACCTCCTGCCCAACATTGGCAGGACAGTGCCCCCTGGTGACCCGGGTTCGGGTGAGTGCAGGGGCCTGGGAGGGGGCTGGGGCTGGGGGTGGGCTCTGTGTTCCTGAGGGTCCCAGATGCCTGGCCAGACGCCCAGCTTCCCTGCTGTCCCAGCGGGGCCCTCCCATGCCCCCCCCCCACCGAGACTGGGCGTGCAGGGCCTTCTCCCTCCCTGGGAAGCGGGGCCTCCCGTCTGCGCGGCTGCCCCGCGAGGCTGGGTAGCAGCTTTGCCCTCTCACTGGTTTCTCTCCTGAGCCTTTAATTTCTCATGGGCCGGCTGTGTCCTTCTGGGCATGTTCCTCTTTCTAATTTTTCTTCCTCTTCTCCTTGCACCCCTGCCCCTCCCGCCTCTCTCCCCGTGCTCTCCTCCCATCCCCCATCTCTCCCCCTTCTCCTCCCCACCTCCCTCCCTCCAGCGGACCTGGTGGAGATTTAAAGGGTACAGTGCGGTGTCGCGGCCTCGGTCACTAACAGTGGCGGGTGATTATAAGAGGGCTGGGCAGGCAGAAATGTCCCAGGCCGTGAGGACCCCACCCCAACATCCCGGTTACCCACACTTGTCACAACTCACCCCTCCACCCCTGCCCCAGTCCCTTCCCATCCTAAAGCCCCTTCTCAGGAGGAAGGAGGCGCTCGCTGGGGCCTGAGCCCTTCCCCTAGCCTGAAAGTCTGGGCCCTCCCGCAGTCCCGCAGCCTCTGTGGCCTTCTCTGTGCGAAGCTTTGCTATTGGTGGTCATGTGGGCCCGGGGAGACTTGGCTGGGGACCCCGGCTCTCCAGAAACCAGGGATGCCACGGCCACGAGCCTCTCTATAGCTATAGCTCCTGCCTCAGTCGCCCCAAGGAGCTGCCCCTTTTTGCTTCAGAAACCAGGGCCCCTGTCACTCAGCTCCTAAGTCCTGTTTCCGTGGCCTCTGGCCCCCTCATGGCAGAGGAAAGAGGATTGATGTGCTCAGAGACGAACGAACAGCCACTCCCCTCTTGGCTCCAGCCTCTAGCTCCTCCCCCGCCGTGGTTGCCCCGCCCCTTAGTGTCCCACGTCCCTGGCGGAGGGACAGCCTCAGCTCCACTGGTTGCCAGAGGCAGGTTGGGGGAGGGGCCAGAGGACATGGAGTGGGGTGGCAGAGAGAAGCCCCCTGTCTCTTCTAATCACCCGCCGCCGCCCGCCTGCCCCGTGTGTCGTGTGTGGTCAGCCCATCTTGCTCTTCTCACCGTGTGCAGGGGGAGGGGCTGGAGAGGGGCATCTAACCTGCCTGCCGGAGAGTGTGGATTAACCGCACCTGCCCACTGCCCTGGGACCCCGGGAGGCCCTTGGATCAACCTGTTCCCTCTCCAAACTTGGAGAGAGCACTGCCGGGACTTGTTTCTGGTTCCTTCTTTACCCCAGTAACATTAAGGCAGTGGGACCCAAGTCCCATAGATGTGATGATTTTACGTTCCTTCATAACTCTGGTTATAACCCAGGACCTTGCCCCATAAGGGCGGTTTGACCCCAGGTGTGGAGGTGGAACCTATCAAGGCTCTAATCACCAGCCCACTCTACCTCCTATGTCCCACCCACTTCATTTCTGCCCTTTTATCCATCATTCACATGGTCCCTCTTCCTTCTCAAGTCCTGGGGGTGGGGGATGTAGGGCACCCAGCTGTCTTTGCACTGTGTGGTCTCCATTTCTCCAGAGCATCTGTGATCTGCTGTGTTTCACTGTGGTGGTTTCCGTGGACTGCATCTGATATTTGGCATTTTCTCTCCACTGCTTCAGAGTAACAGGGATAGGAAGGGGAGGGGAGAGGAACCTGGCCCAAAGAAAATCTCCATTGCCCTTAACCCTGGGCAAGTGAGAGATGAGTGGCTGGCAGCCTGCTGGCACTTCCTGCCTCTAAAGGAAGTGGTGATTAACATCATTCCATTATCCCATAGAAAATTACATCAGAGGTCCATCATACTTTCAGGGCCTGTGGAGATCTCAGGTTTCTTAACTCCTTGGTTTCTGAAGCCTTTGAGGAGAGGGAATTGTGTTCACAAGACTCAGCCTTCTCCTTCTTTGATCCAACTTTCATTTGTTTCTGTTTCTCACCAACAGATTCTACCACCTGTAGTTCAGCCAAGTCCAAGGTAAGTACCAAGGCAATTCTGAAGGTTTTATCCCCTATACAAGCCATCCCACTTTGTTTTTTTGGGTTTTTGGGGTTTTTTTTAGAGTCTTGCTCTGTTGCCCAGGCCGGAGTACAGTGGCATTATCGCAGGTCACTGCAGCCTTGAACTCCAGGGCTCAAGTGACCCTCCTGCCTCAACCTCTGAGTATCAGGGACAACAGGTGCATGCCTGGCTAATTTTTTCTTATTTTTTTAGAGACAGGGTCTTGCTATGTTGCCCAAGCTTGTCTCAAACTCCTGGCCTCAAGCCATCCTCCTGCCTTAGCCTCCCAAATCACTGGGACTACAGGCATGAGCTACCACGTCTGGCTCCCCACTTTGATTGTCGGTCAAGGGAATTGGGAGTGTGGCAACTGGACTGTAAGGAAAGTAGATGGCATTGGTCCCCAGGAGGGGAGGTGGGCAATACTGAGTGTCCAAGGTAAACTGAGAAGTGGCTCACTTGGCAACTGGATGAGGCATCTGGGGTAGTAGAAGAATCTGGCCTGGGAGTTAGGTGACTGGGAGGCAGTGTGGCTCAGTGATTAGAAGCACAGGCTCTGGAGTCACACAGTCCTGAGTTCAAGTCCTGGCTCTGCTATTATATTTAGTGGCTTTGCTACATTGGGCAAGTTATTTAACCTCTTTCAGCTGCCTCATCTGTAAAATGTGGATCACAACGAATACGTCTGATTGATACAATAAATATTTTTTAAGGTTTGGAGAGCACAAAACAAGCAGAAAGAAGGAAATAATAATAAATAATAAAATTGGTAAACCTGTAGCCAGACAGAATAAAAAGAAAGATGGCATAGATTATGTTTATGAGGGATACAAGAGGGATATCACCACAGACCCCACAGATATTAAAAGGGTAATCAGGGAATACTATAAGCACCTCTATACCCATAAATTCAATAACTTAGACGAAATAGACCAATTCTTTGAAAGATTCAAACTATCAAAACTCACTTAAGAAGAAATAGATAACCCAAATCGTCCTTTACCTGCTACAGAAATTGAATTTATAATTAAAAACCTCCCAACAAAGAAAACTCTAGGTTCAGATGGTTTTACTGGTAAATTCTACCACATGTTTAAGGAATATTTTCATTTCAAATAATTTATTATATCTTAATAATTTTAAAATATTGTTTTAATTATAAAATGGTACAATTTAAGACATTAGTATATTTGGGTACTTATTTAAATGATACTTTAACCGTTTAAATATCATTTAAATAATTATTTGAGAAATAATACCCATTCCCCACAAACTCTTCCAGAAAATAGAAGAGGGAGGAACACTTTCCAACTCATTTTATGAGGCCAGTGTTACCCTGGTACCAAAAGCTGGCAATGTCTCTGGAAAAGACAAGGTTAATTCATTTAGTCCTACCATCCATACTTGCTGAACATTTACTACGTACCAGTCCTGCGCTGGGTGCTAAGAATGTAATAATGAGCCCAACGGCTAAGTTCTTGCCCTCATGAAGCTTGTCCTGTAACGGAGACAGACATTGAGCTAATGGGCACATGAGGACTGTGCATCTGGCGGGTCTGGGCACAGGGGGGGCAGTGGCCAGGTGGACTGAGTTATAAGCACCCAGTGAGGGAAGGAAGAGCGCATGCGTAGGCAACTCTTTTGAGACGCCTGACCCCGAAAAGATGGTTAGAGGAGCAAAGTGGGAAAATATGTGGACAGAGGGAAGCTTTCGTTAAAATATAAACTCCTCTGGCACATACTTGCCAACAGGAACGGTCCAGGAGAGAGAGAGAGATAGTGGTGGGAAGAGCTGGGCCCAGAGGGCGCACGGGGCAGGAGTGTCCTGTGCTCAGAGCAGACACTGTCCAGGCGTAGCTGGATGAGAGGGCAGGGGCAGGGTGGGCACAGCTGCAGGCGGTGCGGGTGGTGGGGACCTGGGGACATTCCCAGCCGATGCTCTCTTTCCTCAGTGAAGTAGGAGGTGAAGTCCTCAGCTGAGCGTGAAGGAGGCAGGGAAAGTTTAAGAGGGTGAAGGAAGTCTGAAATGGGTCCCAAGAAGCTAGGGAAGTTTCCTGAAGGGGCGGAGGAGCATTGTGGGCAGGGTGAGGAGCCAGCGCTTTGCCCGGCAGCCCTGCCCTGGCCTGCTGGGGCTGGCTCCTCCACGCCCCTGGGAGAGCCCCTTCTGGCCAGAGACATCCTCTGTTGCTTCCTGTGACTTCACCTTGTCTTCAGTAGACTTGGCACTGACCTCCCCACAACTCACAGGCCAGCTCCTCCCTGAAGCCTCCTGGAGATGGAATTCCTTCCTTCTGAGGCACTAGGAGCTTCTGCTTCCCAGGCCGGGCCAGCCTGATGTCCCCTATTAGCCTGGGAACTGCCTCCCCTGCTGCCAGGAGCCCTCTTCTTACTCACAGGCTGGAACAATAGAATGCGCTTCTCAGAAAGTGTGTCTTTACTGGAAACTGAGTCAGAGACTTCACTGTAACTACCCCAGTGGGTTACTCAGAATCACTAGTGTGAGACAAAAGAGAAGGGAATGCACATTTATTGAGCACCTACTAGATGCCAGCAACTATGCAGAGAACTCTTCACAAACACCTATGTCATTTCATCTTTACAAAAGACCCTGGAGTTTTGTACTATCCCCATTTACAGATGGGAAAACCAAGGCTCAGAGAGTTTAAGTAGCTGGAAGTCTGACAGCGTGTTCTCAGGTATCAAGAGGTGGGGGCTGAGTAGGCGGCCTCTTTCCTTGGTGAATGGTCTGGGTTGGAGGTCTGTCTGCCTTCAGGTGCAGAGTTTCTTGATTTTTCTGGCACAGGAACTGGATCTTCCCTGAGCATGAGCCTAAACCAGCCAGCCAAGCCCCTGAAAAACCGAGGCACGGACCAGGCTGCCAGTCTATTAAGTACAGTAATAGAGAGGAATAACTGTCATGGGGACAGGGACATTGAGTCATGTGTGCAGCAGGTGGCCTCAGTAGTCTGATCTGCTGGGGACACAGGGAGTCAGAGCCCGGGGTCGAGGCACCAGGTATCCAAGAGCCTGCAGCATCCTGTCTTGCTGTAGGGAAGGGGCTGCCTTGGGCACCAGGGCCTGGCGCCTCACTGGGCTGTGAGCTCCCGAGGGTGGGGACAAATCCACCCACAGTGCTGGCCACTCATCACTGCCACACATCAGAGCCTCTGGCTCTTTTGCCTGATCTAGAATCCAGGTCATTGTCAAACTGCGTTCCTTGGAGCTATCTTGGGGTCATTACCACCAACCGGTACATGAGAGGACGGATGGGGCAGGGCTCCAAGCCCCCTCCCTCTCTGTCTAAGCCACTCTTTGTTTGGTTTTACATACGGGGTTTCTGGGGAGCATTCTATTTGAACGGAGAGCTCCTAGCTATTCGAAAACCATTGTTCTAGACGTAACAACCCCTGTTTCCAGTCTTTCTCCGGGCTGTGTCCACGACACCCAAGTGGTGTCAGTGCCCTAAATTACAGCCACATTCTGACCCTGTCTCCCTGCGAGGCTGGTTTTGGCTGTTCTTGGCAGGAGCGTGGCAGGCACACGTCACAGAGTCTCTTTGCTCTGCTGTGGGTGGAGCATGCTGGTCTAATGCTCAGAAGGCCCCTTTATCGTCTTAATTCCAAGTTCTTGGGGAAGGGGGCCCCTTTTGTCTTCTCTGGTGGTGCCTCACCCCCTGCCCGGCTCGCAGTTACCAGCCCAAGGCCGCCACTGGCAAAGGGGAAGTCTGGCTCCTGAGTGGCCCCGTCTGGTTTCCCCAGCCCTGCCTCATTGCATTTCACCACAACTGTTTCATAGTCCTGACCCCAACTCCAGCCTCAGAAGTGACCTCTCCATGACCCTGACCCTGAACTAACTGGCCACACGAAAATATTTGAATTGATCACAGACACTGGAATGCGGGGATTCCCCATCTACTTTGGGTCTCAGGTCCCTTCAGGAATCAGAGGATAGCTGTGCACCCCTGTTCCAAAAGGACACCTACATGCAAAAATACCGTAGCCAATTCAAAGATTTTGTGGACCTCCAAAGCCTACCCAAGGACTCAAATCAAGAACCCCTTCTCCAGAGGGATTTAGGCTGATAATTAGCTTGTTCAGCAGAGAGTGTCCGTTCAGTCATCACCAATAGTGCCTTCAGTCATCACGGATTCCTGAGTTCAAAATACCCAATAATATTAATAGCCACCATTTATTGAGCATTTGCTGTGTTACTGTGCTCGGAATTATTAATCTTCACTAATGCCCTGTGAGTTAGAGATAGTATTGTCCTTATTTTGCAGTTGAGGAAACAGAGGCTGGAAGAACTTCTATAACTTGGCCTGGGTCTCACAGCCAGCAAGTCGAGTGCCCCAGAGCTTGCCTTCTGGGACAGAATCCACTACAAGATGAAGGCTGCTATGGGGGGACCTGGCCTAACTGTTAAATTAGAGCTTGAGCACCAAGATGGGTGTATGAATCCATACTGGCTGTTGTAACAAAATATCATAGCTGGGCGCCTTAAACAACAGAAATTTATTTGTCAATTTCCAGTGAGGGTTCCCTTCCTGCTTTGTAGATGGCCACCTTCTCACTGTGTCCTTATGAGGCAGAGAGAGGGACTGTGAGAGTGAACATGACAGTGCAAGCTCTCTAGTGCCTCTTCCTAAAAGGGCACTAATCCCATCATGAGGGCCCCACCCTCATAACCTCATCTAAACCTAATTATCTCCCATGGGCTCCATCTCCAAATACCATCTCATTCAGGGTTAGGGCTGCAACATGTGAGTTTTGGGGGAACAGAGTTCAGTCCATGGCAGTGGGTGAAACCAGCTAATCATTGGCTGGATGAGCTGGGCTCATTTCTGTCTCTAAGTGTTGGCCAGGTTCCAGTGAGTGCACTCCAAATGCATGTGCCTGACACCCAGCAGGCACTCAGTATGTGTCAGATGAATACTCTGGACAAAAGAAAAAAGGCTGCTTTAGTCTGGTGCAGGGGTTTTCTATGACCTCTCCATGGAACCTCTGCCTGCACACCTCTGGAGGCAGGGAGCTCACTCCGTCATGAGATCGCTATGGCAGGGAGAAAGTTCATTATAGTGACCCAAATCCAGCTCCTTGTCAGTTTCACCCATTGCTCCTCTGGCCCCCTGGTTTCCTGAAGCCTCTCCTGGATTGACTAATTGGTCTTTATGTGAATCTCCTGGCCTCCGCATTCCCTGGAGGAGATCATTCTGACCTCGTTGCTTCTGGAACCAGCTGGGGTGAGAGGGTGGTTTGATCAGATGATCCTAGTGGCCTCTCAAGTCACTCAGAGAGCACTGGCCAGGAAAGAAAGCAGTACTGGCCACCATATGCCTCAGGCTGATTCTAGCAGTGCTGCCACATTGCACAACTTCAGGGGGCACCTTCTGGAGTTGTGCACTGTGGGCAGCCATGACCCAGGAGCCATATGTCTACGAATCCTGAATCCCTGCCATGCTCTGGCCTTCTCAGAACTAATTAATGTGTGAGAGAGGACAGTGGCTGCCGTGGCTGCAAGAGGCATCTCTCTGTCTCCGTTCATAATTACACCATGGCTGAAACAGGAGGTGGCCTATGAAGAAGGGTCAAAGGGCAGTGTGACCTTGGCAGGTCATTCCAGCCCAGGAGGGGGACCAGTCCAAACATCTGATTCTGCAAAGCTTCCTCTGTTGGGGGACTCCATTCTCCCATTTGTTTCTTTGTTTAACATTTATTGAGCACCTGCTATGTGCCACGGAGAAGCAAGTAAGTCGCAGACCTTGCTCTCAAGGAGGCTGTTTGGAGCAGGGGTAGGTAGGATAATGTGGTTGCACATAGGTGAGTTTTAGGTGCCTGCAGACACCCAGGTAGAGATGGATTTGCAATTGGAAGAAGAGTTCTGGCACCCGAGAGTTGGGTGTTGGACAAAGAGGCCTAGGTAGTAGCAGTGTTGTTTGGGATGGTATTCCCCAGGGAACGTGAATGGAGAAGAGAAAGCGCCCAAGAACAGAGTCCTGGGGACACTGATTCTTCAGGGGGAAGAAGGGGAAAAAGAGCCTCTCAAGAGGCAGAGGAGAAGCCAGAAAGGGAGGATGAAAGCCAGGCTCTGGGAAGCCATGACATGTAGTGTAGGTTCTGCTGAGAGAGCAGAGAAAGCCAAGATCAAAAAACAGCCATGGGTTTGGCAGTGAGAGCTGGTTCTGGTGAGAACAGCAGCAGGAAGTTACCCAACTTGCAGCTCCAATCCAAGCCATCAGATTGTACGGGATTTTTTTTTTTTTTTTTTTTTTTGAGACAGGGTTTTGCTCTGTTGTTGCCCAGGCTTGGAGTGGGCATAGCTCACAGCACCTTAAATCTCCAGGCACAAGTGATCCTCCTGCCTCAGCCTCCTGTAGCCACCATGCTGACTAATTTTTAAATTTTTTGCAGAGATGAGGTCTGCTATGTTGTCCAGGCTGTGTACCGGATTTTGCAGCCAATTCCAGCAGCAGAGCTAGCGGCTGGATTGATCTGGGGTTGGGGATTGGCTGGGTGGGGCGCTGGTGGGCTGCAGCGGGACAGCGGAGGACATGAACTTGAGCCAGTTGCCCTGGAGAGGCAGGTACTCACTGAGTAGGTGGGAAGCAGGCTTCCCAGGGGGCGTGGGCAGAGAGGGAGAAGCGGAGGAGCTGTGGTTGGAAAAAGGTCCCTGCCAGGGCTCTGCGGCCTGGTCCACGGGAAGCTCTGGGGATTACAACCCACCATAGTGTACGTGAAAGGGGTTCAGACTGGCAAGTGTTATTCGCTGTTGAGAGACTATTATCACCAGAGCTGTGTCTAGAAGGATTTATCCGGCGCTGGGTATGGAAGACAGAATGGAAATGGGGCGGCGGGGAGACCAGTCAGCTCGCAGGAAAGAGCTGAGAGCTGCCCCTAATCAGGCAGGACTGATTAGGGGCAGAGAGGGCGCCAAGCAGGCTTCAGGATGGTGGGGGGCGGCTGGGGTAGTCTCTAGATGGATGGTGACACCCCAGCTGGCTCAGGGGTGGAGGAGGCACGTTTTATGATGCCAGTGTTGGTGCTGGGCCTGGTTTGGACGTGTCGCGGTGGGGTGCAATGGCGGTGGGGGGGCGCGGGCGGGAAAGTGGCGGCCGAGGCCCTCCGGCCTGGGCTGGGGAAGAGCGCGGCACTGGCGCGAGTCCGGGCGCCTCCCGCATCCCTACCTGTCTCCCCGCACAGGGCTCGTGGGCCCCCAAGAAGGAGCTGTACGCCCGGGAGATGCTGGCGATCTCCTTCATCTCGGCGGTCAACCGCAAGCGGAAGAAGCGGCGGGAGGCGCGGGGACTGGGCAGCAGCACCGACGACGACTCGGAGCAGGAGGCGCACAAGCCCGGGGCGGGGGTGCCGGCGCCGGGGACCCAGGGGCGGCCGGAAGGGCAGCTGCAGGGCGCCGCTGCCCCCGAGGCCCCCGGGCGCCTCAGCCCCCCGGCGGCGCCAGAGGAGCGGCCGGCCGCGGACACGCGCTCCATCGTCTCGGGCTACTCCACGCTCTCCACCATGGACCGCAGCGTGTGCTCGGGCGCCAGCGGCCGGCGGGCGGGCGCGGGGGACGAGGCGGACGACGAGCGCAGCGAGCTGAGCCACGTGGAGACGGACACGGAGGGTGGCGCGGCGGGCGCGGGGCCGGGCGGACGCCTGACACGCCGGCCCTCCTTCAGCTCGCACCACCTCATCCCCTGCGACACCCTGGCGCGGCGCCGCCTGTCCCGGAGCCGCCCGGACGGCGAGGGCGCGGGCGCGGGTGCGGGCCGGGGGACTCCCCGCGCCGCCGAGCTGCCGGGCTCGGCCTCGTCCAGCAGCCAGGAGTCGCTGCGCCCCCCTGCGGCGGCGGCGGCGGCGGCGGTGCTGGGCTCGCGGCCCTCGCGCATCGAGGCCCTGCGGCTGCGCCTCCGCGGCACGGCCGACGACATGCTGGCCGTGCGGCTGCGGCGGCCGCTGTCGCCCGAGACGCGGCGGCGCCGGAGCAGTTGGCGCCGCCACACGGTGGTGGTGCAGAGCCCGCTGACCGACCTCAACTTCAACGAGTGGAAGGAGCTGGGCGGAGGGGGCTCCCCGGAGCCCGCGAGCCCGCGGGCACACAGTGACAACAAGGACTCCGGCCTCAGCAGCTTGGAGTCCACCAAGGCGAGGGCCCCGTCGTCCGCGGCCTCGCTGCCGCCCGCGCCCGGGGACCCGGGGGCCCTGCAGAGCCAGCCTCTGCGCCGCTCCGCCACCTCCCGCCTCCATCAGTGTCTGTGACACCCCTCCCTAGAGCCCCTTGGGAAATAGGCGTCTTCTCTGACCCGTACCCCTCCTCTGTTGCCCCTGGGTGCATCGGGTGAGGGTAGGGGAGCCATGTGCTGGAGTTGGTGGGGGCGGCCAGAGAGTGGATGGAAGGCGGGGTTCCGGAGGGAATGCGAGGGAGAGGAGAGGGGTGGGCTGCCGGGTCGGTGTCCCTGCATATGCGCCTGACTGGGCCCTTCTGGGCTTCCTGTGGCTGCACTTAGGGACTCTTGTGGACCATGGGTGTGGCTAGGGAACTCCCAAGTTTCAGACTAAAGATACTGGCTGATGCTGGCTTTTTGCTTTCCTCTCCTCCGCCCCCCCACCCCAGCTCCAAAGGGAGAGATGTTTGTGTCTGGGGAGAGGAGGTGCAAGGGGGATGGTGTCGATGGGGCAGGGGGACTTCTGTGTGCGAGTGTGTGTAGTCACTGTCCAAAGGTGTTTCCAGTAGCAACTTCGACACCCCTGCCCACTTTGTCCCCCGCCAGGGCTCCCAGCCTTAGGTGCACACAGGGATCCTGCCCCGCCTTGTCAGAGCCAGAGAAGGGGGTTGGGACCCCTCCAAGGAGGCAGGACTGAAACCCTCACCAGGGTTACTCCACCCCCATCCTTTTGCCAACCTCTAAATCACCCCCACCCCCAAGCACTTTGACCACGGGAGCTGCCTGTTCCCCAGTTTTGGGAAGGTCTGGGTCCCCCTGCTGGTGCCTCCCTTGCCCCTCCTTTTGTTCTTCCAGCTGGGCCTGCTCCTTCCACAGCTCAGGCACACAGAACCCCACCTTCTTTCCCTTGGCAGGGGGACAGTCAAAAACACCCCTGGTGTCTCTGTCTCACACACACTGATTTTTAGGGCCTGAGCTGGGCTGTTCCTGCAGGTTAGGTGGGACCCAGCCCCCTCTTCTTCCCACACGTTGTAAATAGACTTCAGATCACCAGGCGCCCCCACGCCCTCACTCATCCCAGGGAACCCTAGGTGGGGCTGTGAACCCCGCTGCCACATCTGTCAGTCCTGTAAAGTCGACTTCTTTCTCCTCCCTCCCGATCCTTTTATTGTAAATATTGTCTCTAAATGTGTAACATATTATAAAGAATTTATAAGGATTTTTAAAGATGTTTTGCTCATTTACAAAAGTGTTGTAACAGTGTTGGATAAAGCCTCCCACCCCACGTCCGCATGGTTCCTTTCACTGTGTCCTTGACACACCTCTGGCAACAACTAAAATTTCCTGCTTCTGAAAAGTCTTGTCTTAAAAGTACAGTCTATATCTTGGAAATAAATGGCCTTCCTCGAGGCACGAGTCAGCTGTCTCACTTGTTTTCGAGGGAGCAGAGGGCCAGAGCGGGGCAGGCAGACAGTGGAGGTACCTGGTACCTGGCCAGCAGAAGGAGGGTGGCAGGGTGGAGGCAAACCTCTTCCTCTTGGTGGCTTTTTGTAAGTGTCCTTGGAGGCTGGTATGAACAACAACACAGGGACAGATGCAAGTTGGAGGGGCGGGTGGCCCTCATTGTTACAGGAGGTTTCCAGGCACCTGTATTCTGTTGTCCTGCAGAGCCCAGACAGGTGCACAGGCCCCTTCTTCTCAGGCCTGCCTGGACCTTCAGAATGGTTCCAGCAGGGCTGCCAGCACATGGGAGGCTTGGGCCGGCTGTCAGAGGCACTCCAGGCCCAGATAATATTGCAAAGGACAGTACAGGTTTTGCCCCGTGTCTCACGTGTGTAAGCTTGCAACATGGGGTGCACTTCTTTCTATCCTGTGGCCTGTAGTTAGTGGCCCCAGCCAGCTTACAGGCTGTGGCCAATGAGCCTAGTGTCCATCTGTAGGAAGAGCAGGTGACATTCATCAAGGAGAACCCCAGAGGTGCTCTGGAGTTGGGGAGAGCTCAGTTGTTCACCGAATCCCGTCCCGCTCCAGGTGATTTTTATTGAGCAAATGAGCTTATAGCTAGTGTTACCCTAGCCTCAGCACCCGCTTCCAGGGCTTTCCGTATTTTCAATTAATCCTCCAACACTTTTGAGCACAGGACCATTATCCCCATTTGATATGTGACAAAACTGAGGCACAGAGGGGCGACATAACTTGCCCAAGGTCACCTAGTTAGTAAGTGGTGGAGCCAGGATAAGTCTAAGTCCAGAGAAAGGACACAGGGCTGGAGTGACCTGCCCATTGGGCCACCGTCTCTAAACCGTAGTAGGTTTTGGGTGAAAATGGATCAAAACCCTGTGCTCTCCTTCAAAAATAAAGGATTTCCCAAAATTGCAGGATCAGAGAAAATTTCTTAAATTTTTTAAAAAGGAGACAGGAAGACATCTCTTGATAAATAAAAACTGAGAGAATTAATCACCAACAGATCTGCTATACAAAATACTAAAGGGAGCCTTCAAACTGAAATGAAAGCACACTAGATGGGAACTTGAATGCGCATGAATAAATAAAGAATGCCAGGAAGGGTGACTACATAGGCGGTATGAAAGACAGGGTAAACATTTTTGTTGTAGTTCTTTTCTTTTTTGTTTTTAACTCTGCCTTTAAAGACAACTGCATAAATTACAAAACTGCGTTGACATATAAAGTTGTAATTTCTATGACAAGGAGTGGGGAGGGTATGGAGCTATATCGGAGCAAAGTTTTCATACACTATTAAAATTTGGTTAGTTATAATGCAAACTAGATTGTTTTAAGTTACGATGCTAATTGTAATCCCCGGGGCAACCACCAAGAAAATAACTCAAAAAAATATTGTAAATGGCCGGGCGTGGTGGCTCACGCCTGTAATCCTAGCACTCTGGGAGGCCGGCGGATCGTTTGAGCTCATGAGTTCGAAACCAGCCTGAGCAAGAGCGAGACCCTGTTTCTACTAAAAAAATAGAAAGAAATTAATTGGACAGCTAAAAATATATAGAAAAAATTAGCCGGGCACGGTGGCACATGCCTGTAGTCCCAGCTACTCGGGAGGCTGAGGCAGGAGGATCTCTTGAGCCCAGGAGTTTGAGGTTGCTGTGAGCTAGGCTGAAGCCATGGCACTCTAGCCCGGGCAGCAGAGTGAGACTCTGTCTGAAAAAAAAAAAAAATATTGTAAATGATTCAAAATGGGAATCAAAAAGATACATTAGAAAATATTTTACACAAAAAAAGACAGGAATCAAGGAACAAAAAAGACATAAGACATATGAAAAAATAACAAAATGGCAAAAATAAAGCCTAACTTATCAATAATTACACTGAAGGTAAATGGATTCAACATCCCAGTCAAAAGGCAGAAATTGGCAGAATGGATTTTAAGAAATGATCCAACTAGAAGCTGTTTAGAGTCAAAGAACAGGAGTTAAAAGCAGAAGGATGGAAAAAGAAACCATGTGAACAGTTACTAAGAGCTAGGGTGAGGCAAAATAGACTTTAAGACAAAAATTGTTACTATGGTTAGAAGGATATTTTATCATGATAAAAGAGCCAATACATCAGGAAGATAAAATGATTGTAAACATATATACTCCTAGTAACAGAGCCCAAAATACATGAAGCAAAAACTAACAGAATGGAAGAGAAATAAGACAATTCAATGTAATGATTGGAAACTTCTATATCCCACCTTCAGTAATGGGTGGAACCACTAGGCAGCAGATCAGCAGGAAGCAGAAAACTTGAACAACACTATAAACCAGCAAGCTCTAACAGATATCGAGAGAACACTCCTCTCAATAACGGCAGAATACATTCTTCTCAAGTGCACGTGGGACATTCTCCAGGATAGACCATATGCTCGGCCATAAAAAAAAACAAGCCTCAGTAAATTTAAAAGGATTGAAATTATACAAAGTCTGTTCTCCAACCACAATGGAATTAAACGAGAAATTAACAACAGAAGAAATTTTGGGAAATTCACAAATACATAGAAATTTCGACACACACTCCTAAATAACCAATGGGCCAAAAAGAAATCACACGAAAATTAGAAACTACCTTGGGATAAATGAAAACTAAAATACGACATGCCAAACTTATGGGATAGAGGAAAAGCAGTACGTAGAAGGAAATTTACAGCTACGAATGTCTGCATTGAAAAAGAAGAAAGATTTCCAATCAATAACCACCTAAGAAACTGGAAAACAAAAGAGCAAACTAAACCAAAAGCAAGTGAAAGGAAGGAAATAAGAAAAATAAATGAAATAGAAAATAGAGAAAAATCAGTAAAACCAAAAGTTGGTTCTTGGAAAAGATCAACAAATTGGCAAGTATTAACCTAGATTGAGCAAGAAAAAATGAGAGAAGACTCAAATTACTAAATCAAGTATGAAAGGGGGACATCATTACTGATCTTATAAAAATAAAAGGGATAATAAAGGAATGCCATGAACAACTACATGCCAGCATGTAGATAATTAGATGAAATAGACAAATTCCTAGAAAGACACAAATTACCAAAACTGACTCAAGGAAGAAAACTCGTAGATAATCTGAACAAGGAAAAAGGTTTTTTGTTTGTTTTTTGAGACAGGGTGTAGCTTTGTCACCCTGGCTAGAGTCGCAATGGTGTCTTCATAGCTCACAGTGACCTCAAATTCCTGGACTCAAGCGATCCTCCTGTCTCAGCCTCCCAAGTAGCTGGGACTACAGGCACACACCACCATGTCCAGCCAATTTTTCTGTTTTTTGTAGAGATGGGATCTCTTGAACTTCTGACCTCAAGCAATCCTCCCGCTTTGGCCTCCCAAAATGCTAGGATTACAGGTGTGAGCCACCACACCCGGCCAGAAAAAGATGTAATTAGTAATGTTAAAACTTTCAACAAAGAAAAGCCCAGGCCTGGGCAACATAGCGAGACTCTGTCTCTAAAAAGAAAAAAAAAAAAAAACCTCTTTAAATAGACCAAAGATTTGAATAGATATTTCTCCAAAGAAGATATACAAATGACTAACAAGCACATGAAAATGATGTTCAGCATCACTGGTCATTAAGCAAAGGCAAACCAAAACCACACTGAGATGCCACTTCACACCCACTAGATGGCTTAAATCAAGAAAACGGAAAACAACAAGTGTTGATGAGGATGTGGAGAAATAGGAACTCTCACACATTGCTGGCGGGGGTGAAAAATGGCACAGCCACTGTGGAAAACAGTTTGGTGTCTCCTCAAAAAGCTAAGCAGAATTACCATATGATCCACAAATTCTACTCCTAAGTAGACACCCAAGAGAAATGAAAACATATGTTCACACAGAAACTTGTACACGAATGTTTATAGCCGCACTGTTTATAATAGCTAACAGGTGGAGACAGCCGAAATGTCCATAAATGGATGAATGGATAAACAAATCACTGTAATTTACATGCAACAGAATATTATTCAGCCACAAAAAAGAACAACGTACTGATATTTGTACCACTTGGATGAACCTGGAAATATCATGCTAAGTGAAAGAAGCCCGATGCAAAACGTCACACATCGTATGATTCCTTTTGTATAATAAATATATCCAGAGTGGGCAAAACCGTAAAGACAGAACAGAGGTTACCAAGGGATGAAGCGGGGTGGGTAATGAGGAGTAATTGCTTAATGGAGATTTTTTTTAAAGGTGTAATGAAAAAGCTTTGAAACTAGAGAGAGCTGGCGGCTGCACAAGATCGTGGATACAAATACCATTGAATTGTGCACTTTAAAATGGTTAATTGTATGTTGTCTGAATTTCACCTCAATAAAAAAAATTTAGAAACTTATTTAAAATTAAGGATACTCGGCCGGGCGCGGTGGCTCACGCCTGTAATTCTAGCTCTCTGGGAGGCCGAGGCGGGCGGATCGTTTGAGCTCAAGAGTCTGAGACCAGCCTAAGCAAGAGCGAGACCCTGTCTCTACTAAAAATAGAAAGAAATTAGCTGAACAACTAAAAATATATATAGGAAAACTTAGCCAGGCTTGGTGGCACATGCCTGTAGTCCCAGCTACTCAGGTGGCTGAGGCAGGAGGATCGCTTGAGCCCAGGAGCAACAGAGTGAGACTCGGTCGAGAAAAAATAAAAAAAAAAATAATAAAAATAAAATAAAATAAAATTAAGAATATTCATAAGTATAGATTGGGAGAGAAACTGAGGTGAATAATAAATTCAGAATATGCCAGGCACAGTGGCAAAAATAAATCAGAATAATTTTGGAAGATCTTTTTTAAAAAAGAAAATCCTTAACTGCCCCTCCCTCCACACACAATTAATTTGATTTCTATAAGCAGTGAATAATCCAAAAATAAAATTAAGAAGACAATTCTATTTATAATAGCATCAAAAAGAATAAAATACCTAGAAATAAATTTAACAAAATAAATGCAAAACTGGTATATGGATAATGACAAAACATTGTTGAGAGAAATTTAAAAGGATCTAAATAAATGAAAGGATATTGTACGTTTCAAAAGACTCAACATTGTTAAGATGGCAATATCCCTTAAATTGATCTACAGATTCAAATCAATCCCAATTAAAATTTTTTTTTTTTTTTTTTTGCAGAAATTGACAAGCTGATCCTCAAATTCCTATGGAAATGCAAGGGACCGAGAATAGCCAAAACATCTTGGGGAAAAAAAAGTTGGAGGACTTAGACTTCCCAATTTCAAAACTTACTACAAAGCTAGAGTAATCAAGATATGTAGATCAGTGGAATCAAATTAAGAGTCCTGAAATAAATCCTCACATTACTATAAACTGATTTTCGAAAAGGGTACTAAGATGATTCAATGGGCAAAGAATAGTCTTATCAACAAATGGTCCTGGGACAATTGGGAGGCCATCTGCAAAAGGAATAAATTTGGACAGCTCTCTCAAGCTGTACACAAAAATTAAATCAAAATGGATCCAAAATCTAAATGTAAGAACTAAATTATAAAAATTCTAGAAAAAAACTCCCTCCTTGCTAACAGGTGTGAAAAAACCCAAACAACTTCTAGAAGAAAACATAGGAATAAATCTTGGTGACCTTAGGTTAGATAATGGTTTCTTGGTTATGACACCAAAAGCACAAGCAATGAAAGAAAAAAATTGGAAACTGGGTTTCATCAAAATTAAAAACTGCATATGTCAAAGGACACCGTCGAAAAAGTGAAAAGACTGGCCCTGTGTGGTGGCTCATGCCTGTAATCCTAGCACTTTGGGAGGCCAAGGTGAGAGGATCGTTTGAGGCCAGGAGTTTGAGTTTGCAGTGAGCTATGATGACACCAATGCACTCTAGGTTGGGCGACAGAGAGAGACTGTCTCAAGAAAAAAAAAAAGAATGGGAAAAAATATTTGCAAATCCTATATCTGACAAGAGACTCATATATCTAGAATATATAAAGAACTCTTAAATCTCAACAATAAAAAGATAAACAAACCGATTTAAAAATGGACAAAGGATTTGAATAGACATTTCTCTCCAAAGAAGATATGCAAATGGCCAATAAACACATAAAAAGATGTTCAGCATCATTAGCCAACAGGGGAATGCAAATCAAAACCACAATGAACTCCCTCTTCACACAAATTAGGATGGTGGAAGTAAAAAAGGACAGTCAATAACAAGCACGTGGAGACATTAGAACCCTTGAACATGGCTGGTGGGAATGTAAAACGGGACAGCCACTTTGGAAAAGTTTGGCAGTTCCTCAAAACGTTAAACCTAGGGCTACCATAAACCCAGCAATTCTACTCGTTGGTATGTAGCCAAGAGCATTGAAACATATGTCCCCACAAAAATCTTGTACATGAATGTTCATGTGCTAATTATCTAAATGTCCATCAACTGATGGATGGATAAGTAAAATGTAGTAGAGCCATACAGTGAAAAATTACTCAGCACTAAAACGGAATGAAGCCCAGGCGTGGTGGCTCACGCCTGTAATCTCAGCATTTTGGGAGCCCGAGGCAGTAGGATCGATTGAGGCCAGGAGTTCAAGACTAGCCTGGGCAACATAGTAAGACCCTCATGTGTCAAAAAAAAAATTAAAAATTAGCTGGGCATGGTGGTACATGCCTATAGCCTCATCTACTTGGGAAGCTGAGGCAGGAGAATCACTTGAGCTCAGGAATTCAAGGTTACAGTGAGTTAGGACCGGCCACTGCGTTCCAGTCTGGGTGACAGAGCAAGACTCTGTCTCTGAAAGAAAAACATGAAACCAAAAACCAAACAAAAAGAATGAAGTACTGATATATGCTATAACATAGATGAACTTTGAAAACATTATGCTAGAAAGAAACCAGTCACAAAAAACTACATGCTGTGTGATTCCATTTGTGTGAAATGTCCATACAGACAGAAAGTAGATTAGTAATTACCTGGGACTCGGGCAGGGGGCGAGGAGAAAGGTGGCAGAGAAAAGGGTGCAGGAATGCGGGATGATAGTGCCGGGATCAGAATTTCTTTTCAGAGTGTTGAAAATATTCTCAAATTAGATTGTGGTGATGGTTACACATATCTGTGACTATGCGAATACACATCTGTAGACTTTAAATGGGTGGATTTTATGGCATGTGAAATATATCTCAATAAAGCTATGAAAACAAACAGCCAACTCTGTACTGTAAAACTCACTCTGTCAGGTGGGGTTTGATATGTTTCATAGGAAACATTTCGTTGGGGGACCTCCGAATTTATTAGGGTCAGCGTAAAAGAAATAGGATTTTCCCCGCCATTCTGGTGAGGGCATGTAGGGGAACCATGATTGTGGCACCAAACTAGAGCCGAGAGTCTTGGTTCTAGAGTGAAGATTTCTGGGATGATGACCATGGGTAGGGCTTGGGGCCTCCTACCAGGTGTCATTCTGAGTGACACCAATCAGTCAGCATCGGTGAGCTTCCAGGGAGCCTGTTATCAGATAAGGGGCATGAGGACACCGGTTGAGGCCCCCACCCTGTGGATAGCTCAATCATCCTGCCAGCTCAGGGACTGCTGAAGCCACTCAGAGATCCAACAGGAAGGGGGGCCCAGAAGAAAGTGCAACCGGTGCTCCAGGACACTGTCATTACCTTATGGGATAGAAGTGATGGTGTTGTAGGAGATAGAAGCGATTCAATAACACCCCAGGTCTCAGCCAAGCAGAAGAGCAGCTGGAAGGGCAGCCTCGAGGACCCTTAGAACATTCTGGAACAGCAGCACAGCCTTCAGAATTCCAGGAAAACCTGAAAAACCCACTCAGGACGTGTGGTACTCAATGGTGCATTGTATGTAGTAAGTGCCATTTCATTACGGGTGTGTGTGTAAGTACTCAAAGCTTTGAGATGTGAAGTGTATTTCACATTGTAACAGTTACTCAAGTTTGCAAGCTGCTGCTCTAGAAGGGATGGGTGGACACCACGGAGGGTTACCCCACCCAAAGGGCAGGAGGCTGAGACCCATCACAGGGGACTGCTGGAGGTAATCGGCCTCCACCTGGTTTTGCGGGGGAAGCATTGACTTTGGGGTTAGGCAGAGCTGGATCCAAACTTACTAGTTTGTCTGCACCTTACTAGTGGTATGACTCTGGGCAAGACACCCAATGTCTCTGAGCCTCTTTGTCACTTGCAGGTGTAGGTAGTGCCCGTGGCTACCTCACGGATGGTTGCGAGGGTTAGATGGGACATGTCTCGGAGTGCCACGCTGAGAGCCGGCCCCTTAAGAGTCCGTGGTGCTCCTCTTCAGTGGTGTAGGTTCCCATGGGTGCTCAGGGACAGCGCCAGCCCCGGCGGTCCTGTTCTACCCCCATCTTTGTGCCCTGCCTGCTGAAGGGTCAGGGCCATGGGCTGTCAGGGGTTCCCCACTCTCGGTCCCAGCCATCCCAGTGCCTTTCAGGCCCTCGAGGGCGAAGCAGAGAAATAAGGAGACAGCAGCCTGTGGGAAGGCGATCCAGGAAAAAGAAACAAGTTTTATTAAAGCCCCAAACACTTGGCTAGAAAAACCGAAAGGAGAGAGCAGGGAGGTGGGAGGAAAAAAAGGACATTAAAAAAGAGACAGAGAAAACACAGCAACCCTTTTCCATTTAGAAATTGTCAAGTTACACCGACAAAGGTCACAGAATATCCACAGAAGCCGTCACTGCTACACCAACACGGGCCCTACGGGGTGGACGGGGAGGGTGTGGAGCTGGGGCTCACCCGGGGGGGCCCACCTGGGACCCCACGCAGAGCCTCGGCCCTGAGGCTCCTGGGGAAACAGCATATTGTGGAAGGGGCGGGAGAGAACCCCCCCATGCGAGTAACACAGCACAGTGGGCAGGGGCCAGAGGGACCGGGTACAGGGGTCCCCCCAGACGTCTTAGTTTGCTCTTGGTCAAGCACACACTGATGGACAGAGCAGCGAGGCGCATGCAGCTGGGGGCACCGGCGTGCGGCGGCTGTGAGACGGCCAGTGGGGACGGAGCTCGGGAAGGGAGCCGGAGCGAGTGGTGCAGGGATGATGGGACACACACATGCGCGTGCGCACACACACACAGACACGCCCACACCCCTGGGTCTGCACCAGCACACACCCACCACAGACACAGGTCGCACGCACTTCCATGTTCACACCTCTGTCCACAAATACATGGCCCCCACGCGAACAAGTCTCTCGCTGCTGGGCCTGTCTGCACACACCCCACCCGCGTTCTCACACTAACACGCAGGTAGGCACCTGCCGATGCCCAGACAGGTGACATACGCCTACGTGCACACGCCTCCCCACACGTGACGGGCCGTGCCTGTGGACCTGTGTCCCATGCATCTGCACACACGGCTGGGTGGGCTTGTGCCTGCACACACACACACACACACACACGCACGCACGCAGGCTGCACACAGTTCCACGCAGATGCCTCCCAGCCCACGAATGTGCAGGAACCAAAGTGAAAGAAAGATGCAAATCCCACTGGGCTCTACTTGAGCGGGGGGCGGGGCACACGGCTCCCTCCATCTGCCCCTTCCTGGGTGAACACTGCCCCCACCTCCTCCGCCCACAAAGGGACATTCAACTCAGGACAATGACGTGGGGCACACGTTCTGGTCACAGGGCAGAGGGTGGAGGTGGGGGCGAGTGAAGGGTAGCAAGCGAAGAGGAATGGAGTGGAGGGAGGAGGGGGCACCACTCCCCCCTCCCCTCCCAAGTCAGGGGTCTCTGTACAGCCAGATCAACCGAACCTTCACTGGACCACATGAGCCAGGCCGATGCGCCCACCCCAGCCCCCTCCCCCGCCAGACAGCGGCAAGGGAGAGAGTGCTGTGGTTTTCTTTTTTTTTTCTTTTTTAAATATTTATATATATTTATATTACGTATATTATATATATATAATATGTAAATATATTTTTAAAACAATATAAAATGTTAAGACACTTCACTTAAATGTAAAGAGTTGCCTGCAATTAAAAGTAATTGCATCATTTATGAGGTCCTTTTTTTGTTGTTTCCTATTTTCCAGGGGTTTTTTTTTTTTCTGGAGGGATTTTTTTTTTTTTCCTCTTCTTTTGTTATTTTTCAAAAAGGCTTGCTTGCCTTGGTACAAAAATGATCCAAAGCTAGAAAACAAGGATGAACCAACAGAAGCAAAAACAAAAGAAATGAAGAAACACAGCCCAGTTTCCCTCCCTCCCCAAGCCTTCCGCAGCTCCCCCTGCTGTCCCTCCTCGGCTCCACGTCGTGGGGGCGCTGCCCTCCTACAATGGCTCCTTTCTGTGCTTACTGGGGGGACTGATTCCAATTCCCCCCCCAGCTGTGCTTACACCACTTTGTGCTCCAAATGGGGATCCTCTGCCTGGGGACCCCCACTCCATCCTCCTCCTCCTCCTCCTCCTCTTTCACAATCTCCCTCTGACCCCTCCCTGTGCCCTCTGGGGGGCCAGGAGTGACAACCAAAATTGGTCTCCCTCTCCCCATCCCCAGGACCACGACTTCCAACAGCCTCTGCGGGCAAAGCAGGGCATCCATGGGCCATGGACTGGCTGGCCAGGCCTCGGGACCTTCAGACATCTCACCAGGGTCACCAGATCCCCATTTAAAAACTACATCTTGCCCCCTCCCTGAAAACCCTCAAGTCACAAAGAAGATGGTTGAAGGTCAAGTCACCCCACCTGCGGGGCTGGAGCTGTCTGCCCCGCCCTACCCTGCCCTCCCTGCTCTCCCCCCTCTCCCCTTCCCTCACAACCAGGACCCTTCCCCACTGCCTCCAGGCCTCAAAACCTAATTTCTGGGCCCTTCAGTCTTGCCCACCCCACCCCCATTAAATAAGTTAATGTCATTTAAAGTGCTAAATTAGGAAACTAAAAGTACCAAATGCCCCTCCCAGGGCTGCCCTCTCCCCAGGCAGTGTCCCCAGTGTCAGGCCCAGGTGTCAGGCCATCTGCACAACCCACCCCCTCAGCCAACGGTCCAAAGGGCCTCCTCCCGCTCCCCACAGGACAGAGGCCAGCTGCTCCCCAGGGACACAGACTCCCGGCCTTACCCCACCCTGAGGCCTCCCAGCCCCCGCCTCCGTGTCCAGCCCATCCATCTGGACTCCAGGCCCACTGGGGTGAGTGGAAGGAGCAGAGCAGCAGCAGAGGTCAGTCTTGTGCGAGGTTGGACAGGGAGTGCGGTGTCTCCAGGGCCCCGTCTCCCAGGGTCGCGTCCCCAGGCCTGATGCTGGGGTTGGTCCAATGTCCAGGCGTTCCTCCAGGAGGTACCGAGGGAGGGGAGAGGGTTTCTCGCTGCTCCAAGTCTCCGTGGCTCAGAGTTTGTTTGGAGTATTCTTGGGAAGTGGGGGGGAGGGGAGGAGGTGCAGGGACTTCAGGATGGACTTGGGAGGAAGAACGGTGAAAGAGAAAAGGGACAGAGTGACAGGAAATGGGCCCGAGAGGCCCTCTGGGAACAGGAAACCAGGGGGAGGTGGTGTGTTTGGTTTTTAGTTTTACTGTTTAAAAAAAGATAATTAAAAGTGAATCATTTAAAAAACCAAAAACACCAACAGAGGATGGGTGTGGGGAGCTGAGGGCCACCCCCTCCTCTGAAGGGCAAACCCCGCAGGGGTCTGGCGAGCAGGGTGGGGGTGGGTGGAGATGAAGGAAGAGAGAGAAATGGCAGGGATGGCGGACAGGCAGGGGTGGAGATGTGAGGGGCCTTCTAGAAGGAGATGGAAGAATTCCTTGCCCCAAAGGAAGTCAATACAGGGATAGAGGTTCTGGAAGCCGAGGGCTTTTCTGAGACAGGGCTCGAGGTCTCATTTGACCCGCTCATCTCTTTAGATGGTTTAGTGGCCTGGAACAAAAACAGGGGTCAGGGGTCAGAGAGAGGAAGGGAGCGCCTTCGTGCTGGCCCCCAGTTGACGTTTTAAAAAATGGAAAACCTCTACAAATCCAAGAGAAAATTAATTGCAAAAGGAAGAAACCAGAGGGGCATCTGGAGAGAGCAGTCCTCTGAATGGGGTGGGGGGCGCAGCGGGGGCAGAAAGGGGGTGAGGGGAGGGCCTGGGAACCGGAGTGGGGGGCAGGCCCACGGTCACTGATGGGAGAGAGAGAAGGTGGAAGAGAAACCAGAGCAGCACAGGAGAGACCATGCCCAGGACAGGCAGGCGGGGAGGCAGGCAGGGGGAGGGTGGGGAGGGAGGAAGAAGAAGTGAAAGGTTAGCTGAGGCAGGGGTGCATGAGGGGGGGGTCTTAGTCCCAACTGGTCAACAGCAAAGTCCTTTCTGGCCTCAGTGCAGTGACAACAGAGGGAGGAGCTGGTCCTCTCTGGGTAGCACTTCAAGGAACCCCAGTCTGGGACTGTGGGAAGAAGGCGCTCACTGCACCCAGCCTCGCATCCACCCCCTTGCACAGCAAGCCCCACAGCACCCCTGCAAGTCTTCCTCCAGCTCTGAGTAGGGAATGGGGAGGTCACTCCCTCATGACGCATCCTGTACTCACTGGTCAGCTCTGACAGTCAGAACCAGCCCCTCACCCTCCTCCCCAGCTCCAGCAGACTCCCTGTGTCTCTATTGGTCCTGGAGGCTTGTTCTCTAGAGCTGTCTTCAAAGTGGGGAGCTATCTGCATCACCTGGGGGGTGGGGAGACAGCATGTGGCATGCATTGAAAATGCAGATTCCTGGGCCCCTCCACAATTGGGCCCAAGAGTGTGCATTTTAAGCAGGCGTCCCAGGTGGTTGTGCTGCACACTTACCTTTGAAATCCACTGGGCTAGTGGGACACAATTGTAGTCACTGTCCCCTCTGGCCTTGCTTAGCTACCAGTGTGAGAACTGAACGGCCTTGCTAAAAAAGACCCGAAGGCTAAAGTGGCACATCACCAGGTCTGCACAGGGTCGCTCATTTTCCACAGTCCTACCTTATCATCCGCCCTAGGGAGGCTGTGGGCGATGCCTTGCAGGGGACAGCTAGCGTCTACAGCAAGCCCGGCCTGCTCACGAACCCACCGCCTTGGTGATCATCATTTCTTCCTCCAAGGCGCAAGTGGTTCGCTCAGTGATTCACCCGGGTTTTGCGCGCCACACTGCGGTTTGTGTCTCCCCTTTATGGAAAGCAAGGCAAGCGGTCCCCATTTGGGTTCTCTAATCCCTCTCCTCTGCCCGAGGCTGCACGTCTGTTACTCAAAGGGGCTCTAGGGCTGCAGCCATGGGATCACCGGGGTCTGAAGTCCTGTGCATGTGTCAGGCGTGGGCCCTGCCCTTGGGGGCTCCCAGGACCTGGGCCCAGAGGCAAACTCATTTAAAGGCAACCATGGGCTCTCTTACCACTTGTCACTTATGTTGGGCTCAGTCCCACTCTTCCCCCACACTAGTCTTTCTCATTTAAATTCTTTCCCCCAAAGCCAGGTGGGAGGGGAGCACAGTGAATTCTTGCTGGTGTCTCTTAACATCTCATCACGTCCCCAGGCAAGGTGTCCACTCCCTCCTGGCTGTCCTTTGTTCTGAAGGAGCCTTGGTCTATTCCAAGCCTTGGTCTTTGGAACACCTACCTTCGGGCTGGTGCCTCCACGTGATGCTGTATTCACGTGGTAACATGTCCTCACTCAGGCAAGGTACCCCTTCTCCCTCCCACAGTCAGTGCCAGGCTTCTGCCATCCAGCTTTACCAGTTTATGGGAATGCCTGACCTCTGCCCCTGCTTCGTCGTGGGGACCATTCATGGTCTCTCTGCAAGCACTTGTGTTGTAAAGTCCTCTCGGGCAATCTTCCCTCCCAGGAGACGCTGACCACTGCACCACTCAAAACCCACTCTCCCTAAGCTGAGGCACGGCCAGCTGTGCCCAGCGACCCCCTCCTGCAAGGCTCTCGTGTGACACAGCTGCTGTCTCTCAAGGTTCCTGTCACTTCCATTTCCCCTACCGGTCCTCCCATGTTGGTCCCAATTATGTCCAGAGAAGCAGAACTTAGTCACCTTTGTGGCAAAGGGGAAACCTCACATATGTTCAGCTTTCAGCGGGGAGACGCAGGACCCTCACCCAGGCCCTGAACCCTGCACACCTCCCTCCTGTCTGGGGATCAGAGTCTGCCACCTGCTCTCTGTGCCGAGCATGCTGCCCCCTCTCCCACGCTCCACTCTGACACATACATTGCCACACAGGTGCGGGTCCTCCTGTCGCCTGTCTCCTCCAGGGCCTTTCCCAGTGCCACGCCCTCCCCGGGCCCTGCTTTTGCTGAATAAATCCTGCCTGGATCAGGAACTGGACTGTCAGGAGAAGCTGGGCTTTTCCCCCAGCCCAGGGTGGGGGGCGGTGGTGGGGACCATGATAAATCCACAGCGATGAGGGCAATTCCTTTCTCCTCGCCAGCAACTGATCCAGGAATAGGCAATGTGGAGAGATGGGGGGCCTGTTGGGGGCTTCTGGAAAGATTCTCCTGCTTCTAAAAGAGTTGTGTGCCCAGGGCCCCTGGCGTGAAGTCAGCCACATGGGGGAGGGTGGTAGGATGACAACAGCACCTAAATGCACAAGGAGCCTGGGTCCTAATGTCCTTGAGCTGCTGAATTCCCCAACTCTGGAACCTCCCTGCTTCCAGTCTTCTTGCTTGGTTAGATGATACCTTATTGTTTAAGCCATTTTCAATTGGGGTTCCTGTTCCTTGCATTCTAAGTGACAACCGTGAGGCCCAGCATCACTCCTCTATCACTCTATTCAATCTTTTTTTTGTTGTTGTTAAGTTATTGCCTTCTAGTGTTCCCGTTCTGAGTGTGATCTCACCAAGCCTGGGTGACACCCACAAGGCTGTGCTCCCGGCAAAGCAACAGAATCCAGCATGAACACAGGAGAATTTGCATCGGGCGGATCTGGGTTTAAGTCCCAGTCCTGCTGCTTTTTAACCATGTGACCCTAAGCAGACATCTCTCTGGGCCTTCACGTCCCATCTGCAGGGACACCCGCCCTGACAGCGTCAGGTGCACGAGAGATGACACAAACAGGGCACCAGGCCCAGTGGCTGACACAGCACATGTACGGAGTGGCGGCTGTTACTGTGACTATCTTTTTTTTTTTTTTTTTTGAGACAGAGTCTCACTCTGTTGCCCTGGCTAGAGTGAGTGCTGTGGCGTTAGCCTAGCTCACAGCAACCTCAAACTCCTGGGCTCAAGCGATCCTACTGCCTCAGCCTCCCGAGTAGCTGGGACTACAGGCATGCGCCACCATGCCTGGCTAATTTTTTCTATATATTTTTAGTTGGCCGATTAATTTCTTTCTAATTTTAGTAGAGACGGGGTCTCGCTCTTGCTCAGGCTGGTTTCGAACTCCTGAGCTCAAACAATCCGCCCGCCTCGGCCTCCCAGAGTGCTAGGATTACAGGCGTGAGCCACCGCGCCCGGCCTGTGACTATTGTTTTAACCTCTCAGGTTTGCTTTGTCTATTTCCATCTGGATTGGGCCTGATTGGCAGCAAACTCATTCGATCATTCACCCACCTGACAAATATTTACTGAGCGCCTGTATATGCCAAGCACTGTTTTAGGTGCTGTGGGGATGCAGCCGTGACAACACAGATTAGTTTTAAGGTATAAAGTTGTTAGGATTAAACAAGACACGTCAACTTGGTACCTAACAGGAGTGCTGGCTGTTTTGCATCTGCCGCCCTGTTCCCTAGAATCAATTTCTGCCCTGTTCCGTGCCCTGGGAGCGGGCCCTGCCATCCCTTTGCTGACTGGCCTCTGGCTGAGTTTGGCCAATGGGGGTCTCATGGCAGGGTGGAAAGAGAGAAAGGTGGGGTAAAGTTCCTTTCCTACTCCCTCCCTCTGGGAGCTGTTGCAAGCAGGAGCTGTGCCCTCCACAGCTAAAGCTCCTGCTGCTCCAGCTTTCTGGGGCACACTAGACACTGTGTCTTTGCCCTTCCCCTAGTGAGGCCACAGAGAGGGGGTGTCCATGTCTACACCAACCCGACATCCTTGAACCCCTGGAGTCTGGCTCCCACCCCACCGTTGGCTGTCAGAGAGCAACACTCAAGGCTTTTTCTCCATCATTTCCTCTGACTTCTCTGTAGCATTGGGCTCTGTCACAAAACACTCCAATCTTGGAACTTTCTTCCCCCAATTTCTTTTTTTTTTTTTTTGAGACACAGTCTCTCTCTGTTGCCCTGGCTAGAGTGAGTGCCGTGGCGTTAGCCTAGCTCACAGCAACCTCAAACTCCTGGGCTCAAGAGATCCTACTGCCTCAGCCTCCCGAGTAGCTGGGACTACAGGCATGCGCCACTATGCCCGGCTAATTTTTTCTATATATTTTTAGTTGTTCAGATAATTTCTTTCTATTTTTTTTTAGTAGAGACGGGGTCTTGCTCTTGCTCAGGCTGGTCTCGAACTCCTGAGCTCAAACAATCCGCCCGCCTCGGCCTCCCAGAGTGCTAGGATTACAGGCGTGAGCCACCGCGCCCAGCCATCTTCCCCCAATTTCTGTGTCTGATCCTGGCACTTCTATTCCCCTCTGCTGTAGTTTGGATATTTGTCCCCCCAAATCTCATGTTGAGATTTGATCCACAGTGTTGGAGGCGGGGCCTGGCGGGAGGCGTTTGGGTGGGAAGATGGCTCCCTCACCCATGGCTGAGCCTGAGCGCAGTTCTGTTGGAAAAAGCCTTGCTGTGTCTCCTCTCTCTCTTGCTCCCTCTCTGGCCAAGCGACATGCCTGCTCCCCTTCGTCTTCTGCCATAACTGGAAGCTCCCTGAAGCCCTCACCAGAGGCAGATGCTGGCACCATGCTTCTTGTGCAGCTTGCAGAACCGTGAGCCACATAAACCTCTTTTCTTTATAAATTACCCAGCCTCGGGTATTCCTTACACAGCTATGTAAACGGACTAAGACACCCTCCATCTCCTCATTGTCAGAGACGGCTCTGAGCTCCAGGTGTTGGAATCACTCGATGAGGGAGAGGCCTCAGGCATTGGCCTTGTCCTGGACAATGTACAGTCCCACCGAAGCCATCTCGAGACTCCTTCCCTTTGCAGAGCAGTGTATGGTTTCCAAAGATCCTACATCTGGCATTATGTGATCTCAGAACCCTGCTGAGTATTTTTGTCCTTGTCCCTGTTATACAGGTGAGGAGAGAGCCTGAGAAGACAGAGGACTTTGACCAAGGCCACAGGCTAAGCTGATGGAGCGTGTCCGCCCAGGTGACCCAGGCAGCTGGAGCACAGGGTGGGCATGGGCTGGGGGGGTGTGGAGCTGGAGAGGGAGGAAGGCTGGGGTGGGGAGGGCTGGAGGGGAAGTGGGGCTAGAGGGGAGGGGGGTGCTGAGCTGAAGGGCCCCAGGCAGCACCAGAAGGGATTCAGGCTTATCAGCCAGTGATGGGGTTTAAGCTGGTGTGTGTGTGTGTGTGTGTGTGTGTGTGTGTGTGTGTGTGTTTGAGAGAGAGAGAGAGAGAGAGAGAGAGAGAGAGAGAGAGAGAGTGAGATATAATCTAATCTGCATTTTACGAAGTTCCCTCCTCACACTGTAGGTCTTGGGAAACAGGTTAGAGGTGACAGAAGTCCAGGGAGACCGCAGAAAACCATGCATGTATGTAGTGAGACATAGACGGTCCCCCCTGCTTCTTTATAGTTTACTTTTAAAAATTTCCACAAGGAGCATACATTACTTTACCAGGAAGAAGGAATATTTTTAAGAAAGGCTACTGGAGCAGTGGGAGTGAGAGGTGTAGCTAGGCCAGTGGTCGCATGTCGGGGAGAAAGCACAGCCCTGTCTGCCCAGGAGGCGAGGGGTGGGGAGGAGCTACTTGGGGGGGGTGGTGACCCTTCCCCAGGGGACAGCCGTTGGGGCGGCCACGGGTGGCATGGTGAGGGAGCATTGTGTCTGGACGCACGTGTGCAAGGCGCCTGGGGACAGCTGGGGGAGGCATGCGTGGGCGACTAGAGCTCAGAACAGACCTGGGTGGGGACAGAGACTGGGTGATGCCCAAGGAGGGGAGGGGGATGTGTGAGGAGCCAGGCGCGGAGAAGGGAAGAGGTGGGCAGAGGAGCCAGGAGGGCCGGGCAGGGCTGAGGAGAGGATGCAGGGCTGGGGGTTCTGCACAGCCCCACGGGCATAGGGGGTCTGCACCGCACATGTTGCAGAGAGGTGGGGATGGAGGGGAAGAGCCCGCCTGGAGGCCACTAGAGACCTCACGAGCCCTGTTGGGGGTGGAGGGAGGGCCAGGGCAGACTAAGGAACAAGCATGGAGGCGTGAGGCGGACGGCTGGGGAGCCAGGGGTTGCGGGGAGATGAGGAACATAACTACAGCCGCAGGAGGGGCCTGCTTGGGAGGCTGCAGCACCTGTGGGTGGGGGAGGGGAGGCGGTGTGGACCGAAGCCCACTCCCCCATTTGTCAGCTGTGTGACCTTGGGTAAAGCCTCAGTCTCCCCACCTATCGCACGGGGACAATAAGGACCTACCTCCTTCTGACTAGAGAGGTGAATGTGAGATGAGATCATGCACGTGCCTGGCACAAGCCAACACCCTTCAAATGTCAGCTGCTCTTCTGGGCACCAAGGAGGCACCAGCCTGGACAGGATGAGGGAACTCAGCCATGGGGGCGGCAGGAAGAAGGCTGGGGGTGGCACTTGCAGAGTGTCATCTGGGGACCACGAGGAGGGAGGTGGGGAGCTGGTGAGGCTACCTTGCTATGCACCTTTGGGAAGCCCCTTTCCTTCTCTGAGCGGTCCCCTTGTTTGTCCAGGAGGTGACTGGACCCACCCATCTTTAGCCTCTTGCCTCTGAGCCTAGAACCTTCTTAAGTGGGAGCCACCACCCTCACACCCAGACTGGGCCTAGCGTACAGGAGCTGCTCAGAGATGTTTACTGAACCGAATGAGCAGGCTACAGGTCTCTCTCACAGCTAGGCCCGGAGACCACCCCACACCCGCAGACCAGGCCACGTGGGCAGGCCACAGACCGGGCAGCATCACCCACGGGTGAAGTCTGTCTACTCTATACGCCGGCCCCAAGCCCACTAATAAATGTGAAAGAGGTTGCAGTGCCCCTGCAACTCCTACCACACCCCTGCCCCCCTGGGGGCTTTGGTACCTCTCCCTGTCCTCACCCCACACGCCTTACAAAGATCAGAGGTGAGCCCACTGAAACCCCAATGCAAGGCTGAAAAGCAGATGCAAAACTCATTTCTCCCTCAGCCAGGGGCTGGCCCAAGAGCTAAGATGGAGGCCGAGACGAGAGTGGGGGCCCCGAAGAGTGGGGGGTCCCTGAGAAAAGGGAGAAGGAAACAGAAGAGAGGAACGGAATGGCAGGAAGAGGAAGGACACAAAATTCCCCCTTCTACGCCCCAGAGCAGGCTGGGCCTTAGAAGAGACCCAGCCAGGGGGCTGGTGGAGTCAGGAATCTGCTCGCTCCCCTCTTCCCACAGGAGCCAGTGATGTGCAGCTGGGGACAGGGTCTTCCCTGGCCCTGAGCAAGGGGCTCCTGAGAGGGAAGGGGCCTGGCTGAGCACGCATGCTCTAAACCACATGCAAAGCGCTGGGATTGGGGGGAGGAGGGGGTGAAGGTTCAAGGATTGGGGGGTAGTCCTGGCAGGGTCTCTCAGGGCAGCTGGCGGGGAGGGTGGTCCTGGGAGTAGCGGCAGGAGATGCCCAGCACACAGCAGGAGCTCAGCGCACGGCACCAAGGGACCCAGCGGGGCCACCCCCACCCCCGCCCTCACCTGCTGCTGGGCCTGGATCCTCATGTACTCGGCCCTCTGCTTGCCGTGCTTGCTTTTGTCAGGGCTGCCTGCCTGGCCCTGGGCCGCCTTCAGCCGAGAGGCCCCTGGAGTCACCACCTTCATGGGTGGCACGCTGCCACTGCCACTCTGCAGGAAGAGGAACAGGGTTGGTGTTGGAGGGTCCTGTGTGGGGGTGGAGTCACACAGAAACCCTAGGTGCTGGGGGGGTCTCTGGGGCTGGGACCTCCTCTGTGGGGCCCTTTGAGACCTGGAGACCCTCCCTGGCTCCACATCCCAGGCCCCTCTCTGAGCCAGGTTTAAGGCCTTCCCGAAGGAGAGGAGCAGGGCCGCCAGCCAGGTTCCCAACAGCTCCCGAGTGAGAACTCTTTGGTGGCCTCCTTGAGCAGCTCAGGGGCAGCTGGTGCCCTCCTGGGGGAGCCGCTTCCAAAGTGAGGGTCCCCAGCACCACCCCGCTCCAGCAAGGGGCACCACCGTGGACCTGGAAGCACATGCCTAGGTTTGGGGCGGAGGGCTTTCTCTGCAATGGCAGACACTGCAGATTGGCAGCCCCAGGCCGCATCTGCCTCCTAATGGGAGGCTGGGGTGGGGTCTCCCTAGAAATGGGCAAGCCTGGCCCCCTTGAACCACCTCAGGTGTCAGACCTGCACAGAGGGGCGCTGGGCATCCAGAGGCGCGAGCAGAGGAATGACAGAGACAGAGAGAGTCAGAGACAGGAGGGGGAAGGGGAGTGGGGGAGGGAGGGGACAGAACTTTATTTGCTGGTTTACAGATACAGAGAAGGGGAGAGGACCCGGTTCTTGCCAAGGTTGGGGGGCCGACCCCTGGGTAGGCCAGCTTCCCAGCCTCCCTGCGGCTCGGCCTGCAAACCCCTGCCTGGCACCAGGCTCCCAGGAGGGTGGCAGGAGCTGAGAGAAGGCCGGTGGGAGGAGAGGGCTGGTGTGGCGCTCCTGCAGCCCCCCACTCCCTCCAGCCCTGAAGATGCAGAAACAGGAGTGTGAAGAGGGGGAGGAGGCAGCCACCTGGGGGCTGGGGGGCAGGGATGGGGGGCTGCCTGGGGACCCTGCAGTGGTGGCTGTGCCCATCTCGCTGAGGGTGGCTTCCAGCTCCTGGAGCGTCTCCTCCAGGCTGTCCATCCGCTGGGTGGTGATGCCCTGCACTGTGTGGCCTGCACTGGTGGCAGGCTGGCCCGGGTGCTCCCAGCTGCAGGTCTGGGCATCACATTCAGAGTCCTTGGGGGTCTCCTCTGGGTGGGTCTCAGCAGGAGCAGGAGATGGCTTCTGGGTCCCATCTGGGGCTGCTCCCCAAGAACAGGGGACCGTGACTCCTCCATGCTCTGGGCCGTAGCCTTCTACACCCAGTTTCTTGAGAGCTGCCCCTTCCTTCTCAGGCGTCAAGCTGCTCCGCGGCCAGGGAGGCTCAGCTGCTCCCCCCAGCAGGGTCTGTGGGCCATCCCAGCCCCCCCTGCTGCCAGCCAGGGTCCGGGGTCTCGGGGTGGGAGCTGTCCTGGGACCCGGCTCCTCAAGCTGGGCCTCTGGCAGGGAGGGAGGGTTGGGGGCACACTCTGTCAGGATGATCCGCGGGACGCAGAAGGCCCCGGCACCTGGGGCGGCCTGGGGGGAGAAGCAAGATGAGGAAGAGTGTGATCCCTGCAAACCACACTGAGCTGGGACGGGGGGTTAGAGTTAGGTGAGCCCATCCCTTCCTTTCACAGATGGGGCAATTGAGGCAGGGAGGGTTCTGACTGAGGTTACCCAGTAAGTTAGAGGCAGAACTGGGACTAGAACTCGGGTCACTTCCACCATCCCCCACGGCTTCCTACGTTCTAGTGAAGATGCCAGTTTAGCAGAAGCACAGATACATGTTTACTCTGCGTCGCCCGTGTCAAACTCTGGGAGCAGGTCTCGCGGTTGCTCCCATGAGTTTGCCCACTGGTGCAAGGGGACGACGCTAACGTGGGGTCGGTGGGGAATGACGTAAGCTCGCACGGGCACATTGTCAATGCTCCGTAAGTAGCAGCTTTCTGTTGTGCTGAAACGAATGACCCAGGCCTCCGGCCCTGTGTGGGCAGGGACCACCTGCCAGCCTCTGTCCTCGGAGGAGGGGGCCATCGGCCTCATCTCAAGCCAGAGACTCCCGGACCCCCTGCCACTGTGTGAGCTCTCCCCAGGGGCTTCGCCACAGAAGGGGCAGGGCTCGGCCTTTGCCAGGGTCCTCTGCTGCACACACACCCGGGCAAAGCTCCCGTGGGCACCTGCTACTGTGCGAACGACCCTGGACCTGGCCTCAGTGGGGGCACAGAGACGCCCCAAGGACCGTGCCCGAATTGAGGGAATCCTGGTCTAATTCTGAGCACCAGTCATGTGTCAGGTACTGTCACATCTGTCCTCACCTTTAATGTCTACTGTGACCCGTGCAATGGCTACTGCTGTCATCGCCCCACTCCACAGAGGAGGAAGCCGAGGGTGAGGGAGGTTTCATGATTCACCCAAGGTCGCTCACCCACAGTTAGTGGCAGAGCCAGGATTTGAACCCAGATGGTCTGACTCCAAGTCCAGTACTCTTTCCACTAAAAGGAGCCATGGGGAGATGCGTGGGGGGCAGCAGGGACTACAATCACCCCCTCCCATGGTGAGCCACCCGGCCTTGCCACCTGCTTACCTGGGAGCGGGGGGTGTAGACTGGGAAGGCAGAGAGGGTGACCTGAAGCTCGCCCGGCTCCACGGCCTGCTGGTGCCGTAGGATGCAGAGGGTCAGGCAGGCCCACAAGGGGAGGGGAGGGGCCTGGCCCACTGGGCCCTCTCAGGATTGGCTCCCAGAGCCAGTGAGGGGCAGGTGTGGGGTTGGAGGACCACGGTGCCAAGGGCACAGCCAGCCAGGAGGCACCCCACCCACACTGCTCATCCCAGACAGCTCCGTGGGCTGCTCTGTGCCTGTCCCCTGCCCAGCAGACAGCACTGTGCCCCCATCTGATGCCTGTCTGCTCCCCACTGCCAGGAAACCAAAGCACCAGCAGGCCTCCAGCCAGGCCAGAAATCGGGTGGTGGCCAGCGTGGAGCCCACTGTGGGCCAGGGAGAGCCAAACAAGGAAGGTGAGAGTGTGTGTGCACCGGGGGCTGTTCCCCCACAGAGCAGAGGGCCCTCCTGGCCCAGCCTGACCCGGCAGAGACTCCCACCCAGCGCCTCCCCCCACCCTCCTCCCCAAGCACAGCACAGTCCTACAAGAGGGGAGGGGGTGCAGAAAACAGGTCCCCCAAATTCCCAAGAAAGAATAAAGAGGAAATAAGTGCAGCAGGACAGCAGCAAGGACTGAAGTTAGAAAGAAGGAAGAACTTCCCAATGCTGAAAGACAGAACCAGCAGCCAAGGAAGGGCATGGGTTTCTTCCACTCCGAGTCCCCTGATCAGGGGGCCGAGATGGGCCATGGCAGGGTGAAGGCTGCAGATGAGCCTTCCCTGGGTGTCCAGGCCCCCAGTGCAAGGCACAGATTCCAGAGGGAAAAGCAGAGCCTGTTACCCGGCACAGGCAGCAGAGCAGCAGGGACGGAGGTGGGGACCAGGCAAGGGCTCAAGACAAGGTCAGATTTTGAGTTGGACCCAAAGTCGTCTTGCGAGCAAGATCCAACCTCCAATCTTGGCTCAAGACAGCACCCAGGCTTCGGGCCAGACCTAGACTCAGGCCACAAACTGGACCAGAACAGGAGGCCACGTGCGCCAGACTTGGAATCAAGCCTGCGGGGACGCAGACTCAAGGGTCACAGACACCCAGGCTGCTGGAGTCCCGGGGAAATCCCACCTGGGAGGCGGCGGGAGGAGGGGTTATGCGCCTATCCAGGGGGTGGTGAGTCGCGCGTGTGTGATGCCATGGCAGTGGCAGGACTGGGACCGTGGCTGGCGTTTTAGCGGGTCAGCGTGAGAGGTGAGGCGAGGAAGCGGTGGAGGGTGGAGGCACAGGCAGAGAGAGAGCCGTGAGAAGTGGGCAGCCCCGTTACCTTCCGTGTGGGGCCCGGGGCTGAGCCCCTGGGGGGCCCCAGGTCCTGGGGGGACAGCAAGGTGGGGATCGGCTGGCAGCGGGGCGTGGGGGGGAGGGAAGACACTGAGCTTCTCTCAAACACCTGAGGAGCAGAAGGTGGGGGCAGGTTTGGAGGAGGGGCACCAGGGAGGATGGGGGTGCAGGCACCCAAGGGGAGGGTGGCCTGGATGGCGTTGGGCCCCCTGCCTCACCCCTTGGCCCTTCACCACGGCCACTGGCCCAGCCTGCCCCAGTTGGTCTCCTCCCACAGAGACCCCGGCAGTCCAGGGGCTCCAGGCACCAGGGCTGGGGTGGGTGCGCGGACACTGAGCATGGTGACTTCCAGCACTGGGGGAGTCAAGGCGCTTGGGCCTGAGGGTCTCAGCACACTCACGATGGGGCTCTCAGCACTCAGCAATCTCAGAATATTCAGGTACGGGGCTTTCAGAGTATAGGGGGTCTTGGGGCACTTGGGGGGGGTCTCAGAGACTACAGTAAAAAAGCTCAAACCTTCAAGGAGAGACTTTAGACCCCCCCCCCATTTTACAGTGGAGAAGAAACGGAGGCAGGAAGGTGGGGGTCCTGCACAGCCAGCACTCAGCGTGGGGACCCTGCGTCCATCCAGCTGCCCAGTCCGGCCACCTCGCCTGGGGGCAGCCTGGCAGGGAAGGGGGCCCGGCTGAGGCCTGGGGGGCCAGGTGCGCCCTGACCCACCTCCAGTTCTGCGATGATGCGATCCTCATCGTCCTCATCCTTGATGGCAGAGGCCATGATGGGCGGGGTGGAGGCCGGGCGGGCCACCTCGGACACAGCCCGGCGCAGCTTCACCTGGGGCTTCTGCACCTCCAGCTCCTCGGACTCGGCCTTCTGCAAGGCCCGGGACCCCTGTCAAGACCGGGCTCTGCGCCCCCAGCCCCAGCTCACCCCCTAGGTCCCATCTCTCCCCTGCCCCAGCTTCTCATCTGTCACGTCTGCTGTCCCCTGCAGGGGCCCGGAGTGGACTTAGGGCAAATACACATATTCAGGATCCCACGCTAGAAGGACAGAGTCACCACCGTCCAAGCCCTCTTTCCTTCCACTTCCTCTGAGAAAGGGGTCCCTCTTCCAGCCCAGAGGGCCTCCAGAGGTCACTTCAGGCTTCACCCTAACTCAACCTCCGGGTCCCCTGCCCAAGGTGGGAGTGGTACCTTGATGAAGGCCGAGTCTTTCTTGCTGGTGACCACCACCTCTCCGGTGCGCGTGGTGGTCAGGCCGTGGGAGGAGGGGAAGCTTCGGCGGGGAGGGGGCGGCGGGGGCGACTTGGAGGGCTTCTCCGTGCGGTATCGGGGCACTGTCAGCTCATCTGCAGACAGCCAAGGGGCTGGGGGTCAGGGGACCCGCAACCCTGGAACCAACACACTACATTTGACTCCCGGGAGGACCAGGAGGAGGAGAGAGGAAGGCTCAGGGGTGAGAACACAGGGGCCCCCCTACTTCTCTCATCTCCCCTGCAATTGGCTCTGTCCCGCCTCCCCTTAGAGCCCTCCAATGGCTCACTACTAAGGGTGGCCCCTGGGCCAGAGGAGCTTGTCCCAAATGCAGCTCAGGCCCCACCCCCAGCTGCTAAACCAGAATCCGCAGTTTAGGAGACCCTGGTGACTCCTGCACAGGCTGAGCTGGAGACCCTGCTCTAACCCCGCTTCTTCCTTTGCCCCTCAGCCCTGGACCCAGCTCTGTGGCTTTTCCACATTGAACCCTGCCCCACCCACCTGGCTCTCCCTTAACTCCAGTTCCTCCTCCAGCCCTGTTTCCAGGGCAACCAGCTGAGCGGTCACTCTAACTGTGACACTCCCTGCCTTTGATCCTGCAGCAGCTCCCTAACACCCCAAACCCTGTCGAAGCTCCTTAGTCCAGCACCCTCTGCACCTGCCAGGTCCCTCTCCCTGGAATGCCCTCTTACTGGCCAGGAAGTGCCTACTCATTTCCAAGGCTCCAGTGGAAAGTCTCCCCCTCCGGGAAGCCCTCCTGCCCTTGCAGGGCCTCCTGTAGGATGGCACAGCGCAGCACTCGCCTTTGCCGTTGCATTTAGCACCTGCATTCCACTCCTGGTTTACAGGCTAGGTATGGCTTGGGACAGATCACTTAACCATTCTGAGCCTTAGTATCCTCATCTGTAAAATGGGAATAATTACCATATCTGCCTCCTGGGGTTGTTGTGAAATTATAAGGATTAATACATAAAAGGCATTTGGAACAGTTCTTATTGCATAGTAAGTGCATGATAAACACACGTTAGTATTATTTCCCCACTAAATCTTTTTGTTTTTGAGACAGATCTTGCTCTGTCTCCCACGTTAAAGTGCAGTGACGTCACCATAGCTCACTGCAACCTCACATTTCTGGATTCAAGTGATCCATCTGTCTCAGCCCCCCAAAGTGCTAGGATTACAGGCGTGAACTACCCTGTGGAACCATCCCTCACTAAATTTGGAGCTCCTTAAAAGCATGTCTTATCTCTCTATCCCCAGCACCTAGCACACAGTAGGTACTTAACAAATAGGTGTTGCAGCAATGAATTAATGAATGAATGATGACTGCTACTTCTGGTCTGGATTTCTGCCTCCCCATGAGCTCACAGGCTGTGTGAGTGTCAATATCAGTGCTGCGGCACGTCCCCAGCACAGCCTGGTTGGTGGCACATGCTCAGTCAAGACTTTCAGGCGGATGGCTCTGCCTGGACCTGCTCGTTCCCCTGTGTGGTCCTCTCAGCAGCTCTCAGGGTAGTGGGAAAAGCCCTGGGTGGAGTCCAGCTCACCCTGTCCTTCTGGGTCTCCCCTCAGCAGGTGGCTGATGTCCCAGAGCCACCCTCTCTGGCAGCTCAACCACAATGATTCTGACTCCCCAGTGCCCCCCTCCCCCACCCCATCATCCTGACAGTGCTTGGGGATGGGGCTCCCCATTCTGGGCTCTTCACCAACCCCTACCACCCCCATACCTGAGCCCCTCCTCCCACTGGGCTCCGTTCGGGGAGCTGCCTTCTGGCCGTGGGGGACCTTGGGGGGCTTGTGGTCTGGGGTGGGGGCTGGGCCTGGGTGGGCTTTGCTCGCACAGTCCAGGTCAGGGATGGCCTTGAGCAGCTCTGCCTGCGTCTCCTCCAGCAGCCGGTTGATGTCCTTGGCGCTGTACTGGGTCAGGGCTGCCCTCTTCTCCTCCCAGTCCCGCTCCGCAGCCTTGAGAGGGGGGCCGGGAGTCAGGATGGAGGCGGTTGCCTTGCTCAGGGACCTCTGGGGCCTCACTTCTTCCCCCCAGTGGCATGCAAGGAATAGAAAAGGAAGCCTCACATTTGATCCTGCCCCCCGCCCCCCACCCCCTCCGCCTTCTCCGTGAATGTTACACATTATCTCCGCCGGTCACCAATGCCTCTTCATTATGCACTACATTCTTGTCACACTGAGACCGTTTCTGGACATCCTGTTTTGTTTCACTGATCACAGTCCGTTCTTAAGCTAACACCACACTGCTTTGATTATTATAGCTTTAGAATATGCTTGCTGTCTAGCAGGACTAATATCACCCTCATTATGCTTCTTAGACTTCCATTAGGGAACTGACCCTCCTCCTCCTAGAGAAAGGACCTACACGTTTGGCACTTCCCACCCTAGGGTGGTGATGAGAACATGCGAACCCGGCCCCCACCCCCAATCCCAGGCCCCAGCACCTCAACGGACACAGCTTTGTCCACGCTTCTCTTGCCAGGAGTGTCCGGGCCTTTGGTGGGGTTGCCCCCCTTGGGGATAAGAGAGGCTCCCTCAGTCGGCCCACTCAGCTCATGGAGGTTCAGCGGGGGGCTGGGGGGTGGCATTTCAAAGTCCAAGCTCTTGCTGAAGTCAGTCTCGGCCGTCACCTTCTTGGGGGACTGATTCAGAAGGTTATTGGGGGGTGGCCACACGCCCTCGTCCACTTGCCTGGGGTTGAAAGAGTTAGGAGCAGCTGTGAGGCCAGCAGGGTGGCGGCCCCTTCTGAGGGGAGGCTGGCCTGAGGGAGGTGGGGTGTGATAAGGCCTCTGGGATCTTGCAGGAGAGATGGGAGGGCCTGGGGAGGGGCGACTGCCCCCAGTATGAGGCAAAGCAGAGCCTACGGCATGCAAGGGGTCAAAGGCCAGAGTTGACCAACGTCTGGGGGAGTCGGGATAAGGGGTCAGGCTGACCTATGGATCTGGGCCCAGTGTGTGACCCCATGGGAAATCAGAGGTCAGGGACAGAATGACCTTCGGATCTGGGCCAGCGTGTCTGTGACCCCACGGCAGCGCTTGAGGAGTCCATCCAGGCGCTGGGGCTCCTCCTTCAGGAACTTCACTGCCTCCACCTCCACACGCAGCACTACCCGCATCTTGCTCTGCAGGCCTGGGAAGTGAGCTGGGGGCACAGGAAGGAGTGAGCTGGAGCCAGAGGGAGCACTGAGGACGGGGAGGACAGGGGTGATGGCAGGAATGCAGCAGGCATTCCCACCCTGGACCGTGTGCCATGCTCGCTGGCCCCAGACCCACCCTTGAGCTCCGTCAGTGTCTCCCCAAGCTGCTTCAGCACCAGCGCCTTCTCCTCCAGCTCGGGGCCAGGCACCAGCCGGTGGTTGTGGGACATGTCCCTCTGGATCTTCTCCACCGATTTCTCCAAGTCACTGCAGCCACAGAGAGACCCTCTCAGCCCCTCTGGCCCCAGCCCAGCCCCCTGAAATTGGGCAGCTGGAAAGAAATCAGGCCACTGGTTAGATCAAAAATTAAAAGCCAGCTACAGGCCACGTGCCCAGGTGAAATCAGCAATGCCGAGTCTCAGAGGGGAGGAGACCTCAGAAGAGCTCCCTGAGAGGTACCCTGAGCGCCCCAGGAAACTCTGCTCTTCTGCAACATTAGCCCAAACATCCTTCCTGTGACTTGCAGCCCCTTCTCATTCTGCCAAGGAAGCAGCAAAGAATGTGGCAGCCTTTCAGAGAACTGGAGGCAGTGACACCTGCCCCCGAGGGGTCTCCTGTCTGAGGGGACACTATCATGTCCACCTGTCTTTTCTCAAATGACCCAGCCACTCAGCCTCTTTCCTTGAGGCCAAAGCTGCTTTCGAGTTTCATTGATCTCTGTGGACCTTGTGTCATTTAAGACCCCACAACTTTCTAAAATGTAAATCAGACCAGGTCACCATCCCTTCCATTGAACCCTAAGTGGATCCCATCAGTCTGAGGCTAAAATCCCAAGTCTTCGGTGCCCCCAAGAAGGGCACAAGGGTTGTAGTTGAAAACTTGGCTCTAGAGTCAGATAGATCCAAGCTCCAATCCCAGTTCAGCCCTTCCCAGTGAGAGATCCCAGGCAAGTTACCTAATATCTCTGGGCCCCAACTTCCTCATCCAAAAACTGGGGATGACAAGAGTTCCTCATTAGGAGGATGAAATAAGCTAATGCAGATGGGAAAGCAGGCGGCTAAGGCTCGTCCCTGGAGGTTGCTCTCCATGGAGCTGCACACCCTGCCGCCACCTGGCTTGCTACCATTTAGAGCCCTTTAGAACTTCCCTGAGGTCCTTACATGTGCCGCCCTCTCTCACCCTTTATAATGCTATTCTGTCTGCCTAGAATATTCCATCCATCTTTACACACACACACACACACACACACACACATACACCACGGGCTAATTTCCACTTGTTCTCAGGAAGCTCTGCCTCGTCCCTTCACTTGGAGTTGGGGGTCTGCTTCCTGCCCCCCAAATCCCTGAAGCTCCCATTTGCTGGGCTCTGCAGCCTTCTGGACCATTAGCGCCAGGCAGGCAAGGACCATGTCTTCCAGATGCATCTCCGATTCCCAGCACCTGGCACGATGCCTGGCGCAGAGTAGATGTCTGGTAAGTAATTGTGCAGTGAATGAACAAGTGAAAGAAGGAGCTGCTGCCCGGGTAGGCCATCTCAGTTCTGGGCCTAAGTCACTGACATCCCTGACCCACATGCAGGATGTTACATACATTCCTGTCAAATCCCATCTGTTGGATTTCAGCTCAGTCCAGGTGTGAACAACTTCTGAATCTCAGTTCTACCATCCAACAGATTTGCTCCCCCTTAAAGCTCTGTGTCATCAGTAAATCTTATCAGCATGCCTTGTACATCTTCATCCAACTAGCAGGGGAAAAGACAGATGAGGTTGGAGTCAAGGGCAAAATCCCTGTGACTCAGCACTACCAGTTAAAGAGCTACCTTGTATTAAGCACTTACTGCATGCCAGGTGCTACACACAGCCCTTCAGTTTCATTACTTTAATTAATCCTCAAAATAAATCCTGGAGGTGGGAACAGACATTAACTCCCATTTACACAAGGACAAACACTGGCTCAGAGAGGAGACTGCATTTCTCAGCCTCCTTTGCATAAATAGCCATTCAACTAACGTCTACCCAATGGAATATGAGTGGAACGGGTACATGCCACTTCCAGACCTGGCCCATAAAAGCCTCCCATGTAAGCTCCTCCATGCTCCTTTCTCCTTCTGGTGGGTTGGAAACTCTCTGGGTGATCTTGGAAAGCACATGTTAAAGATGGCAGACCCCCACCAGCCTAGATCCCTGAATGACTGCATGGAGGAGAGCCAACCTGTTAATCTATCCAATACTGTTTGATGTGAAAGAAGAAAGATATGTCTATTACTTTTGAACCATTATACAATTTGGAAGCTTATTTATTACAGCATTTAAGCTTAACTAATTAATTAGCTACCCTAACTAAGGCTTTGGCATAATAAAAAGGAATAAAAGAGGCAGAGAGATTAACTAGTCCAAGGTCACACAACTATTTTGTGGCAAAGCAGGACCTACTCACATCTGACTTCTGCCATCGGTTCTGCTGCACCTCACTTCCACACTGGACTCACATCACTCACACGCACTCCCCCACTGTCCTATTCCAGCCCTTGCTCCACCACATAGGAAAGACCAACTCTCCCCTGCTTGTATGTGTGACACCAGACTGGCCCAGGCTGTGCTGGTTTTATAAAACTGTCACTCCCCAACATCATTATGCAGGGGAAGAAGCCCTCATTTAAAGGACTCAGAGAAGCCTTCAGGAGGAGGCAGCATTGCAACCTTCAGGCAGAAGGAACCAGACCACCCATAGGCTCAATCGGTGCCTTGATTTTTTAACCATCCAATCTGTTAAAGTTTAGGAGCCCCTAATTTGAGCAGGCTCTGCAAATGAGTCCCAGACCAGCTGGCCTAGACACTGGATCAGAGAGTGGCTGCGCTTTCCAGACCCAGTTTAGTCCTGGAGGGGTCAAGAGGGGGAGGATCAGGACAGAAGCAGCTAAATAATTTGCGAGGCCCCATGAAAAATGGAAATGGTGCCCCTAGTTCAAAAATTAATAAGAATTTCAAGACAGTGATAGCAGAACATTAAACCAAGCATGGGGCCCTTTTGAGCATGGGCCCTGTGTGACCACACAGGTGTCGTGCCTATAAAGCTGGCCCTGGGTTTGGCAAAGGTTGATTCAAGGACCCAAAAGGTCTCAGTCAGCAGAGGCTGCCCTTTCGGGCAATGTCCAGTTAGAGCTCAGGTGCTGAGCTGGATGAGCAGGCGAGTGAGCTGAGCAGAGTGAAACACAGAACCAGCCTTAATCTCTAGCAGGATGCCAGAAAAGAGGAAGGGGCACAGCAAAGCGGGAAAAGAGTAAGCACGTGGGCGCCGCAGCCAGAGCAGAGCTCGGCAGGGCCTGCAGGGTTAATATTTGGGGAGCCTATGGGAGCTGGAGCAGGGGGGGCTTCATGGCCAGGCCAGACCCACACCAGGGCCAGTAGGCAACCCAGCCCCTGCCCCACCCCAAAGAGGCAGGAGCCACATTCCAGAAGCAGTAGTGCAGGTCTCAAGCTCTCTCAAGTGAGCAGTCTGAATAATGGGTTTTATAACAGGATGGGGGGGCTTCTGGGTGTTCCTGGTGAACCGAGGCCCCCAGGAGCCAAGGATCAGACACTTATAATGATGGTAGCATCAATTCGTTCTTTCATCTCGTCTGCCTTTGTGCTTTTATATTTCCTTTAATTTTCCTTTAATGTCTTAGTAAAGTTCCTTTTGAAAATTCCAACCCAGCTCCTCTATGCTGAATGGAAAAGAACAAGGACAGGACAGGAAAGTTGGGTAAATGGAATGCCCTGGGTGAGAGGGATGGCAGCTGCCAGTGTGCTTGGAGATCTGGCTGGAGTTGTCACTAAGCTATCATACCTAGAGTGACAGGGTGGCTGCTGCTGCTTATTTCCACATAGTGTGGCCCTTTACTTCATTTCAGCCGCATGGTGTCATGGGAATCTTTGCCTTGTGCCTTGCTGAAATGCACATGCGCCATCAGACTGTGTGGGCCCCAGGCTAAGGGGCAGTGACCCTTCTCAAGGAGCCTCTGGCAAGAGGTTCATTTATGACTCCGTGAGGAAGCTGGGCAGCCTCTCCAGGCTCCCTGAGCTGCTGGCCAGTACAACCCAACCCCTCTCTGAAAAGAACCACAAAAATCTTAATATTGGGCACAAATGAGGATACTGGGGCACAGAGAGGGGGCAGGAACTGCCCTGATCACGCAGCCCCTCAGTGCTGGAGCTGGACCCCGGGTCCCCCAGCATCCTGTCCCACCATGAGGGGGGCACAGGAAGGAGCAGTAACTGACAAGGGAAAGCAGTGAGGTGGGGGTGCTCAGTCCCTGAATGGACGGTGAAAGGCAGCTTCTCCCTTCAAAGGTGCCAGACAATGGAATCATGGCCAGACATTCATTTGCTAAATTTGGATCAGAAGACTGTCTTCTGTTAACCCCTCCATGTCTAAGCATTTGGAAGCCGGGTGTTCTCTGTTACACTAGAGCCCCGTTTCAGCCGCACTAAGAGAAAGAGGGGTTTCCTTGGTGATACCGGGTCTCAGAGATCAGGGAATTAGATTCCCAATGGTGGCTGGTAATGACCAAGCTGCATGGTTGGCAACGCCTGGCTCCACCCGAATGCTCTACCTGAGGGTCGGGTTGCACAGGTCACAGGCCAGCATAAAAGCAGGCAGAGGGCGGAAGGAAATGGCGCAGGTGGCCACATGAGAGTGAAGCTGCAGCCACAGAAAGGCAGATTGTGGATGATTACGAAGCAAGACCATAGCAAAAGCAGGCGTCAAGCCAGAAAAACAGAAATCAGGACTTATGCCAGCCGGTCAAAGGTCTGTGGGTCACAGAGAAATCAGGCCAAAGGAGAATGAAGTCAGGCTTCAGAACAGACCAGCGTGGCCTATGACTCAGAAGGAAGGGAGGCGCGCCTCCCAGTGAAACCAGGTTGGAGGTCACCGCGGCCGGCCGCAACCTGCGCCCTCCCTCCGCAGCGGGCCCCGCCTCACTTGAGCTGCTGGGTGATGAGCTCCTCGTCGTTGAGGTAGCGCAGCCGCTCCTCCTCCACCAGGGTACGCTGTCGCTGCAGCGGGTCCTCCTGCCGCCGCGCCGCCTCCGACACGCGCATGCTCAGCTCCGCCTCCGTGCGCTTCAGCAGCGCGCGCACCGACTCCTGGTTCTGCAGCTGCGGGACGCGCGAGGGACGGATGGACCCGGGTGGGAGGGAGTGGAGCGCGCAGCAGGGCAAGGCCCGGGAGAAGGCGGGTAGAGCGCAGCCCAATGCAGGGCGGGGCTCCGCAGAAGATGCGGCTTCTAGGCTTGGCCTCAAGCCTCAGCGACGGGGTGGGATGGCGATGGTGGGGGGGGCAGGGACCGAGGGGGAACTGAGGCAGGACGGCGGCGCAGAAGGTGCGGCTGCATAGCTGTGGCCAAGAGCAGCAGCGAAGGGGTGGGATTGTCGGGGGCGGAAGACAAAGTTAAGTTCTAGGGAAATACAGAGGCAGGAGGAGAAGGGGATGGGAATATTTGAGGGACGGGTGGGGCCAGGTAGGGCCCTGATTACAGAATGGCTGCATGGCTGTGGCTTGAGCAGCCCTGAGTGGGGACGGGACTGGAATGAAGGACTCAAGCGGTGGGGTTTGATAGGGTTTCTGTGGATGGGACAGGAAGACTAGGTTAATGATGGATCTAACGCAGTTCCAAACCCGAATGGCGGGGATGGGCGAGATCTTACCCGTTGCCCAGATGGCAATTCTCTGCCCCATCCCCAGCCTGTCTCTGTTCATTATCCTCACCTGACGGGCCCTGGGCCCGCTCGAGGAGCGGGCACATTGATGCCAGTCTCCTGACAGGTGGGACCATCTGTCGGGCGGGACGGGGGAGGCTGTCCGGGCTCAGGAAGGGGGAGCTGAGGGGACTCGGGGGAAGGGCTCCCGCCCGCCCAAATGGGGAAAAGGGATGCTTGGCAGAAAGGTACTGGAACTGCCCTGGGGGATACTGACAGGGGGAGGGGGCTCTGTGGGTGGACTGGGGCTCCAGGAGGGCAGTGGAGACTGGGGAAGGAGGACTCAGTAAGGGGCATATGGGCGAGGAGCCGGGGCTTGGTGAGGGAGTGAGGTTCAGCGACAGAGGGTAGGGGAGGCTCGAGGAAGGGGAGGAGGAGAAAGGGTTCGGAGAGGGGCCAGTAAACAGCGAGGGACAGCTCTGTGGAGGATGGACGGCTCTGTGGGGGAGGGACGAAGGAGGAGGGGATGGGGCGCGACTTGTGGGAAGGAGTTTCGGCAAGTACGTGGGGCGGGGTGGGGGTGGGGCGAGGGGAGGGGCTGTACCTGGAGCTTGCGCAACTGCTGCAGCTGGCCGCGCAGGTCACTGGCGCTGTTCTGCAGGCCGCGCAGGTGCAGCTGCATCTGCAGACGGCTGACAGCAGTGGGCTGCCCTGCAGGAGTGCTGGCCGAGGGCGGGGGAGGGCCGGACACGGGGGTGGCCCCGCTGCTCCGGCTGCCTGAGCCGCCGGCTGCAGAGAAGGACCACGAGGATGGGAGAAAGGGAACAAATCATGAGCCTGGGAGGGGCTGGGCAAGATCTCACTCACTCCCTGACCCCACACGGCTGCCTGAGAGGCACATGGCTCTGACTCCCTGTCCCAAGTGCTGGTCAGTCCTAACTGTGGGGAGCAAAGTGCCAGGGAAAATACATCTCCGGCTAAGGTGACTACTTATTTATCCATTGAAAGCCCAATGTAGTTATTGTTTAAACCCCACTTACAGATTAGGAAACTGAGGCTCTGAGAGGACAAGGACCTGTGGGGGGGGGGAGGGTCACTCACGCGCTGAGGGGGTGGCTGCTCCATTGGAGCCTTCAATCTTCTCACTGTGGCACAGGGGGGAAAAGACAGCCATCAGGGGGGCCAGGCCAGCCCCAGACTGTCAGAGCTGGGTAGGACCTTAGCTGTAATCTTCTCCAGCTCTCTGATCTCAGGATGGAGTCCCTGAGCAGGGAAGGGACTCATCCAGGGTCACCCAGTGAGACATTGGCAGAGCTCAGCCCAGTGCTCCTGATGCCCATCCCCGCTTTCTCCTGCCCCAACCCCAGGCCCTGCCAGTGGTGTTGGGAGAGGGGCCTCACCTGGGGGTCTCAGGCTCTGAGCCTCGCAGTAGAGCACTCTGTACCAGGCCTGTGAGGCTGGCAATCTGCTTCTCCATGGCCTCCATGCGCTCCCTGGGGAGGAAGGGAGCTCTGAGCAACCTCTCCTTTGAGCATAGGATCCCTCCTGCCCAGTCCCCTGCCCAGCCCCCTATTGCTAAGATTGATAACCAGAACAAGCACCATTCCCTGCCGGGTGACCAGAACACAGGACAATTCAAAAGGCTCCAAAGTCTAAGGATCAAGCCCACAGCACTGCCCCCCATCTCTCACCACTGTCTCCCTAAGGCCCACCCTGACCTCTCCACGCCCTGGCACATGCTTCCCCTGCCTGCTGTGCCTTTCTTCTGGCTTGAAAGTTCCAGTAGCCCTAAGGAACCCTACACCACCCAAGGGAAGTGCAGCATTTTTATTGTGTCTCCCCAATAGACCAGGGTAGAAACTAGGTTTGCCCAACCTGGTATCAACAGTACCCTTGGCAGTGCCTGCTATGCAAAGGCGAATGGGTGCTCCTCACCTCTCAGCAGTGCTGCCCAAGGGCAGAGGTTACCTCTTCCAGCCCTGCGCCCTTAGGAGGGGACTGCGTGCTGACAAGGGCTCCCTATTCTGGAGGATAGATAACCAGACGTGCTGCTCTTGCCATCCCTATTTCTTACCAGCACCCTCCTCCCTAATGGACTTCAGCTGGCCCTGTGCTGGACAGCTCTCATGGCTGCAAATTCTGTGTCCCCACTAGAAAGGCACTAAAAGGAGTGGTTCAGCCCCTCAATTTCACAGTTGGAGAAACAGGCTCAGAAAATGGATGCAAACCCCAGTATCCAGGGTCCTCATCTTGGGACCTCTCGCCCACCCCTTCGGGTGGCCCAGAAAGCAAGAAAATGGCAGGTGGGTCTTTCCAGTGCCCTCCAGGCCACATCCAATACTACTCTGAGTCCAAGACACACACCTGCCAAGGACTCTGCGGTGTCCCCTCTCCCCACTCCCACAGCCCTGAGGCCTGGCGAGTGTCCCTCACCTGGTCTCCGTGTCCTTGGCTGGCACTGGCGGCCCGAACCCAACGAGCGAGCGCTCCCCAGGCCCGGGGAAGAGCTCCGGAGGGGGTGCTCCGGCCGTGGAGGCGCTGCTCGCGCTGCGGGTCTTGCCTCCGGGACTCTCGGCGAAGACAGAAGAGGACGAGTCTTTGCGGAATGACTGGCGCACCGGCGAGCCGCGGCTGGGTGGCCCCGAGTAGGGGCTGTGCGGCGGCGGGGGGCCTCCGGGGGGCGCCGCCACGTCGGCCAGCTTCTGCGGCGACGAGGGCGGCAGGCGGAAGCCGTAGCCGTCGCCATAGAGCGGGCCGCCGCCGCCCGCCGCCTTGTACAGCGAGTCCTCCAGGTCGGACTGCAGCGCGGCGGCCGAGTAGGTGCTGAGCGAGCGCACCGAGCCGCGCTTGTAGAGGCCGCCGGCCCCGGGGTAGGCGAACGGGTCGCCCGCGGCCGCCGCCAGGCTCAGACGGCCCTCGTGCAGCAGCCCGTAGGGGTCGGCGTACAGGCCCTCGCCCTTCACCAGCACCATGCCGCCCGCCTTGCTCGCCAGGTCCTCGTCCGGCTTCACGTCGCGCCGCTCCAGGATGGCGCTGGGGCTGGGACTGACGCCCTGGGCGGCCGGGGCGCCCCCCAGCCGCTCGGCCGCGTGGTGCACCGGGCTGCCGGCGTACGAGGGTGGGCGCCCGCCGGCGTACGAGAGGCGCGAGCGCGACGGCGAGCCAGACGGCAGCCCTGACGGCAGCCCCGACGGTAGCCCGGGCGGCGGCGAGCTGGAAGCCAGGTGCGGCGCTGGCGACAGGTTGTTGAGGCGCCGCGTGGGCGACGACTCCCGCGACGCGTACACCATCTCTCTCTGCGCAGAAAACAGCCCCGGAACCCCAGAGGGCTGGTCACAAAGGGGACCACTGCCCCTTGCTTGAGGAGCCAGCATCTTCTCCCTGACACTTAGAAAATCCCTCCTCCACAGTTGGCCCTGGTCCCCGGTGACAACTGCCCAGACTTTGCTCGCCTGGGCCCCATCCGCCCAGCCTCCCCAATGCCCTGGGCATCCCCCGCCATACCCGGAGGTCCCCGTTGGTGAGGTGTGAGCCAGGGAAAGCAGCGTAGAGTGGCTCCTTCCGATAGATCTTGATAATACTGCGGTCCTGGATATCCCTGGGGGGAGGGGGGAAGAGAGGGTCACCATCCATCCCTCAGCAGTGCACAATGACGAGGCTACTCCAGGCAGAGAGAAGAGGGGCGGCAAGAGGCACCAGGACCCCAGCCCCTTCCTAAGTCCTTCTCTCAATGGATCTGGTGCCTCAGGCTGCCCGCCACCAACGCACACACCCAGCAGCCTCCACCCGGTCCGCTTCCTCGGCCTCAGGGCATTTTCAGGTTAGCGCAAGCCAAAGGGAACCCGCAGGGGTGGATGAGTTAGAAAGGAGGGGGCTGGGAGGACCGAGGAAGGGGGCGGGACGGTAGGGCTCTGGGAGGACGGGGAGACTTAAGTTGGGTCAGGAGGGGACTGGGGAAGGGCCAGCGGGGTCGAGCATCCCTCAGAGGAGGGGTGTGGGGAAGTCCACCCAGCCCCTGAGGCCGCACCCACCGGACGTCCTCCAGCTCGTAGAAGACGTTGCGAGCCTCGTCTTTGATGAGGATGGCGGTGTTGGGCGACTTAAGCATGCCCATGGTGAGCTTCTGCGGGAACATGTGCGCGATGAGTGCGTGCAGCGTGTCCAGGCTGCTGACCTCGTGCGTGATGTGCACGCGCCGAGTCTCCTCCCCGAACTGCAGGAACAGCACCCCTGCGAAGGAGATGCCGCGCTCGCTATCACCGCCGTCGCCACCACGCCGCCCGCCAGGAGAGCGAGGGGAGCCTTCGGGAGCTGCGCTGGCCCCGCAGAGGCAGGGTCTGAGGCCCGACGCCGCCCCCGAGTGCAGGTGCACCCAGGCACCCCTCATGCTGCAGGCGGGGCGGGGGGGCAGGCACCCACTGGACCCCAGGCAGTTGCAGCCCAGACAAGGAAATGGAATTGGGGCAGGAGCAGGTGGGGTAGAAACTGAGGGAGTCGGGGAAGGTTAGAGGCTGCTGAGAGAGAGATTGGAGAGAGTTCGAGATGGAAGAGAGGGGAGAAGGAAGGGATGAGGGGGGGAGGGACTGCCCAGGGAGACAAAAGGAAGCTGAGGGAGAGAGGTGCCTTGCAGAGAAAGGCTAGGCAGGGGATGCTGAGGGAGAGGGGTGGGGGGAGAGAGATAAGGGGTGGGGGCGCTGCTGGGGGCAGATGGGGCTGGAAAGGGCGGCAGAGCCTGAGAAGAGACCGAGTGGTGTAGGGGATGAATGTGGAGGGGAGAAGAGCGGAGGGAGGAGCCTGCGGCTGGGAGGGAGGGTGGGTGGACAGGGTGAGCACTACCTGGCGAGCGCAGCTTGGTCTGGCTGGCAGAGCGGGAGAGAGGCAGGCTCTGTCGGAAGCGGTTCATCCTGCTGAAGCCCAGGGGCAGCTCGGCCTCCGACATGGTCTCCAGTGACTCAGCTGAGGCGTACGACAGCTTGGCCGCCTGGTCTGCCAGCCCCGGCTGGGCTCCCTGAGTGTGGCGCGAGCTGCGGGTCTGCAGGGGCAGGGGAGGGCGAGAGGAACCAAGCATGAGCCCCTCTTTGCCTGCCACTGCCCCCATCCAGGCCCTGGGGAGGCTCCACCAGCCAGAGACACTCACACACATTCCAGACTCGCTGTGTGGCTACAAGAGAGTTCCCCAGCCTCTCTGGGGCCTTGGCCTCCCTGGGACACCCAGCAGGTAAGGAGTGGGCAAAGGACTCAGGCACGCCAGAAAAGCAGACAAGAAACCATTTTAGCAGAAGCCATGGGCGCACCTGCTATTTTAAGCTTCCAAAGAACAACAACACAAATTTGTCACCGAGGTGAGCAGCAGAATCGTTGAACAAATTGGGGCATTAGTTCCAGACATTAATTAAGTGGCGGGTTTGTGAGCGGCAAATTTATTCTTCATGGAGTTCAGAGGGTGGGGGTGGGGGCGGGAAGCAGGGTGGGTGGAGAAAGCAAAGTGAGCTAGGACCCTAGGACCCCAGCTTTGGGAGGTGGGGCTCCTCACCGAAATCAATGTCTTTGGTTTAAGGTAACCCCTCAAAGCTAGCTGGACCCCAGTTTCAAACAGACTCCCCGCCCAGTGCACACAATGTACACGCTAAGCCTGGTGTGACACACATGTGCACATGACGCATGGGCCAGGCCTCAGCCCCTCCCTGTAAGGCACATGCTGCCACAGCCAGCCAGCCTGGCCAGCCTCCCCAGGAGCCCCAGCCACCGCCTCTCCCACGAAGCTAGAGCTGAGGCTGATATCTGGTTGCGGGGAGGGAAGGAAGGATGTCACAGGACAGCCTGAGCGCTCTCTCCTTTGGGGGAGAGGAGTCACAAGATGATTTCAATTGCACTTTAAGTGCCCACTTTTGGCTGCAGACTGGGTTGTCACTCAGGGCCACAGCCCCTCCCATTCTACCCTAGTCCCTCCCCTCAAACCTGGTTGCTATACTGAAACTCATTTATTTAAGGGAGTAAGATAGTGGATCGGACCTACATCATTCCGTGTATGAATATATATATTATATATCATATATATACATGTATTATCAAGAAAAAATTATGCTGCCCAATTGTATTTTTCTGTAAAATAAATGGTCTATTTTAACAACAAATTACTTAAAACCATTAACATTGGTTATCTCAGAGTTGAGAGACAGCTTTCTTTTTTCCTCTATAGACTTCTCTACAAAATTGTGTGAATTTTGCACAATCAGAATATATTTCTTTTATAATTTAAAAAAAGACAATAAAATATCTCTAAAAAGGAATGATTTATTTTCCTCTTCGGCTCCCTCTTTCCCCAAATCCTGATCAACCCATAATTAATCTCCATCTTCGTATTAACTCAATTAAACGTCCAATTGGATCAGCACTCTCGAAAAGAGAGAGCATCTTCCTCTGATGGGCAGTGTGCCCTGCTGTCCCCAAGGTGGCCTTGAGGGCTTGGGGACATGGAAGGTCAGATGTGGGGACATCACAGGGCTTCCAGCATCCAGCACCATGCCTTGAGCAGCGGGTGGGTGTGGGTCTTGGGAGGAGGAGGGCAGCATGGGAACTGGGCCCGCTTGGAGGGGATGCTTGTGCCCAGACTTTAGATGCTGTGGCTCAGCTCTAGGCTGACCACCAGTGCCGGCCTGTGTCCCTTGCTCTCCTCTCCAGCCCCAGATGAAGGGCGGGGAACTCTGCAGCAGTGTGGGGAACCAGGTCTGATCTGGTGGTCACTGGGTTGCCTGGCAACTGAAAGGTCAGTGGTTGCCAGGCTGGTGTGGACGAGGGGCTACAGAATTCAGGCAGAATGAGGCAGCTAGCAAGGATGAGAAACAGGGGGTGGCCGCAGTGCCACGGGGGTGCCAATGAGGTGCCAGTAAGAAGATGGAACAGGAGCCAGAATGAAGGGGGTGGGGCAGGGATCCTGGGGGGTGCTGACTGCCAAGAAGGCAGGAGCCCTGGGAGAAGAGATGCTCACATTCCCTGCTCCACCAGTTCCTGTCTAGTGGAGCACACCTCCCATTGTCACAGCCTTTGTAGAAAACCCTCTTGAGAAGAGGGAAAACCTGTCAGCACTTCCCTCCATCCCTGGGCTGAGACAACAGGGCAGAGGAAAGCGAGACATCCAGAAGGACTTCCTGACCAGGGGGGAGATGGCAAGAGAACAGAACAGTGATTGAAGCAAAGACAGGAAAGGGGCTGCCGTGGGAGGCAGTAAGCACCTGTCCCTGGAGGTGTTCCAGGGAGCAGCTGATAACTCCTGGTCAGAGGTCAGACAGAGGGAACCTTGAGTAGGGTGGTCAGACTAGGATCTGAGGGTCCCAGAGGCTGTCCATAGACTTGCGGAAGAATCCCTTGGAAGCTTTTAAAAACACTCTTTCCAGGACCCCACATCCACTGAATCAGAATCTCCGGGGTTGGGGCCGTGGGGTCAAGATTTTTGACAAGTTCCCATGGAGATTCTGATTTCCAGGTATGAGAGTCAAGTCAGCAGCCATGATTCTGGTAGCCAAGGAGGTTGGCTACCGTGTAAGGCTTGACAGGAGCCAGACACGTGCATTTACTGTAGTTTTTCTATCTTTACAACAACTCTGTGATACAGGCATTGTCGTTCCACTTTGCAGAGGAGAAACTGAGGCTGAGGTTATGTAACTTGCCCCAGGTCACCAAGCTAGTGAGCAGCAGATGGAATTCATTACCAGACAGCCTGGCTTTCAGACCCATGCATTAACCACTGCCCTCTCCCGCCTCCTCCAAAGCGGCTGTGCTTGACACTGCCATTCTGATTCCAGGGTCCTCTGGTTCCAGGATTCTGGCAGTGCTGGGGAGAACACGTGCAAGTAAGACACGTGCGGAGTCTGGGATGGATGCCTCCCAGCCCTTGCCATGATGCCTAGGACTCGAGCGGCCAGAGACTCTAGTAAGAAGGCAGCAGTCAGTTCACTCGGCTCTGCCCTGGGTGCCAGGGAAGGTGGAAGAGGGGCCTGAGGGTGCTCCCCAGGGATCCACAGGATGCCCTTGGAGGGGGCAGACAGCTCTCCAGCTCAGGAGAGTCCAGATTTGCCAGAGGAGGCAGCAGGCACCCATCCCTGAGCTTAGACCTGCACTTAGACAACAGGTTTGGGGGTGCGGGGCTGAGAATCTCTTGCCCGGCACTAATAGGCTCCCCCATCATGGGGAGAAGAAAGGGATGAGGGACTCATCGTAGTCCTAGGGCCTGCCTGGGAGGTGAAATCTGTGTTCAGAGAACAGGGCCCTCAACAAGATCTTGGGGTCCAGGCCCCTAACTCAGAGCCAGCAATCTCCCCAGGCTGGGGAAATGCCAGGCAGCCCTTCTCATTCCAACACACCCCTTGTGGGCTGCGGAAGCCTGGGGACTGAGCATTTCCAGCCCACATTCCCACTCTGGATCCACATGCCTGGCAGGCAAACCCAGACTCTCCCAAAGCAGCAGTCACAGCCTGCAGCCCCAAGGCCCACCGCCCACACCAGGAGGTGCCCGTGCCGACGCGCACCCCGGTGCAAAGCATGAGCAAGGGAGGGGCGGGCGCAGGGGAGGGAGAGCACATGCAGTTGTCATGGAAGCAGAAGCATCACACACTGACCTTGAAACTCCAGTAGTTTGGCTGCTGATGGAAATAAGAGAAGAGATGGTTATGAAGGGGCTGAGAGGGTAGAGGAGGGGGGTGGTTAGAGACCCCTGGAGCCCAGCACTGAGCCCTGGGACATGTGCCCTCTACCCTCCCAGGAGCAGGAAGGAAGTCATGCCTCGTATATCCTGTTCTCTGCTAAGACCTGGAACACCATGGTGTAGCCAGGATGGCCCTGAGCAGGCTCGAGGCTTGCTGGTGGGGGAAGGGGAGGCCACTCTAGATATTCACAAGCCACGCCTCCTAGCTATAGTAAGGGCCCTTAGAGAGCAACAGGTAGGAAAAGGCACAGTGGACTGTGACCATGACACAGGGAACCCATGAGACACAGTCAAAAGAGGGGCAGAGATAAAGCTGAGCTGTGGGGTCAGAGAAGTGGCATCTGGTTGTGGCAGGCCAGGAGAAATTTCCCGGAAGAGGTGGCATTTGAGCTGGGTCTTGCAAAATGAGCAGCTGGAGACTGAGCTGAAAGCTGCGCTGAGCAGAGGGCACCGTGTGGCAAGTGCCCAGGCGCGGGCGAATGGAAAGTGGGTTGACGGAATACTCCGCAGGCCGCTTAGGCTGGGGGGCAGCCTGGGAAGGTGGCAGGTTGGGCTACAAGGGGTGGGGGGGCAGGGGGCTGAGGCCAGATGATAGGTGGCCTTAGATGCTGAGAGAAAGTACTTAGACTTAACTGGGTGGACAAGCAGGAAGAGCTGAGTGGGGCAGAACGGGATCAGAACTAGACCCCAGCAGGGCTGGTGGCACAGGGAGTGCAGGAGGGCGGCTGGGCCAAGGCCAGGGCAGGGAGCCATGTCCATGACGGACCTGGATTACAGATGCAGGTATCCTCATGCGCTGGGCGATGTACAGGCAGCTGGGGGGGGGACAGTGGACCTGGCAATGCCCTGTGGCTGGCTGGATGATAGAGGAGGGTCCCCACATCCCTTCTAACCTCCCCAGAATGTGGAGCCTGAGATTCCTTCTCACAGCGACCCAGGGTCACCCCACCCTCCCTCGAGACCAGAAGGCAATTCCAGATGGCTTAGGACAAGGAAGGAGCAGCCCCGAGGCCGGGTTGGTTCTTGGCAAAGCCGAGGGCACCCTGCTGACCGGTGCCAGCCTCAGCAGGAAGACAGAGGCAGCAGATGGCCTGGCCCTGGGGTGCCTGGCACGAGCAGACAAGATTCCCTTGGCCTCAGAGCCACAGGCAGAGGACAGGGATTTTGAGGGTCCCTGATGGGGGAAGGACACCATGCCAGGGTGTGTCCTGGGCCACCTGAATGCTTTCCTGGCAGGGAGGAGTTGAGGGGCGCTGCCGGATGGAGGCTGTACCCGAGGCAGACCTCTGGGGTGGGGTGATGCAGGGCTAGAGCTGGGAAGAAGAGGTCCATTTGCCAGGACCACCCCCACCTGAGCCACAATCCCCCCAGCATTGGCTCCAAAATACAAAAAATAGTCACATGCCAGGCAGGAGAAAGGGATAGCAAAGTCTGTGCCCCAGCCAATGGAATAATCTATGGACAGAAGCCACCCCCATGGGTGCCAGGGCGCCCACAGGTGCTGAGGGGAGGGTAGGTAAGGGACTAAAGTAACAGGCCATAGCCACAGCTGCCTGCGGCTTGGGAAGGCGGGGTGTGGCAGAGGGAATGGACACGTGGGTGGCAGGCAGAGCCAGGCAGAGGGTACCGGAGGTTTATGATGAGAGTCATGTCTGCGGACCCAGCAGTGATGGACGGCTCTGCAGAGGAGGCTTCGAGTCCCTCTCCTGCCACCATTCTTACACCAGGCACAGGCGGCACCCCATGGGACACCCCCAGCTCCCCACCACACTCGGGCTCACACACAGAGCCTCCTCAGACTGTCAGACACATCCTTAGATAAGGACATCTCCACAAACACCCAGCACAACAAAAACACTCCTACCGAGGGTCCAAGCGCTGAGACAGAAGCCCACCTCGGCCAGAAACAGTCCCAGAAACAAACAGCGATTGGGCGACAGAGATACCCACAGGTAGACCATCCCCAGTCGTTCATGAAGGTGTACCCCGCCCCCCCGGCTCTGACTGTTCACAATCTCTCACAATCACCCCGCAGAGCCGCAGAAACACAGAGACATGGATACGCACCCCACTCACACCGAGACACACACACGCCAGCTACAGAAACACACACAATACACACAGGTGGCCTCAGAGCCACCCACATACAAAGAGAAAGTCCATCCCTTCTTCCCCCTGCTAGTCAGGTCAGGGTGCCTCTGGCCTCCTTGCCACTGTCCCATGCCTATGATGTCCTAGACATCATGTGTCAGCGAGGTGATCTCTTGATTCAAAAGAGTCAGAAGATGTCCTGTTCCCTACCCTGTCACCAATGTCAACACGCTGCACTCAGGGTACCTTGTACAGATGACCGAGATCCATCTCGTGCCCCTGGGAGGGAGACAGGGACAGGGCCTGGCCACAGCCACACTGCCTGTGGCCTCAACATGGGCCTGCTCCAGAGTCCTAAGGTTGTGTGCATCCATGGGGCAGTCACCTGGAAGGGGCAGGTCACTAGCAGTGGCCAATGGAGAGGACTGGGTGGCATCAGTGCCATAGGAGAGGCCAGCTGAGCCCCAATAAAGGGTAAAGATAGCAGAGGAGCTATGTTTGTGCTTAGGTCACTTGGATGTATGAATGACGCTGAGATCAAAATTCTGGGACTTTGGGCTCTGATCTCTAGAGCACGTCAGTGAGTCCTCCCCCTCCATCCTCTGTCCTCCCTCCGGAAAGTGGGAAGAATGATCCTCTTTCATGTCGGCCCCACCAGGAATGACACACATAGTCTCTGGCAACCCTGTCCTTGAAGGGGGAAATCATAGTGGGAGGAGGTCTCTGGGGAAACCCTCCATCCTCTGTCTCTGTCTCTTTCCAGGGTTTTAACCCAAGGGACGGCCTTGGGTGACTGAGAGAAAAGGGCTCCTCCCCTGTTCTCTAAGGGAGGACACTCCCAGCCACTCCCCTTCCAACTTCCAGCACCTTTTACCTCCTCACTCTTTTCCTGGTTGTCTGTTCCTCCTGCTGTACCCAACACAGTGCCTGGGGTATAAGCAGGCCCTCAACAAATATGTGACAAGGAACAAATGCAAATAAAATAGGATCAGCTCATGGGAGGAGGGGGCTGTCTCCGAATACTCTTGTCTGGTATCTGTCCCTCCATCTCTTGGGACCCAGTACTGCTCAGCCTTCTGGGCCTTCTCCCCGGGGAACTTCCCAGCACCAGAAACTGCCCTGGGAGCAGGGCAGAGGGCAGGAAGGGCCCAGGAGAGATCTGGCTCCCCACTTCAAGCAAAATCCTCCAATACCAAGGCAAAGCTGTCTCCCTCCCCATACTCAGGGAGGGGTCTCACCTCCCAGAAGACACTAAGAGGAAATAAAGAAAGGGGTGAGTAGGAGAGACCTTGCTTGGGGCAACCACTTGTGGGGAAGAATCTTACAGGAGTTGGCGCAAAATGAGAGGTGTTCCCCACAGGGGAAGATGGAAGCCAGCCATGTCTAGGGACCAGGCTTTTAGAAATGGGGGAGTGGGAGCTTCTCCCAAGACCCCAGGAAGCAGGACCAGGGAATCCTCAAACTCCCTGGTGAGAAGAGGAAACACCTCTTCTCACCTCCTCCCCTCTGGGCCTGAGGAGTTAACTCCCTCTCTCCCTCCCCCACCCTAGCCCTGGTGGTGGGGTTCCTCCTTCCCCCTGCAGCTGGTCCTTCCCCCCAACCCCTGTGCCCTGGAAGGGGCAGGGCTGTGCCCCTTGGGAGCCTTCATCCAGCCAGCTGAGGTCTCTCCTCCCCTGGGCAGACGTCCCTGTAAGCTAGGTGAGTGCATGACCCCTCCTTGACCTCCAGCCCCGAGCCCTGACAACGCATCTTCCAGGGAGGGAGGACACCCAACGGTCCGCACCTGGCTCTGTAATCCCCCGGCTCAGCACGCACGGGCGCACACACCCACCTCTCAACTCTGTGAACGGGAGTCCACGTAAACAGCCGCCCCCCAGGCTGGGACTAAGCGACGCACCCCCGCGGGCGCCAGGCTCCCACCGCGACACACAGGCACTCCCCTCCCCTTCAGGTGTGTGGATTGACACCTCACCTCCTACCCCTTCCCAAATGCAGAGTGTGGGTGCTGGGGGGGCTGCTGCGGGACCTGAGCTGCGCTGGAGGCGAGGGTGCACCCCGGGAAGGTCATGACTTCCTGAGGTTGGGGGAGGGGGCACCAGCCGCATTTTGGAGTGGGGGCCCGGCCCACGCGGAAGGCACCTAATACGGTGGGGGAGGGGAGGAGGCGTTTCTTAGAGATCGGGAACCCGCAATGGCCCGAGAGTCCTCCACCCCTGGATGGCTGTAGGTGCTGCGGAGCGGGGCCCCCCCATCTCCGTGTCCTCGCCCCCCGCCGGACCCGAGGCGGTGATCCCGGCCCCCACGCCGCTCCCCCTTACCTGCGGCCACAGGTGTACCCGCGGGGCCCCCAGCCCCAGGTCCTGTGTCGGGCGGGGGAGGGAGGGCGGCCCCCAGCTTCCACCCGCCCGGGCTCTCCCCTCCCCCGGCCGCCTCCGCAGCCGCCGCGGCCGCCGGTGCCCTTTGCTGCAATGCGAGAGCCGCCGCCGCCGCCGAGCCGGCCCGGGCCCCGGTCGCCCCGGTAACCGCGACTCCACCTGGCGCCGCGCGGCGCGCCGCCGTGCACATTCCCTCTCTCGGCCCCCTCCCCGGCGCGGCCCCGCCAGCGCAGCCCCGCCAAGGAGCGGCGGAGGCTGGTGGCTGCGTCTCGCGGTCACCCGATACGCCGGCCCGCAGCCCGGGACTCGGGTTGCAGCAGGAGGGAGGGAGGTTAGACAGCCTGGTGGAAGCGGGGGAGGGGCTGCGGCGGGGAGTCCAACCTCTGGTTCCCACCCAGGGTCCTCTGTCCTGCTTCCATTCCTAAAGGCCTGGCCTGGTGTAGAGTAGGGGAGAGGACAGTGTCCTGCCTCCTGCTCTGCCACCGTCAGAGCCCACAGCCTCTCCCCACCTGGGTCTCCGCTGTGCACCTTTGCTTATTTAACTCTCTCAGGACTTAATCCCTGGCCAAGTCTGGGAGGCCGAGGGTGCCTAAGTTTCCTTGATGGCCTCCTATCTGGCCCTGCTGTGTGACTCCAGCCTTTGCAGAACATCTCTGGTCTTGCACTTGACAAAAAGGAACCTCAGACTCAGGCCTGGGGACAAGGGAGTGTGATAAGCTCTAAGTATGTGGTGATGACAAGATCCTGTGCACAGCCACTCTCCTCAGTAATCACAAAGCCCCGGGGCAAAGGTCTGCTCAAGCTCCCCCTTCCACCATCAGAGCAGATTCCAGATGTGGATGGGCCTAGAACCCCATGACCAGGGACAACTGAGCTCAAGTCCAGCCTCACTCCGCTCTATCACCCCCACCCTATCACAGCCCCGAGATGCCCCATCACCATCCCTGTCCCAGCCCCACTTTGGCCTCCACCACGTACTTGGTCACTCAGGACAAGTCTGTCCCACTTGCCATACAGCCTTGGGGGCAGACACATCCTTGTCCCCGCAAGTTCAGCCAAGATGGGGCTGAGAGCTGGGAAAGGAATCGGCTGAACGTCCTGTGAGTGATGCCAACCATGCCAATCTGTTGCTAGACTTGAGTTACACTTAGCTAAAACATCCGTGCTCTGAAGGCTTATTTCCTGGGCAGTCACAATTTTTTTCTCTTAATTCCTCTTGAAAAAGTCAAGCCTTGTTGTCCTTCTCCAGGGGGAGCAAGGTGCGTAAGGCACTGAGTACCCATGCCACCCACTGGATTCCCTGCCACTGCCCTCCGCCACCTCCTGCAGCTGCATGTCCTCAAGTCAAGCCCGGGCTGCCCCCTCTCCATTGCAATTCTGACTCCCTGGTCCCTCTCCCCGTTTGGGCCTCAGGTGCCTATTTTTCTCCCGTGGCAATGTCCAGGCCTAGCTGGGACCCCAGGGCCCCTGGTATCCTGTCTAAGTGTGCCCCTGTCTAAGCTAAGAGCCATCTTCCCATCAGGGCCACTGAGGCTTGATGAGGAAGAGGGGAACAAGTTCAGAACAAGTGGCCAGATGCCCAAGTCCTCTTAAAAATTTGAGACTAAGCCTTGAACAAAGCAAGAAGGGTGGGAGAGAGACATCATGCAGAACTTCCTGATGGAAAGACATCAGGCGAAGGTTGGGTCTGCTTGGAAATGGAAAGGTAGGGTGTGGATGGGGGTAAGATATCTTCAGTGGAGGGAGGGCTTAAGAGACTCCGGAAACCCATGGGGCAAGGTGGAGCTACTCCTGTTTAAAGGAGCAAGGGATTAAAACAAAAAATTTAAATCCTGAATATCCTCCCTCAAAAAATTCCTTCCCCAAAGCCAACCAGATTTGGGGAGGTAGTGGCAGGAAATTAGACGAGCATGGGAGATGTGGATATAGGGCATAGAAGTTCCCTGAAAATGGGGGCTCCTACCTAAAAGAGAAAGGGATGCAAAATAAAAATCTTGAATATCCCCCCTCCAAAAATAATCCTCCCCAAAGCCAGACTCAGCCATGGTTTGGGGGCTGGGGTGGAGGAGGGTGACTCACCTGGGCCGGCTGGCCAGCCCCGGAGGGGGCGGAGTCGCCATGGAGGTGGGAGCAGAGGGAGCTGAGGAGGCACACGGGGTCCACGGTCCAGCCGCCAACCTGTGTGTGCGAAGCGGGGGACACCCCATTAGGGGGAGCGGGCAGAAGCCGCTGGGGGACTGTGACAGGACGGGGAGGGGCATTCCTGGGACAAGCCTTGGAATGGGGCACAGAGCTCCCACTGCAGAGGGACCTAGCGACGCTGGCAAGTCCCTTACTAGGCTGGGTCTCTAACTAGTGCCCTGGGTCTGTTTCGGGATGTTTGTCTTTCCTGTTGGACCAGGGGTCCCCTGAGCCCAGGACGGGGCATTCCCTATCAGGTATTACTGAAATGCTATCTCCAATTCCTGTTTCCAGCCTCCCTGCACCTGGCTGCTCCCAGCCTTCCCCTCCTCCAGCTGTCAGTCCCTCCTCCCTGAGGACGTCACCGCCTACCTCATGGGAACCACTGACTTGGCAGGAGTGGCCTCACCCCAGTCATCTCTGTCCTGATAGCGAATCTTCGCTTCCTGCATCTCAGGGGAAGCGACTTTCTTCTGCTACCCCAAGGCTGCCCCACACCTAAGGCTCAAAGCCCGTCCCTCCATGGCCCTCTTCCCCCTCAGTACCCTCCATTCGTTCCTCCTTCCTTCAGTCATTCATTCCACAAGCACGCCCTGAGCTGGCACTAGGCTTAGGCACCAGCATTCGATGGCAAGAGAAATGGCCACGGGCCCTGCCTGCTCACACTCTAGCGAGGGAATGGGTGAGTGAGCGGCTCTGCTTTGGTTCGTTCCCTAAGTCTTTACTAGGTGCCTCCTGAGCATGCCAGAGACGGAAGAGGCCCTCAGACACATCCACGGCTTCTCTCCCAGGCCTGCTGCCCCTTGAAGCTGCCACCTCAGCTGTTTTTATCTTTTTCTGGCCAAACCTCCCCACACAGGTCTATGGCCAAGGCTCCTGGCCCCTCACCACCCCCAATCTCCTGAACCCCTGAAATTGGCCATTACCTCACCACGTCATGAGACATGAACTCGCACCCTCTGGATCCACAGATCCTGGCCAGTCCCGATGGCTGTTTCTCTCTCCTTGTCCTTTCTGACTTCTGAAGTGCAGGTCCCCCTCCTGTTGGCCCCTCTTTCAGGGGCCTTTTTCCACCCCCCGCCCCCAACCATCATGGGCTCTCCCCCTTCTCGGACTCTATTCTGTCTTGATGGCCACTCTCATACCCTAATGTCCCAGGTCCCACCATGCTCCACTCTCCTCCTGAAGCTGTGGTCACTTTGGAGTCCTGAGCCACACACATGGTGCCTTACTGGCACCCCTGGAATGCCGGATCTACACCCCAAACTCATCTTATATTCCCTTCCCCAACCCCCCAAACATTTCCCTCCCAACCCCTTTGTTTTTGTCCAAGACACTAACATCTCCCTGTCCCCCAGGTCTTTCTGTCATTGCCTCATAGACCCAGGCAGTAAATACTCTCGCTCAGTCTTCCTTCCAAGCCCCATCCATCCTCCCTTCCTCCTCATCATCCCAGATACACTCTTTCTCTTCTCTTCCCCCTGCCTCCAGTCTGCCTTTTGTCCCCTCCTGTTTGCCATCCGGAAGCAGCCACAGCTTTCCTTGCCACCAGCACTTGGCCGCACTATTTCAGTCTGCCGCCACGTGTCCCACTGCCTCACACCTGAGCCTCCTGCGCCAGCCAGGTGGACTGTGCTATTCCCCAAACCGACTCAGGCCTAAGCTCATACCATTCCCCCCACCTCCTAAAACCACATTCTCTTCCTCTAGGCCTGTGCAAACCCTTTCCATCCTTCTAAGCTTAGTTTAGGTACCTCCTTCTCCAGGAAGCCTTCCCTGATCAGGCCTCCCCACCTGATCTCCCCTTCTCTAAACCCCCTCCCAAGCTAGATGACAAATGCCTCTGACCCACCCCTCCCCACACAAGGGGAAGCACTGAGAGGGTGCCCGGAGGGTGACGCCCGCATCTCATCTGCAATCTCCCTTATCTTGTCTGGACCCTGCTCCCAGGAGGACTCTGGAGCTGGAAAAAGGCAAAAGCCAGACAGAACTGGAGGTGGCATCAGGGGACAGATAAAGTACCAGACATGTGCCTCTGTGTCCTTGTTCCCTGCAGTGAGGATGGGGGTGGGGACACTCCTCCCCATCCCCAGCCACACCCGGTAGTACCTGGAAAAGGGAGACAGAGCAAGGCAGGTGTGGGAGCAGGGACTGACACCTCAAGGCTTGACCGAAAGGATGCTGATGGGATGTACCTCCCTCCCCGTCGTCCCTCCTTCCAGAGGGGACAATGCCTGGGTCTCAGCAGCCAATATGCAGCAATCATCAGGGCACCTCGCCTATCCAGGACCGTAAGCAGAAGACTCGTCCCAGAAAGGACTTTCTTACAGACGAGAAGCTCATACTTGGGCGGAGAGACGCATTCAGGAGCCCAAGGATCTGGGGGACAGGTTTGTTTTTTTGTTTTTTTGAGACAAGATGTCTCACTCTGTCACCTAGGTCAGAGCACAGTGGTGCGATCATAGCTCACTGTGGCCTTGAACTCCTGGGCTCAAGCGATCCTCCCGAGTATCACAGGTGTGTGCCACTGCACCCTGCTCTGCTCTGGGGAAGTGTAAAAGGGAAGCGTCCCAGCCCATACAGAAGGAGGCAGGTCCGGGTCCAGAAGCAGAGGCCGAGACTCCTCTCTAAGCCTTACTGAGGGCAGGAGAGAAACCAAGGCACAGAGAGAGGAAGCCTCCAGCTCAAAGTCACACAGCGAGTCTTCGGGGGTGGAAGGAGGCAAAAGGCCCCAGTCCTGGGCTCCCTTCTTGCAGGGAATGGGGACATACCAGACCCAGCCTGCTGAGGCTCCCACGGCCTAACCTCCCTTAGGGCCCATATCACAGACGCCAAGCATCACAGCTCCACCCCTGGATGGACCCTCAGGCGCAGAACATCAGTCCCCAGGGCTGTCCCCTCCCTTCCTCCCTACCATGTCCTTGGCCTCCAGGACAGGTCCTTCCTGCCCTTCTGCCCAAATAGCCTGAGTTAAAGAGGCTGAGCTCTCTCTGCTCAATCACATGCTCCCAATTCCAGGACCTCCCACAGAGGTCTGGAGGCTGAGCCTCCAGTCCCTTCCTCCCCAGGCTCCAGAAAAGGCCAACCAGGGCCACTGCCCTGGAGGGACAGCTCCCTAACTTCCCCCTTCAGCCCTCTCTGCTCCAGACGCCTCCCAGAGTTGGAATGAGCCTGGGGCCACCGATCGAGGATCAGGTCCCCTCCCCCGCCGGCAGCCCCCAGCCCGCAGGTAGCCGCCGGGCACACTCACCTGCTCTCGCATCCTGTCCTGCTGGCCTCGCAGGGCCAGGGCGTGCTGGGGGTACTTGCTCTTCAGGTGGTCCATGAAGGCATCTCGCTTGCGGTCGGCATCCGCCTTCTGGAGCCCGCTGAGCGCCTCCAGGCTCTGGGCAGCGATCACCGTGTGCCTCCGCTCCGACGTGTGCACCAGCCCCACGTTGGAGAAGCGCCGGCCCCCGCTGCCCCCGCCGCCCCCGCCCCCCAGGGTCCGGTACTCCCGCGGGTACTCGGCATCGTCCGCAGACAGCATGGGGGGGCTGCTCCGCTCCGGATCTGCTGCGAGAGGCAAGAGGGGCACGGGCGGGGTCACGGTGCGCCCGGGCTGGGTCTGCCCCTCCCTTACCTGGGGTCCCTGCGGGGCGGGGGAGAGGGGCGTGCCTAAGGGTGTTGAGAAGCAACTGTCCAGCCCCCACTAGGGACGGCAGCAGAAGGGTGGATGGGGTGCAGAGTGCACCTTCAGCCCCAAGGGCGGGCGGGGAACAAGGGCAGGATTCCACTTCTTGCTTCTCCCTGTGGGTTTGGGGCGGTAATGACTGCGGGAGGTTTTGAGGCCGCGATGGGGATGGAAGAAAGTGGTAGACGAAGGTGCGATGGGCGCCTCTGTAGCCACACACCCCTTCTGCATCCTACAGCTGGTGCAAACAGGTGAGGGAAAGGGGTTGCCTTTTAGATGTCTCCTAAAAAATGTAAAAAGGACCTTGCACTGGCTCGCTTCCAAGGGCATCCTCTAAGGAGGGGTCGGGAGAGGGCTGCCTCCTCCCTCAGACTAGCTTGTCCAGGACATACTCATCCTCAAGGCTGGGGCTGGCTGGGAGAGGGGCTAGGGCTAGGAGACATGGGGTAATGAGGGCAAAGGTCACTCTGCGGGCTTCCAGCTGAGGCCCAGGGTCTGGGGCAGTGGGACCCCCTTACCCTTCCCTCCCCAGAGACAGACAGATGGATGGACAGGAGAGGCTGGGCACAGAGAGGACAGCGAGAGATGGATTTGGGACAAACTTAAAGGAGAAAGAAAGCAGACAGAACAGCTCAAGCCCCTTGCCCTGGGACCTTACCTCACCTCTCCCCTCCCCTTCCTCATTCTCTTTTCCCCAAACACACACAACCCCATAAGAGATGCACAGGGGACAAAGGACAGTACAGAAGCGGGAAAAAAATAGAGAAGGCCGGGGGTTGAGGTCCCATGCAGAACTCTGAATCCCTTTCCCAAATGTCCACCAGCCCTGAGCTCCCAGCCTCCCCAGGCCCAGCCCTGCTGCCCCCCACCTCCAGCCTCAAGGACCAGTGGCCAGGGGTTCCAGAGGTCACTGATGCCCCATGGGGGTGGGAGGAGTTGCCGGGGGCCTATTGCAACCATATTCCTGGGCATAAAACATAGATTCGCCCTCCCCCTCCCCCAGGAATCACCCCCACTGGGAGACAAGCACCATCTCCCCTGCACATCCCCAGGCCCATAATCCACCAGCTCCAAAGTGGTACCACCCCCTAGGGTGGTGTCGCTAGGACTGGGGCATCCTAGGAGACAGGTCCAGGAATGCTGGGACCCAGCCAGGCTCACTCACCCTCCTCCTCCCTCCACACATTCGCTACTCAGGAGGCCCGCTGCCAGGCCTCGGCCACCCCTGCCCAACCACAGGAGGGAAGTGGAGATTCAGCCACATTTCCGGAAAAGCCACCTGCCCCAACACACACACACACACACACACACACACACACACACACACACTCATACACACACATACTCCTCCCTGGGCTATGGCTGTGGCATGTGCACTGGGGCACAGAACCCAGGAGGACCCAGCACCTCCCACCCAAACCAAGGGAAGAAGGGCTCCCACGGGCACGGAGACCCACAGCTTACAAGGGCCTGACTGCCATCGTCTTGGCCTGTGCACCCCCAACACCCTGCCGGTGAGTGTTATTGTAGTCCGCATTTCAGGGGTGACTACCAACGCTCAGAGAAGTCTGGTGACAAGCTCAAAGCCACAGTGAGTGGCAGAGGCCCAATTTGACCCCAATATCTATTAGGTTTGCACCGCCACTTTCCTTGACAGATGACATTTGTTATTAAGCAAACACTGACAGCACCTCACCCCACCGTGTGGACTTCCTGGTTTACCTGCTGGCCTCTGGGGTCGTCCCTCTCACCACGGTCACCATCCTCCGCTGTGCTCCCCAAAATGAGGTCCACACACACTACACAGGAGGAGATGACTTTGGGAGGAACGTCGTTTTATATGTTAATAGTTAAACCTTTATTTTCATAAGGATTAGTAAAACCCTCAAGTAGAAGGTCAAAGCACTGATTTCATGGACATTGTTCCTTAGTACGATAGTGAAATAAAGTTTCCTTTTAAGTACATTTATTTAAGTTCGAAGTGAGTTGAGTTAACAACAAAAAAACATTGTGTTAGTACAGTGCAGACAGTTCCCCGCTATGGAGGAAATTTGTGAAAAGGCCCAGACTGAGTGATGCTGCGACCCTGGGGCCATCTTCCAGAGGGTCCAGTCCCTGCCCTTGAGGAGCTCGTGGCAACCCAGGGTGGCCAGAAATGTGGCTGAAAGGGAGTGCCCTGAATAATACATCCAGGAGAAGGCTGCGGGTCTGTGGGCACTGGAGAAGTAGCCCCGATCAAAGTCAGAGGCTGCCGCCTGTGACCCTTGACCTCCCTCCTCCTCCACTCGCCCTGACCACCAGCGGGAGGGTTGTAGCCCATCCGGCACAAGTGAGCAGGAGGAGACCCTCCACGTCCAAGGACACTCCCGAGCCCTCCCGCTGCTCAGGCCTTGCAGCTTCTGACCATGGGCTTGCTGCTGGAACCCAGCTCTAGAATCCAGCCCTAGCCCTGCCTGAGCCAGAAGGACCCCGCCCCTTGTGCCAGATGGCCAGGCTCGTCTGCCCTCCTAGGGCTCTGGGCACCCACAGGTGCCATTGGGACAGATCTCCCTTTTCACCTCCCAGCTGCTTCCCTCCTTGTCCTCCTGGACCCCAAAGAGCTCCTCACTGCCCGTCCCCACCTTGCTCCATGCCAGCACCTCCTTCCCGACCTCCTAGGGGCATCTCAGTGTGTCTGGGGTAGAGCAAACAATGTACCACCCTGAGATGGGCAGTGACTGTGAGGGTGTCCCTGGGTCACCCAGTGTTCCTAGGCAGACGATGGCAGGGAGGGGTCCCAGCTGCTGGAGCAGGCAGAGGGGAGGGCGTGGGGCTCACAGCCCCACTGTGGGACTTCAGTCTCACAAATGTCACAGGGACAGTGGGGAGGGCTGCTGGGCAGGCCTGAACAGAGAGGGGAGCAGGGACTAACCCCCACTGCCTCCTTGAGGCCAGGACTCACCCCTCAGGTGCCCAGGCACTGGGACAGGGGGCAGGAGCTAGACACTGGGGGGTGGCAGGGAGAGGGGAGAGAGCAGGAGAAATAATCCCCTGTCTCTGAGGCAGGGTGGCAAGCGAGGAGCTTTGATTTGAAAAGCTTTAGAATCTGTTTAAGAACCTTTGCGATCCTTGGCTTTATTTAGCAACGAAGGAAGCTGAGGCTCGGAGAGGGGAGCCTGTGTAACCCAGGTGTCCTGGCTCCTGCTCCTGCTATTTAGCTTCTTTCTGCAGGGCCCCCGCCGAGCTGGCAGGACTGGCCTGGGCTTCTGCTTGGGGGCCATCCTGTTGCCCTTGGGAGAGGGAGGCCAGTGACCGGCCTGGACTCAGGCATGAGTTTATCTCCTTGAGCCTGCCAGGCACTTGAAGTCTAAGCGTGGGGAGAAAGAAAACCCCGGCCAGAGACACTCCAGGTTTAGTGAGCTCCTTCCCTGAGGGACCCCAGGCTAGCCATTGGTAATCCTAGCACTCTGGGAGGCTGAGGTGGGAGGATCCCTTGAGGTCAGGAGTTCGAGAGCAGCCTGAGCAAGAGTGAGACCCATCTCTACTAAAAATAGATAAATTAGCCAGGCGTCATGGTGTGCACCTGTAGTCCCAGCTACTCAGGAGGCTGAGGCAGGAGGATCCCTTGAGCCCAGGAGTTTGAGGTTGCTGTGAGCTAGACTGACGCCATGGCACTCTAGCCCAAGGTGACAAAGTGAGACTCTGTCTCGAAAAAAAAAAAAAAAGACATTGCTGACCTGTGGGCTTGCTGGGCCCTAGCAGCATGACCTCCCTGTTACCCCTAAGCCTGTTGCAGCCACCAGCAAGTCCTCCTGGCGTCCCTGACCCTCGCCGGACTGAGCGGCCCAGGGAAAAGCGGGGGGGGGGAGTGCGGCGGGGGAGGGAGATCGATTCCAATCTCTCAGGCACCAGCGACCCTGAGCAGATCGATGCTTCCTGTTCCAGGGCAGGGAGGGCCGCCAGGGCCCTGGGCTATGGTCCTCTGGGGGACAGACGAGGGGGCGGAGGACCCTGAGGTAGAGAGTCGTAGGCAGGGAACTCTGGGGGAAGGGGAAGCAGAGCTGGGGCACACTGGGGGAGGGGCGTTGGGGCTGAAAGGCCCCCCAGGGATGGGGTTGGGGGAGCCAGAGATATAAGGGAGGGGCTCCGGTTCCCCTCGCTCCAAGGACTCTCAGTGCGCAAAGCTGACTATAAATTTAGCGTCAGAGATTCAAGCTATAGGGAAGATGCTGGGGACGGGTGAAACCAGAATCAGAATGACGGGACGGGAACGGCGGCGAAGGGGGCCTCGTTCCCCTCAGCTCAGCCTGGGAAACCGGAAGGTGAAAGTGGCCTAAGGCTGGGGTGACGGGGATGCGGTGGGCGCCCCCCAGTGGCCGGCTGAGGCTAACGGTGCAGGTGCTTGGGAAGAGAGTGACATTGTTATTTGTTCCACCAATTCCAAATTCTACGTTTATTTATGAGCAGCATTTATTTTTATCCTGCACTGCATTCTCTCCCCTAAACTCACTGTAACTCGTTATGAGAATTAAGATCCCAGCATCTTAGTGACACCATCTCATACGCCATCAAGCTGATCCCCACCTGACGTCTCTACCCCAGATGTCACCATCTACTCTGTCCTCTGGTGACCGACCCGCTGGGCAACAGTCACACATGACATCATCTGTAGAGGAAAAGAATGGGGGAAGAGGAGAAGGACGGAGAAGGAAGAAGAGAGACAAAGGGAGAAAGCAGAGGGAAGAGCAAAGCTACAAGCTACAGGAAAGAGAGAAAGGGACTCTCTGGGGACCCTGCTGTGAGGCCTTGAAGCCCCAAGCTCAGGACCTGGAGTTCAGGTCCCTGTCTCCCTCTCTGCAGAGATCAGGAGGCTGGACAAGGCCCCTCCCTTGGGGACCCG